CCCCCCAACTCCTTCAGCGTCCGAGCCGCTTGCAAGACCGCTATACCGCTGGCGACGACGCCGAGGACTTCTGCCATTGTGGTGAATTCCAGCAAGTCGGACCCTGGTTCAAAGTCGTAAGTCGACGGGTAAATAATCTGTACGACAGTCAGTAAGCCGGTAGAACTGGCAAAGTTCGGTCGAAGCTGGACATATGAGGTGGTTGGCGGAAGCCTCCAAGTCTGCCCTCCTGCAAGAGGGCGGTGGCGGAGCGGTGAAACGACGGTAGCACAGCATCCAATCACCGTCGTTTAGGGCGGGCTTTCAAGACCTATGTTGATGAGCTTGACGCTACAGTGTGATCACAGTCTCAAACCACAGAATCTCGCGCTTCTTTGACAAATCGAACAAAGCAAACAAGCACAGCCCGCAGGCAATCTACTGCGAAGTAGGCCTATGTACAATGTACATGAATCAACCCTCTCCCCTCTAACCAGCAACCCAGGACTACTCACCAGATAATTTACATGCCCGGAGACACCAGCTTGCCCTGCACCCTCGCATCGTGATTCCAACCGCCAGCCAACGCGTCACCGCCGTTCTCCTGGGCGAACTTTTGCATGCGCGCCTCCAGCTCGGGGCGGAAGTGGCGGATCAGACCCTGGATGGGCCAGGCGAAGGCTTCGCCAAGGGCTAGAGAGAAGCGGTCCAGTCAGCATAATCATTCAAAATTAAATAAGAAAAGGCAGAGCGTACCGCAAATGGTATGGCCCTCAACCTGCTTGGTCAGCTCCTGCAGCATGTCAATCTCGCGCTCCCGGCCCATGCCCTTCTCGAAGCGCTGCATGATCTGCTCGGTCCACTTGCTGCCCTCGCGGCAGGGCGTGCACTGGCCGCACGACTCGTGCCGGTAGAAGTGGCTGAGGCGGGAGATGGCGCGCACCACGTCGGTGCTCTTGTCCATTACGATGACGGCGGCGGTACCCAGACCAGACTGGCTGTCCTTGAGCGCGTCAAAGTCCATCAGCTGGTCGTCGCAGATGTGCTTAGGCAGGATGGGCGTCGACGAGCCGCCGGGGATGACGGCCAGCAGGTTATCCCAGCCGCCGCGGACGCCGCCGCAGTGCTTGTCGATCAGCTCCCGCAACGGAATGCTCATCTCCTCCTCGACCGTGACCGGGTTGTTGACGTGCCCGCTGATGCAAAAGAGCTTGGTGCCCTGATTGCGCTCGCGGCCAAAGCTCGCAAACCAGCTGCCGCCGCGACGGCAAATCGTCGGGGCCACGGCGACAGTCTCGACGTTGGCGACGGTGGAGGGGCAGCCGAACAGGCCGACGGCTGCGGGGAAGGGAGGCTTGAGACGCGGCTTTCCCGGTTTGCCCTCGAGCGACTCGATCAAACTGGTTTCCTCGCCGCAAACGTAGGCACCGCCACCGCGGTGGACGTAGACGTCGAAGTCGTAGCCCGAGCCGCAGGCGTTCTTGCCGATCAAGCCCTCAGCGTACGCCTCGTTGATGGCATTTTGTAGAACAGCGGCTTCCTGGATGAACTCGCCGCGAATGTAGATGTAGGCAGCCGTGGCGTTCATGGCGCGACCAGCAACCAAGCAGCCCTCGACCAGCTTGTGGGGGTCCTTGCGCATAATTTCGCGGTCCTTGCAGGTGCCCGGCTCACCCTCGTCGGCATTGACCACGAGGTATCTCGGCTTGTTGTCCTTGTCCCAATCTTTGAAGTTCATGAACGACTGTGTAGGGTCGAGCTGATCAGCCTGAGGCCACCTGAGACACAACTTTAGCAACAGGAATACGCACCCATTTCAACCCCGAGGGGAAACCGGCACCACCGCGCCCGCGCAGGCCAGACGCCTTAATCTCGCCGATGATCCAGTCGTGGCCCTTGAGAATGATCTCCTTGGTTTTGTGCCAGTCACCCATCTTCTTAGCGTGCTTGAGGTCTGGCGGGTAGCGGCCATAAAGATTCTGGAAGATGCGGTCCTGGTCCTTCAGGCCGCCGTAGGTGCGCACCGTGGCGGCGTTGGCGTCCTGGACCGTAGCGAAGGAACGGCATTGTTGGCTTGTCGCGCTGGCACTCGAAACAGCGCTCGAAATTGTCCTTGCCGACGCCTTGGCCGGCGCCGCAGTTCGTGACAGCATGTTAAGATCTCCGCCCGGCAGGGTAGGGGTGTGGAATGCTAATGGCCGAAGGCCGCTTGTCTGTTGGGTTTCGCGGACAAGTTGAGGTTGGCCGTTTCACCCGTCGCAGCGATGGCAGCTGATTGAGCGGCTTTCTTGAGGTTTGGATTCAGGAAGCTGCTGATTGGCTGGAAGTCCCGGCTGTGGCGGGTGCTCTCCTCAGGCTGTGGCGGGACTGCCAAGACATGATTGCATTTGTGGAGAAGCTCAAATCGGACTGCAAGCTTCCATGCGACGCGTTTCGGTAATCATCAAGGTGCAGCGCCCACAAGTAAACCAGATCCCAACCGAAACTCCTATGCGTAGTTCCTGTAACAATGCCCCTCCCTCACCGTCACAACCATAGCCCAGCCCGCAACGCCCAGCCCGCAACGCCCAGCCCGCAAAACCCACAGCACAAATCTCGAACCGAACGAACAAATGTCCTCCAAACGGCATTCCATCCTCCCCCCCGTCTCCTCGTCAGGCCCGAAGCCGCCCGTGCACTTCTCCTCGTCCATTACCATCGCCGACTCGGCCCTGCTGACGGGGACGCACCCGATTGCAATTCACAGCGAGAGCGTGGTACACCCACGCGCCAAACTCGACTCGCTCGCCGGGCGCATAACCATCGGCCGGCGGTGCATCATCCACGAGCGGAGCACCCTGGGGGCCGTGGGCACGTCGGGCAAGATCACCGAGGCGGCCGTCACGCTGGGTGACTACGTGACGGTTGAGGTTGGGGCGGCGATCGAGGCGGGCGAGACGGTGATTGGGGAGGGGACTGTCGTGGGTGTCGGGGCAAGGGTCGGGGCCGGGGCTGTTGTTGGCAAGGTTAGTTGAATTAAAGTCCCTTTTTCTTTTAGAGTGGTGATGCTGACATGGGCGGACGTAGCACTGCACGCTTACACCGCACAGCGAGATTGCAGCCGGCGAGGTGGTACCGGATTTGACGGTGGTCTACTCCAATGGCATGAGGAGGACGGACAAGCGGGAGGTGGCCGAGCTGAAGAATAAGGGGATCGCAAGGCAGATTGATGTGCTGCGGAGGATGATACCCAGTAACCCGGCCAAGTTTGCTTAGATTCATGTTTCATTGCTATTTTAGAGATACCCCATATGTTAGCCATGCATCTTCGCTAAGAGTCCCTGCCATGCTGTGCCACTGAATGCTTCTCCCAATGACCGAAATGATCGTCATCGCTCATAAATCACACCCTCCCTCGGTCCGAGTCATCACAAACACCGTATCTTCATCCACTCGCTCGTGCCGAGCCCCAAGTTGAGCCCGTTCTCAGCCCACCATCTCCTGACCTTGGTTTGATCTCCCAACGAGTCCTCCAACGCCTCCTCGATATCCATCGTCTTATACTCGACCCTATTCCCTCTCCGTCCCCCCATACCGGGCAGTTCCCCATGCGCATATTTCCGCCACCACTCCAACACCGGGATATGCGCATGAAATGTCGCGTCAACCAATATCTGGTTGTCAAACTGCAGCTTATCGTCCCCCCGCAACTGCCTCCACAAATCCAGCACCTTGACCTGCCCCCACCGACTCGCCATCTTACACACGGCATCCTGGTGGCCTACGGGGATACCGCTCTCCTCCCACCAGCGTATAACCGCCAGCTGGCCCCACTGCGCCGCCGCGAGCAGCGACCGGCCGGGCTTGATGGTAATCGTCGGGTCCTGCAAGCTCGCGTCGCGCCACCACTCCAGTACATGCACGTGGCCCTGGGCCGAGGCCATCTCAAAGGCCTGCTCGTCGTACTTGAGCGGCAGGCCGGAGCGGCGCCACCACTCGAGCACGTGGACGAAGCCGCGGCCCGAGGCGTGGTTGAGGGCCTCGACGCCGTACTGCTTCTCGAGGAAGGACGGCGAGCGCGCCCACCAGTCGAGAATGGCGGTGCGGCCGTAGGGCGCCGACGCCTTGGTCGGCATCGTCTTGCCGTCGAAGCACTTGAAGATGTGCGGCAGGTTGGCCTCGATGTAGCTGAGCACGCCCGTGAGGGAGAACTTGAAGATGAGGTGCACGGCGAGGGCCGAGAGGTCGTGGAAGGTGGGCGGCGCGTGGGCCAGCTTGTCGCAGATTGCCTGTGTGTCAGCTGTCAAGAGTGTCCATTCGAGGTCGTGCATGAAGACTTGGAGCGGATCATTGGGGTCCTTGGGCTCGCGCCGCCAGCCTTGACTACTGGGCATCTCGAGCGTGGTGAAGACGCCTAGGGAGGTGGCTAGCTCCCAGTCGTTGGTGAACTCGAAGATCATGCTCCAGATCTCCGGTGGGAGGGGGCTATGCGCCTTCGTCTTGACCGCTGGCGGTGTGTTGGGCTGCGCGTTGACCTCGATATCGTGGCCGAGCTTGAGGAAGTCGGCTTGGTTCTTGATGATGCCGAGGAGCTCGTTAAAGCCCTCCCACTCGACGACGCGCTTGGGGTTGGGCGTGCTCTGGTCGTAGTGCCAAAGGATGGGGGGCATCACTCTGATCCATCCCCACTTGCGATGCAGTTTGCTCATCTGACGCTTCGTGACGGGGTTCTCCCACATCTGGGTGCTCATGCCGGGAATCATGAGGATCCTCTTGGAGGCATCCCAGCCCCGCAACACTTCCAGCAGCAGCGTGTCGGATATCCCACACATCATCTTGGCGAGCGTGTCCGCGTCGATGGGAGCCAGTACGAGAAGGTCGGCCCACTCGACCAGCCTGGAAGCCTCTAGCTGGATATCCTGGAAGTCCTTGAAGGTGGTGCCACCGGGGACGCCCCGCCTCAAGCCCAGGTTCTGCAGCACGATAATCTCTTGTGCCAGCCTGTGCGTCATGTCGTCAACGATGGCTCGTGTGTCGATCTGCGACTCTTTAGAGAGGCGAACGGCGATGGCCTCGGCAAAGGCCACGTCTTTTGAGCCATTGGCGGCGACTAGCAGACGCAGCGGGCGCGGGCGCTGTGATTCATTGAGCAGTGAATTGGACGACGCTCTGTCGATGCCAAGTTGACGGTCACGCCCCCGGAGCTGCGGGCTTGGGTAGGCTTCTAACATGGTCGTGGCTGGCGTTGGCCACAGGCACCGGCTCAAAACTGCCGATGCTGGATGCAAGCTGCGATAGGGCTGGTGTATTCCCTCACGCAATATCTCGATTCGGCCAGCGGTGTCGATATAAAATGGTTGAAAATCCACCAATCCGAATGAGCGCTGGGATCTGGAGAGAAGAAGATGTGGTCCAGCACTCCGAACGATGACACGACGGTGTCAGGAAATACAGAGTGGCTAAGGTCAGGCAGAATATCGCAGACGGGACTCTAAAATTTTATGTGATGGGTGGCTTCAGCTCGACGTTGTCGTCTGTTTTGCGGGGTTCCTGGTGTCTTGATATGCTCGCCATCGCCACTCCGGTGCCCAAGCTGCCTGCTTCATGATTCGGGCAATGACCCGGTTCCCATCCAACACCCGCCAGCCGGGCCGTCCCAGTCCTGTGACCAGCGGCCCCACAGCAGCCGATCAATGGTAAGGTAATTTACGATCAGCAACCCAGCCCAGTCTTTACTTGATAAATAAGCCGAGAGACCGAGCGAGCGTGGAGAGCAACAACATCAGCAACAAAAGCTTAAAAGGTACGATTATAGTTGAAAAATGAACTGCATCTAAGTTAAATGTTATTAATGCTGGTTCCACAATGCTTTCCCCTTGGTCGTGCAATTGTACGGATCACAGCCGGACCTTACTTGTAAGGGTCCAATACGATGCAAAACCCCAACCCAACCCACAATTGATTGGCGGAATCCAAGCTCACGGTACGGCAAGGCTGATGTCACCTTGACCACCGGGTTGCGGAGGTGGGTCAACCCCACAGCCGGCGCCGACCAACACCAACTCCGGTCGGGTGCCGGATCAGCTGCGGCTGGGCGAGATGCAACACGACCGTTCACCTTCGACCACAGTAATGCCAATACTGCCCTGAGGGAATCCGGACGTAATACACACGACCTCAACGTTGCAAGTCAAAATGACCCTCAAATCAGAGCATTCTATGAAGATTGCACTACTCATTACTCATTACTGAAGTTGCTGGAGCAGAAACACGTTCCTATCACCTCATACACGTCTGCTTCCCACAGTCATCCACAATCGACAGTGTCCTTAGGTCATTGCCAAGCTACGTGTGACGGCGGCCGATCCCGCCTGCACTCACGGCTGCATGTCTCAGCACACGGGCCATCGCGGCTGCACTTTTGGGTTTCCATCTCATGGACAACAAAGAATTCGACTGCCGGAAGAGATACCGGTCCATCTCGCGTGAAGACCCGCTTGCTCCAGGTCTAGGGCTTCAGGGGCAGCTCTACACACGCCATGTGCTTGAAACTCTTTGTCTCTGTGCCCCGGAACATCACACCATGCAACCCGAATCCAGCTTCTGAAGGCTCTCCGGCCCACGACTTGCCAGGAGGAGTATTGTGAAACCTGTAGCACATCGGCATGCGGCTCTGCTCTTCCCTGGCTGCAAGCCGGTTGGCTGAATTCTGACGGTACTCTTCCGACTCGAACCAAGCGCGGCACCTTCTTTGCCCCGTCACTTGTAGTTAGTTATTCATCATGGAGTCAGATTGGAAACATGGCATCCAAACAACACAGGATGAGAAGACAATGACGCAAAGAACAAACCTTCTGGGGAACTCTTGTCAAACCAGGCGTCATCATATGCAGCGTGAACCTGCAAGTATAAATCCCAACCCGCCCTACTGAAGCACCCTCAGATTCCCTCATACATAAGACTACTCTTCACACACACTCCGCTCAACGAACCACTCAGTCGCCTTCGTGGCCATATTCCAAGCTTCGCCTGAATTGTAGTATTCAAGCACCGCCCGGCCGAGGCTCCTGGCACTTGATCATCAATCGAATCTCCTCCACTCCCCTGCCTCCACCGATCCGGAAAATCAGCATCCCCAGAAACTCGATTCAGGAACTGTCTACAGTTTTCCCAACAAGCATCAAGCCCATCAGGTCCTGCTGTCCTCAGTTTCCTACAGCGATAATGGCCAATGGCGACTCCAACAACACGAGGGCAGGCACCATGAAAGCAGGCGGTGCAGCAGAAGACTCCAGCCTCCCGCCTCCCACCTTCCCTCGCTCTATGAAGCGGTACTTTTCGTCCTTTACCCGGCCCAAGTCCACCAGCAGCTCAAGGAGGGCCTCTCAGCTATCCGACTCCGGCTTCTCGACTCTCAGCTCATCCTCGGCGCCCCCTACCTACGAGGACACGCAAGCGGCAACCGCCAGGCTGATCGCGGTCTGGGACGCCGACGACTACATCAGGGCCTTCGTCGACGAGCACTGGTCCAACCACGCGGAACACATCGAGGTCGACTGCAACATCACCCTCGACGAGTTACGCACCCTCGGCAGGCTCCCGCCAGCTGAGGGGTCACGCGCCTGCCGCCCGCTGATCCGCGCGCCTGTCATCCACGAGGAGGTCGCCCTGTCGCTCTGGGAGCACCTCGCCGCGGAAGCACGGGGTCTTGACGCGGCGCCGGCGGAGGCCAGCAACCGAGAGGAGGCGAGCAGCATGCCGACGACGTCCATCCACTCCAAGTCCAGCAGAAGGGAAGTGGCGAAGAGGTTCCTCAAAAAGGGGACGACAAAAAAATCAAGCCGTCGGCAACCGCAGGCGCAGGAGAGCAACACATACGCCAACTTGACCTGCCCCTTTTGCTCCGGCCGCTGCCTCGTCAGCTCTGCCGCCCAGGCCGCCCACACACTAACCCAGCCGCCGCCGCACCAACAAGAAGAAGACTGGGAGGAGGGCTTTTGGCAGCGCGAGGAGCCACCAAGGTACCGCCGGTACGCGCATTTCTCTGAGCCTCCGGCACAGGAGCATATGCGGCACTCGCGCCCCTCTGCTGGCAGTGGTGGTGCAGCCCGGCCCTCCAACACACCAGAAGCGGAGAACGGCGGCAGCAGGAAGAAGCGAGAATGGCTGAAGAAAAAGACAGGGAGAGTGTCGGAGCCATTCCGACTGGTCGCGCTGGTAATACCGCAACCTTATGTGTTTATCGGTGCTAGTTGATGCCGTAGCAATGTTTGCTGGCGCTGTGGCTTTGTTAATGAGTTTGGGGACGGACAATAGGACCGGAACGAGAGATATCGTGGTCGCGAGGAAGTTGCCGGAGATGCCCAGGCAGACGTTGAGCCTTTGTGTTAGAAGATCGCTCGGGTGGCCGGGTGGGATGGGACACAATGGCATGATGATCTGATCGTATTGAGGTGTTAACCCGCGAGGGAGCAGGGCCAGAAGGCTTAGAAATGAAGCGGTAACGAATGGTGTTTGGTGTTTGGCGTGTGATTGACGGGTTGCGGTGATGCGAAGGCAGATGTTTGGCAGGGAATAACACTTCTTCCCGAACCCTCCATTGTTCACAATCCTAGACCCTTAACCTGCCCCAGGAAATCTCCCCTTGCTCCCCTTAACAACGCGTCAACATCCACCCCGGAGAGATACTTCTCGCTGACACCAGTGTTGACTCTCTTCTTGAGCAACTCCTTCAACTCCCAACGCCACTGCTTCACCTCGGCCTTGCTCACCCCTCTCGCCTCCTTCTCCCGCTGTTTCTTTCCGCTTCCCTTTCCCTTCCACGACCCAGCCTGCTTGAGCTCCTCCGAGTCATACTCGACCCCCAACTCCTCGGCCGCCTTCTTCATCCAGTCGTCCTCCTTGGCGCCCTTCTCTTTGGCGATTGTCGTCTCGGTGATCTTCTTGGAAAGATCCACGCGGGGACGCAGATGGGCGACAAGCCTGCGGTCGATATCGATCGTCTGCACGCCGACACCGGCGCTCGCGAGTTTGGATTTTGGCATGTTGACGGCCGCGGCGGCGTGCACTTTGGCGATTAGCCGCTGCGTGGGCACGGCCTCTTTCGGGCCGCAGAGGAGCACTGACACGCCCGAGTTGGTGGCGCGGGCGGTGCGCCCGGAGCGGTGCACGTAGTCGTCTGCGGAGCGGGGCACGTGGTAGTGAATAACGAGGTCGATGTTGGGAATGTCGAGGCCGCGGGCGGCAACGTCGGTCGCAACAAGGATGGAGGAGGTTTGGTTTGTCTTGGTATTGTCGGCTTTGAAACGCTCGATGGACCGGAGGCGGGCTTTTTGCTCCATGTCGGAGTGGAGGGCGAACGCCGGGAGGTTAAGGTTTTGGAGGAAGGTCGTCAGGCGCCGGACTGTGTTAATGGAGTTTGTGAACACCAGGGCGCGGCGGGTGGGTTGAAGAAGGAGCACTGCGTAGAGGTAGAGGTCCTTTTCAGAGTCGCCACATTGTATTAGGCCTTCTTTGAGATTCTCCGCCATTTGGGAGACGGGGTTAGTGTCGAGAAACTTGGGCCGAGGTTCCCGGAAATTGAGCTTTCTGAGGAGGTACTCGAGGGATTCCGCATCGCCCATGAGGTTGTACCGGGCCTTGCCGGCAAGCTTTTGCTGCAGGGCTTTGTTGAAGGTAGCCGAAAAGACAAGGGTCTGGCGGTGATGGCGGGTTGCTGGCTCCCCGTCTGATTCATCGTCCTCTTCCTCCTCCTCCTCTCCTGGGCCAGTCCGGTCCAAAGCTATGAGGATCTCCTCTGCTTCCTTGAAGTGGCCATCCTTAAGGAGCCGGTCCGCCTCGTCTATGACCAAAAAATCAATGCCTCTCAAGGCTCCGAGGACCGAGTTGCTTGAGCTCATGATCTCCCACATCCGGCCAGGAGTTCCAATGACAACATCGGCTTTCTGTAACTGTCTTTGCTGCTTCTGAACCGCCAGGCCGCCGGTGACGGAGCAGATGTAGGGGGAGGTGGTGAGACCAGCACATAGCCGCTTGAGATGGTCGGCGATCTGGTGGGCGAGTTCCCTGGTGGGCGAGAGGATCAATGCAATGGGCTGCTTCGTCTCAGAACTCTCCTTGCGCGCTGCCGCCTTGGCCAACCACCTCTCGACGATTGGAATGCCAAAAGCAAGGGTTTTCCCCGAGCCTGTAGATGCTTTTCCGATGACGTCGTGCCCATTCATGACTTCGGGGATTGCTTGGGCTTGAATCACTGTTGGCTTGGAGAACTTAAGGCGGGCAAGGGACGATAGCATCTGGGGAGACAGGTCGAGCGGAACCCATTCGGACATGTCGATGTCATTGTCCTCGGCCTCGTCCTCGGCGAGGTCAACGGCTTGGGCGAAGACATTTGTTTCCAGTTCGGGGTCTGCGTCGACGGACTCAACTTTTGCGGCCTTTTGCTCCTTCTTTTCTTTCCTTTGGGCTTTGACGTCCGCTTGTTGTGTTTCGGAGTCTTTGAGCTGAGCCTTGGACGCCTTCTTTGAAGGTGCAGGTGCCTTCGGCTCTGCAGATCCGGATGGGGAGTCTCCCTCAGAGATTGCCTCGGATTCCACCGGAGCGTCATCAAACCCTTCAAACTTGTCGCTCTCATCTGGTTCCGCGACAGCAGCCACCTGAAGGCGAGTTAAGCGATGTGCAGGCCAGGAGAAGCGGTAGGCCCGAGGCATATGGGGAACTCACAAACTTGACAGTGTTCCCCTCCCGTATGATGTCCACGCCTTCTACCTCTTCCAGACCGTAAAAGCCCTCGGCATCATTGAACATTTCCGGGACCTCAACCGACTTCCATGCGAGGGAGTCGACGCTCGTCACTCGCTTCCCGGCGTTGCTCCTTTGACGCTTGAAGTTAGCACCGGGCGCCTCGGTCCGTTTTCTCTTTTTGTCGATGGCCATATTGTCAGATGTTGGCTGGTTCACGGCGGGTTGTGAGCGACAGATGAACTCGGAGGCAAGACTTCAGTTGAAGGCTGTTTGAGAAGGGAAAAATACCTTAGTGATACGCAAGTGTTATTCCGGTCCCACTTTAAGCACAGAAGCCGCTTGTGAATGGCAGATGGAGTGACCGCCAACCAGATTGAGCTCAGTGGTTTACCGTAATTGATACATACCCCTCGCATCTCTTTCGATTCTGGAATGAGTTGCTCATTCAGTGTTCACCAGTGACCAAAGCTCAAAACTCGCCAAACGTCTCACCATTTTGGAGGCCCAAGACATCGCCATATTCCCAACGCATCAATGTATTGAAGACCGTTTTGGTATTTACTTATCTAGCTTCCTCTAGTCTTGCGCACTTCGGTTCGTGTGGCGCATCGTTCTCTCTTCTCTAACGCCAAGTCACCCAATTTTTGTGCGAAAAAAAGATGGGAAAATCGTCGAAGGACAAGAGGGATGCCTACTACAGGCTCGCCAAAGAGCAGGGGTGGCGGGCAAGGAGCGCTTTCAAATTGCTTCAGCTCGATGAGGGTGAGTGACACCGGATCGTGGCAATGTCCCTCTGTTCCACCGACTGACTGATCGAGTACGGCAGAGTTCAACCTCTTCGAGAACGTCACCCGGGTGGTCGATCTCTGCGCTGCCCCCGGCAGTTGGTCTCAGGTGCTCTCCAGGGTGCTCATCAAAGGCGAGAAGTTTGGCCGCTGTGCATGGCAGGACCGGGAGGCCAAGTTTCGCCAGCAAATGCTCAAGGTCTTCTCGTCAGACGAAGCCCCTGAGCAGCAGAAGCCCGCCGTGCGGACCGATACCTCTGTCGACGAGAACCCACGGCCGCGAGGAGACGTCAAAATTGTGTCCATCGACCTACAACCCATCAGCCCCCTACCGGGAATCATCACCCTCAGAGCCGACATCACGCATCCTGCCACTGTGCCTCTTTTGCTCAAGGCATTGGACCCCGACTACGACCCCGAAACTATGAATCAGCAAGCTTCGCAGCCTGTCGACCTCGTCATCAGCGATGGCGCCCCGGACGTCACCGGTCTCCACGACCTCGACATCTACGTGCAATCGCAGCTGCTGTTCGCCGCCCTCAATCTTGCCTTGTGTGTGTTGAAGCCTGGTGGCAAGTTTGTTGCCAAGATCTTCAGAGGTCGCAACGTCGATCTCCTCTATGCACAGCTTAAGATCTTCTTTGAGAAGGTCTACGTCGCAAAGCCCCGTTCGTCCCGCGCGAGCAGTGTTGAAGCCTTCATCGTGTGCATCAACTTCCAGCCGCCTGAAGGCTTCAAGGCCAGTCTGGAGGAGCCCTTGGGGGTCGGCAGCCGGCTCCCCAGGATGCTGGCTGAGAGGAACGCAGTGGTACCGATCGTCGCCCCTGTCTTGATGCAAGATTCCGAGACTGGAGCCTGGAATGATACCCCTGACCGGCCACAGACGGCAGACGAGAGCGGCATTTCCGACGTCGAGGTTGATGATTTGTCCACCGGACCACAGGACAAGGATATTCGCTGGGTCGCCCCGTTTGTCGCGTGCGGCGACCTCTCAGCCTTCGACTCAGACGCTTCGTATAAGTTGCCTGAGGACCACGTCTCCCTCGACCCAGTACAACCGCCCACAGCACCACCATACAAACGAGCCATTGAGTTGCGGCGAGCCAATGGCGGCGCATACGGGAAACCACCAGGCAAATAAGATCGTTTTGCCTCATCTAAATCGCATTATCTCGCTACCTTTCCTTCTCCGTCCCAGTCTTACTCGCATCTGCACCCATTGCTTTGCCCACCTTGAACGTAGCCGCAGTCCCACGCCTCTCGAGCAGAACCAAGTCCTTCGACGGCGTCTCACTGATGTACTTGGCCCCAATTGTCGCCCGATACATCTTGACCGCGGCCTCGCCGCTTGTAAACAGCAAACAGCGCCTCAGGTGCGGCCACGAACTCAACACCTCGTCCAGACATTGCATCATCCACTTCCCCAACCCCTTCCCCTGGTGCGAGGCCAGCACGTACACGTCGGTGAGATAGCCGAACGTGGTGTAATCCGTGACGAGGCGGGAGAGGCCAATCATGGTCATTACCTTTCCGTCGCCGCTCTTTCCGTGGTCTTCATCCCCGTTCGCTGTATGAGTGGGGTCGGACTATAAGCCACATGCTTCACATCCTGACTTCTTCAGCTGTAGAAAGGAAAACACCCACCTCCTTGCTCGTCATGGATGTAGAGTCCGAAACAGAGTGACTGCTCGACACAGAGTCTCAATGTCTCGAGGGGGACTGGTTGGGCCCAGTAGATCATGTCAGAGCCCAAGGCCGCGTTGAGGGCGTCGAGCTGGATTAGGGAAGGGTCGGTAGAGATGATGTAGGTGCAAGTGCGGTGGTCATCGCCGGGGATCTGACGGGTCCAGGTTCGGAGTTCGTGGGCTGGTGGCATCTTGATTGGTGTGTATGTGTATCTGCTGTGGAAAGGGGGTGGGCGGGAGACGTGGAGTCGGGATGAGCGGGATAGTTGAAGCGGGGAGAGAATGCGAAGCCCTTTTATATATGAAAAGGGCGACGCTGCGCCTTGTTTATGACAATGGAAGTCAACAAAGGAGGAATGAGAATTGAGAGAGGGTTGATTGCCGAGCCGCCGTGAGTCATCCGACTGTCGGCATCGAGAGGGGCCAGCTTTGCGACCCGGTTCGGCATACAGTTTATCTTGTCTTGGCGGTCCACCTCATGTATGAATCGGACATTGACATGTCCACCGTCCCACGCCAGCCAGTAGTTTAGTATTGGTGTACGAGGTTAGCCATCATATGGTTGTGGCAGCAGACTCGTCCCGGCATAGCTGAGTATTTCACTTCCCACAGCAACAATTTTCCTTACCGGTCCACTGGCAGCCTGGCATCGACGAGGCTCCAATGTGTGACCAGCCCAGTTGTCTCAGAGAATACTTTGTAGCAAGCTTGCTTCGTAAAGTAGGAATGTCTCCTTTGTCAACACGGTTTTCCCCCGGAGTTGGTTGTCAGTTCGATCCGCCTCTCGGTCGCCAACCTCTTTTCATGCCAGTTCCCGGGCCCAACCTTCCAACGGCGAATTAAAACCCTCCCGAGGGTTTTCCCAAGCCCCGGACCGAAGGAGCTCGGTGGTGAGCTTGTTGACCTCGATAACTTCTCTTCCCTCTCTGTCCAAGAGAGCAGAGGAACCTCGAACTTCAGATAGTTCATCGGTACTAAGGGGAGTTAGCCCATTCTGGTGGATTCGCAAAAATTTCGATGTGCAGTCGAGCCCTTATTCAGATTGTCTGAGCAGATACTTATTTTCCAGCACATGGCGTTTATAGATTTCCACTCCCTGTACCTGCTTTCATGGCCAATACCACCAGTTTTCCCCCTTTTATCTGTCCGGCGGGGGCGACGTTTCCATTCCAGAGCAACTAAGGTTGATACCATGAAGCTGAAGGCCCCGGCAAGATGGTGATTGAGTCATGGGTGTTACGTTATGGGAAAGTATGCCCCATCTCCAATTCGCAGCCAAGTGCGAGAATTGCGGACGCAAGGTCATGGGTAGGACGGTTCCAATGGACAAGCAAAACCTGAGCATCGAATTTTGTTATATGCGAGACCCCTTCGCATTCGCGTCACAGTTGCTGGAAAAACAACCCTGATAGGGACAAAAAACCAGCACCAAGGGGCCAAGTGACAGAGCATAAAAACAACACCAAGCTCTAAACCTCATACCAGCGCACCTGATTAGTAGTCATCCCCACGACTCAAAATTTCCTTGTGTGTCTGGCGGAGGAGGAAGGTCTGAGAGCCGGTTAGCTGTGCACTCATTTGCTCCGGCAAGGAACTCGATGGTAACCCACATGTTCGAACTGTGCCGAGTAAGATCCCTTAACGTCCATCAAAGGAACATATTCTTCCACAACTCCCTGTTGGACCAAACAGTTCATCTGGCGTTGCTCATCAGTATGGAAGCCAACATGCAACGCTCAACAGGGACACGAGTACTCACGCCAGCCAGGTACTTATCGACACCAAGGCGTTCGAGATAACGGCGACAGAAGACCAGCGTGCCGAAGTTCTCTCTGATGGTCTTGTGCAGACCTTTGGCAGAAGAGAGAGGCACGGGCACACGAAGGGGCGCATCATGATTGAGGCCGTAACCATACACGCCAACCTGCTCAGCAGTTAGGCACTTTTCAGTGACCCCTCAGGATGAGAAGAGACACTCACATCGTCCACGATGTAGCCACGTCCGGTGGTCCCGAACGTCTCAATGGCAAATACCTCGCCCTCTTCCATCTTGGTCTGGTCGCGGGTCTTGACGAAGGGGATGGACTTGCCACCATGGATGCGGTACTGCTTGATGTTATGGCCGCTGAGGTTCCGGACGGGCTTGACGCGGTACGTCTTGCCCCGAATTTCAACCTCATAGCTCTCCATGACTTCCTGGATGGCAGCGCTAACATCGCTGATGCGCACGTCGATACCGGCAGTCTGGAACAGTCATTAGTTTCACCATTCGAAACTGAGTCTGCCTCAGGATTACCTTGACACCAGTGTTGGTAGCATCCTTTACCGCGGCCAAGAGGTTATCGTAGGTGGGGTCGAAGGCCATGGTGAAGGCGCTGTCGAGAATCCAGCCGTTGACGTGGACACCAAAGTCGACGGTCAAGACGTCCTGCTGCTCTAGCACGACCGTCTTCTGGCCGGGGTTCGGCGTGTAGTGGGCGACCTGGTGGTTGAGACAGAGACCGGTGGGGAACCCCATGCCGGACTTGAGACCGTCTCCGGGTTCCAGGCCGGCATTGTCCAGCAGCGCTCTGACACTGTCTTCAATACCCTGAGCAATGTCCTGGAGACTCTGGCCGGGCCTGGCGGTTTCCTGGACCCATCGTCTGGTCTGACGGTGCACTTCGGCAGCCTTGCGATAGTTGTTGAGGAAGGTTTCATCTTCCCAGTGGCGCCGGCTGTTGTATCGAGTTTCAGCGGCTGATATCCGCGCCGTATCCTGGTAGCTCTGCACTTCGCCCTGAGGGTAGCTGCCACACGGGAAGAGGGTGGTCAAGGGGACTCTGGGCGGCGACGATTGCTGAGCGAGCAGGTTTGCCTTGGTTTTCTTCGACTTCTTCTTGTTGCGCCGTTTGCGCTTCTTCTGAGCGGTTCCCGCATCGACTGATGCTGGGGTTACTTCACCGTGGTCACCGTCATCGTCGTCGTCCCCCTCCCCATCCCCGTCGCTCTCCTCAACGCCGCCACCGTTTCCGAGACAGCCATCTCCGTCTCGGGACATGTGCGAACCGCGAGGCTCTCCTCCGCAGACAGGAGGCTGCTCATCCAAACTGGGTGAGTCCCCTGCAACAAATGAGCACGTGCACCTGAATATCAGAGTTTTATAACAGAAGTCACGTACCATGGAGTCTGCGATCGCCGCTCTCTGGAGCTCTGGTTCCCATTCCGGCATTGACAAGTTACCGTAGGGGGTCTGTTGCACGTTGTGGCAATAGTCGACGATTACCTGGTGGATTTCAGCGAAATGGAGATGCGAAGTTGCAACAAGCAAACGATTCTACCCCACCCAACGACACTTAGAGCAATGAGGGGAAAAGCGGGGCAAAGGGGTACACACCAGCTCCCCATCTGCAAACATCGCCGAGTGATGTGGGAGCGATACCCCATTGGGACCGCACTTGCCGGGCTGTTGGCTCAGGGAGGCCATTCGCAGATCGTAAGATCTTTCGTATCATGCAATGCAGACCGTTCTCAACCGCGGTGCGAGGACCTAGGTAGACTTCCTTGGCCGCTCGACAGAGGTTCGGTTGGGTCTACATGTAGAGTACCGTAACTTTTAGAGGTCAAGATTTGGATTGCCTTCACAGGCTACATACAGGGCACCTGCCCAAGTCGGCTGGAACTTCATTGGCGGACCCACGGCACTGATGAGAGCTCGATGTCTGCGTGGACCAGATGTGCTCAGACCGTCAGTTTCTAGCTTCACTCAAGCCTAGCCCTTGGCTCCATGTGTCGGCCTATGAAAACGTGAAGAGATGAGACTTAGGGACACGCGTGTGGACATCCTACTCCGACCCGTCCGAGTTGCCCATTTGGGATTCGGAATAGCTTCCAGCAGCGTGCCCCACTTTGAGCGGACCGGGTGACAACTGAAACCTGGACTGCGGTTGGGCCGTGGCTTTTGGCGACGGATGGTGGGTCCGGGTCCCACATTCCGGCCCGCAGGCACATGCTTCCCAGGCCGGAGACAACCGGCCGGAACATACAACTCATTAAGTTGCGTTCTGTTTCCAGTCCACCTTTTCCGCCCTTCAATTGTTTTTATTCGCTGCAACATGCTCTCCGCCACGCTTAAGCTGGTCGCATACATGAAGCGCCCGAGAATAAATGACAATCAGATGGAATTTCATCCACCGTGGTATCTTGGCGCCAGTCTGGCGTGCGCGACATCGAGGGCTTGAAACGCAACGGACGGCTTTATCGAACCCCTCGGTGGTCGACTAGCACGGGCATATCAAAGACATAGGACACGGCCCTGGAATCCTGGATGGGTCATCCGCGTCCGCCACGTGTTTATGGGCGCGATCCTGACCGAGCCAGCAGGCGCGCGGCAACGAGTCTCTGCGACTTTCAAGGCTAAAAGCTCGTCCAGGAGCAAACGGGCCAGGGCGTACATTCCAAGATCGGTGGATGAGAATGCATGTCCGATAGCAGCACAGGCGCTGAAGCAACCTGCTCTTCAGGACCATTAGTTCGGCTACCAAAATAGCTGGAACCCAGGGAGTGTTCGGTCATTGTCGACTCTCGGAGGGGACGGTTTGCGGGCACGTTGGTGGTGGTGCCGGAGGTGTTCGCATTAACCCCGTGTTTTTGTGCCGCCCACCTTTGTTTTCCTCGCGACATTGCACCTTTGAGACGACGCCCTCATTTCTCCCGCCTCCGCTTTCGCTCTTCTCTACCAGATTCTATCTCGAGCTTACCTTATTGCTACCTCCGATCTCCAGTCCATTGCAGTTTCTTTCGCAAGAGGAAGCGTCTTGCCCCACCTAAACTGTGAGTCGAGTCTCGCCATTTTGCGACACTGCTGTCGCGCACCGATGCGCCAGCGTGCGCGCCGATGGCCACTGCGCCAGGCGTGCCATTGTCGCGTTCTGCGCCCGGCAACCCAACATTCATTCTCAATCGCATAGCCATATTGATTATATACTGATTCGTTCCTCCAGACCTTTCGTCCAAAGATCAGACTCAGTTATGGCTCGCGAAACGCGATCGCAGACGGGCAACGCGAAGCCGCGCGTCATTCCCGTCATCGACACGGCGCCCACCATCAAGCGCAAGCCAGCGACCAAGCAGGCCGCCACCAAGACGGAGGCGAAGGCCGCCAAACCCGCCGGTGTGACCAAGAAGAAGGCACCCAAGAAGGAAACCAGTGCGGCTAAGAAGGTACGCAATCCGCCGCCACAACTTTGGCGCGTTAGCGGCCGCTGTGAATGCCCCCCCCTGGATGCTGATTCTTTCGTTCATAGGTCAAGGCTGCGGTGAAGAAGACGGCGAAGAAGGTGGGCGCGACCGAGAAGAAGGGTGAGGAGAAGGCCGAGGAGAAGGCTGAGAAGGTAACGACTGCCTCATCCATTCCACACTCCTACATCTAGATTATCGTACCGTCGTTTCTGCTGGACCTTGCATCCATGATGTATCTTCCCTTCTCCCAGCTGACCGTCAACCTAGGAGGCCAAGCTCAAGACAACGACGAAGAAGAAAGATGCCGCTGCCGACAAGTGATGACAGCCTATCAGCTGTATTTCACTGCCAAGCTTTAAGCTATCGCCTCCTCGGAAAGGGGCTCCTGACCTTCCTGCCTGTTTTCTTCAGTTCTTGGCTAGCCCCGTTTCTTTTTGGCTGGGTACTGGCTTCTTGGACAGAGCGCTTCGTTGGGCTTTCTTGGCTGCGCTGGAGGAATGACCTGTAACATAGTCTTGTTTGTGTCTATTGATGATATTTTGCTGGAAACCTACACGAGAAATCCCCTGATACTCGGCCACAGCGATTTCATGTCCGCCATGGTTTCTCAATCAGACCGGCACGACATGGAGTGGGCAAGTTCGTCGACGTGCCTTGATCGTTGGCATAGATTACGTGACGGCGAAGAATGTAACTTTGAGCGGTGTTGAGTGTGTAGGGAGCTGCATCCACATCCCTCAGGTCTCTGTGTTTCGTTCGTTACGTCAGATGCAGGGCAAGCGCAAGATTATCGAAGATGGAATTGACGAAGGGGCTTCCTCCAAGCGTTCGAAACGAAAAAGGAGTCCGTCGACAACAGGGGCTAGTCCTGTAACATGTCTAGTCTCACTACAAACAAGCTTGGTACCTCAAGCGGTAACACCTAACCTCGAGTACAGCGGCGTGAAATCAGGTTCCTCCTCTAGATTGAAACATCACAGTGATTTTTCTCAATTCATTTGGAGAGAGACGGGAACTGGGCTCTATTAAGGTACCGTGACGAGCGTGACCACGCTGGCCGGCAGGCAAATGCTGGACCCACAGCGATTTGCACCAATAAAGACATAATACTGTACTTATGTACAAGGGTGCGAGTCTCCTTGCGCGAACGCCCCGTCACTGCGCGCGCATGGTCGCGAATCTTGATTCTTGTGGAAAGCTTCCTGCCGTTTTCCAAATAGCGTCGACATGAGCCCATCGCGCCCATTGGCATCACCCACAAACCATGTATATTCTCAAGCCTTCGTGGCTGCGGCATAGTGGTAAGTAGCCGATTTGCTGCCTGTTAACACACTGTAATGTATACACAGTAGCTGATTGCGACCGGTCGTTCAGGCGAGCAGAAGGATTTCGAGGTATACAGCTGCCACGTCTCCCCGGATGGCTCGAGGCTAGCTACGGCTGGTGGAGGTATGTTGGTGATGTTGGTAATGTTGAACTGATTCACGGTCGCTGAACTGCATGAGATGGCCACGTCCGAGTTTGGTCGACCGAAGCCATCCTCAACTCTGAGAAGCCCGACAACGGCAAACCACGGCAACTCTGCCACATGAGCCATCACCTCGGAACCATCCACTCAGTGCGCTTCTCACCGAACGGCCGCTACCTCGCTTCCGGCGCCGACGATCGGGTCATCTGCATTTACCAACTGGACCGCAACCCACCATCGCACGCAGCGACGTTTGGTACGGATGAGAGCACCAACGAACGCCAATATCTTGCTTCACTGACGCAGTCCTGCAGGCACAAACGAACCGCCACCAGTAGAGAACTGGAAAACGCATAAGCGCCTCGTCGGCCACGACAGCGATGTTCAAGACCTCGCCTGGTCATATGACAACTCGATCCTCGTGTCCGTGGGGCTTGACTCCAAGGTGGTCGTCTGGTCCGGACACACGTTTGAGAAGCTGAAGACTATCGCCGTCCACCAGAGCCATGTCAAGGGCATCACATTCGACCCGGCGAACAAGTTCTTTGCCACTGCGGGAGACGACCGACACATCAAGATCTTCCGCTTTACACCGCCTCCGCCGAACGCAACACAGCATGACATGGTGAACAACTTTGTCCTTGAGACGACAATCAGCGCACCGTTTAAGAGCTCGCCGCTCACAACATACTTCCGGAGGTGTAGCTGGTCACCCGACGGTAACCACATCGCAGCGGCCAATGCAGTGAACGGCCCGGTGAGCAGCGTTGCCATTATCGAGCGGTCTACTTGGGACAGCGAGATCAACCTGATCGGCCACGAAGGTCCCACCGAAGTGTGCATGTTTTCTCCACGGCTGTTCCACACGCAAAAGCCCAGCGAGAACGGGTCCAGCGAGAAGGCTCCTCCCCTGGTAACCGTTATTGCGTCCGCCGGCCAGGATAAGACACTTAGCATATGGAACACGAACACGTCAAGGCCGGTCGTCATCTTGCAGGATGTGACGTCGAAGTCGATCTCAGACTTGGCCTGGACCCCGGATGGCCAAACATTGTTCGCCTCGAGCTTGGACGGCTCCATCCTCGCAGTCACGTTTGAGGTTGGCGAGCTGGGCTGGGTAGCGACCTCGGAGGAGAACGACAGAGCACTGCAAAAGTATGGTGGGTCGAGGAAGGGCATGGGAATCGCCGAGGATGTCGACGGTCTGCACTTGGAGAATCACAGCAAAGAAGGAGAGCGCCGGGGAGCCGAATCAAGAATGGGGGCCTTGATGGGCGATTTCCAAGCCGAGGAAAAGACCCACGCAGTTACGACCAATGGAACCAAATCGACGGATAAGAATGGCGAGACCAATGGCACTACACAAACATCAACGGGCAAAGAGGCCGCGAAGGCTGCGGCCGCCGACGAAAGCGCAGAGAAAACGGCCGAACGGATAGCTGAACTAAAGTCGCGGGTGCAGGTCACCAAGGACGGTAAGAAGAGAGTAGCGCCCTTGCTTGTCTCTTCCTCTGCTACTGGCCTCTTGTCTTTGCCTCAGTCGCAACTGGTGGGAGCAAAGTCTGCCAAACCGACGCAAAACGACCCACCGCAGACAATGCTGGACCTCTCCAAGCCTTTCCATGGCTTACCAAGAGGCGGTATCGCTGCGATGCTTCTTGGTAACAAGAGAAAAGCTGCCCCAACAGAGGCAGAAGAGGATGAAGAGCTGCCAGCCAAGCGGCCATCAACCAGCCCTGTGCTGATAATGGTTGACACCCCTGAGGGCCTGGAACCCGCCCCTCCCACGGCCCCGGCGCACGGCATGGTGCCGACACCGGAGTTCCTTCGACCGGCTGTCATAAGCCCTGCCATTTCTTTCTCTCAAATCAGGTTGGCTGTTCCCAAGGTGCGGTCACATATCCTCAGACCGCTTGAAAGGGGCGTTCTGCAAGGCCAGTCAAGTCAGGAAGAAGCATCGAAGGTGCCTGAGAACATCATTCTCGAGGCCAGAAACCCGATAAAACCCCGCGAACCTTCGCGCATTACCGCCTCCAAACGCGGCGCCTTACTATGGCAAGACTTCCTCCCGCGAGCGATCCTTCTCGTCACGGGAAGCAAACACTTTTGGGCCGCTGCGTGTGAAGATGGCTCCATCCATACCTGGACTCCGGCTGGCCGCCGCCTCCTCAACGGCATCATCCTCGACTCGCAACCCGTCATCCTCGAGTCGCGGGATCACTGGCTCCTCTGCATCACGTCTGTCGGCCTCTGCCACGTCTTCAACATCAAGACCATGTCCGCCGCCCATCCACCCGTCTCTCTCGCCCCGATACTTGACATCGCCATCACCTCTCTCTCCCCCGAGGGCGCGACCCCTGCGCCCGGTGTCACTTCAGCCCACCTCAACAGCGTCGGCGCCATCGTGGTCACCCTCAGCAACGGAGACGGGTTCTACTACTCGTCCACCATGTACGCCTGGCAGCGACTGTCAGAATCATGGTGGGCCTTGGGGAGCCAGTACTGGAACAGCAACGACTCGTCCATCAGCGCGCTTTCCTCTACCGCCGTGGGTCCGGTAACGAAGAACGGGGCGTCCACGACGTCAGACAAGGGAGAAAATGGAGAAGTCAGCGTCTCGGCGGGCGTCATACCCTTCCTCGAACGGCATACCACCACCGAGTTCCTGCTGAAGGGACGCGCGTACACCTTGCAAAGGCTCATCAAGACGCTGCTGGCCAAGGACGGGTTCGAGGGGTTCGAGAGCACCGTCAGCGTGGCCCACTTGGAGAATCGCATTGCCGGGGCGCTCGCGCTCGGCGCGAAGGAGGAGTTCAGGTTGTATCTGTTCATGTATGCTAAACGGATTGGCGCTGAGGGGTTGAGGGGGAAGGTGGAAGAGTTATTGAACTGCTTGGTTGGGGGCGTTTTGCGGGAGAAGAGCGCGGACGGCGAGGGGAAGGGGTGGTTCAGTAGGCAGGAGACGTTGGGGGGGTGGAACAGAAAGGAGTTGCTGAAGGGGGTCGTGCTGATTTTGGGTAAGTTTCTTGCTGCTCTCGCGTTCCATTTATCGCGAGATGGGGCGCTGACTGCTGTTGACCAGGCAAATTCCGTGACCTCCAGCGGTTGACGGTCCAGTACGCCCGCATCCTCGGGCTGACTGCCGATAAAGAAGAGGGCGGCGGCGGTGAGAACACAGCAGCCGAGGGGATGGAGTTGGAGGACTAGAGTGCCGCCGAACTGGTCGCTCGTTCTCCTTGACCATCGCTTGATTAGTCCTTCGTCATCGCTCCGTTGTTGGCATCCGTGCCCATGGATTGGCAAGCCGACACGGAGGCGGTCCGTTCGCTCACTCTCGTACTCACGAGCGAATCAGACACACACCATTCCTCGAGCGAGATGGGAAGCGGCCGCGTCGACACCGGACTGCCATCACTTTCGTCGCCCAAGCCCCTAATCCCTCTTGTCCGTCGAAAGGGCTTGAAAAACTCGAGCCGAAGAATGGCGTGGCTACGAATGGTCATGTTGGTAGTGGTTTTGGCATTGGCATAGAGCTGGCTCCTCGGCTTTGGCACCTTAGCTCCTGCCGTCATGACGCCCTGCGTGATGTACCTGTTACTCAGTAGTTGGTTTTGATCATTGTTTCGGGCTTGTGGAAGGGGGCGCGGAGGCCGGCGGTGGGACCGCGCTCTCAGTCTTGCTTGTTCCTTCTTCTCTTACATGGATGGGTCATGGCACAATGCGGTTGCTCTGGCATTCTCCTCGGGAGATTTGGCGTCCGGTGAGAGTATTGGTCTGAGCTGGTGCTGGGGCTAGACGTGATGATTCGTAAGCGGTGTACTTTATGACAGCATCTGCATCATGCTAGCCTTGGAACTGGACAGTTAACAAGAAGTTCTGATGATTCGCGAGTCGGCTATGGAGTATTCTTTGTACATTATCTGTAGTTGGCCCGAGGGTGACAGCGGGGAGGTCGGACTCAGGTAAAAGTATACGCACAAATGCAAATTCCCTAGGGAGAAGCCGAGGCCAGACATTTCCAAAGTTCCCGTTGGTCAACCAAAGGTTCTATGGGTCATACAAGATCAAAAGGTACCCAATAAGAGATCCATTCTCCTTGCGGCCAATTGCTTGTTCACGAGTAACTCATGTAAATAAATAAGGACGGACGACAACTACGCAGAGTGTTTTGCGGTAATCTGTAGAACAGACGGTATAACAGAGTTTCTAAGAAGTTTATACTGAGGCGCTGCAAAGTATCTGGATGTATCTTGTAGCGACCCCCTTTATGCTGCAGCCGGCTTGGCCCAACATATACCGGCAAGCTCTATCCCAACCTGAGAAACGGGGTTAAAAGAGTTTAGATAGCGGGCATGTAGTCAGCCCAGGTTGCATTGTAAACGCCTTGTGGCATGGCACGCAGACTGGACAGGCCAACCGCAACCAGAAGGGGCCTAGCTGCGCAATACGAGCCCATGGCCACGTAGAGAAACGCAGATTTGAAGGCGGTCGGAAGGCTGCGACGAGGAAACACGTTGGCCCTTGCCGCCTTCTCGACCATCTTCTTGGGCCCCTGCCCATCCACGAGGAGAAAGAGCTGGCGTAGATGCAACGCGTAGTCCCGTGGCAGTCAAGATCGGGTCGGTGCTGGAAGGGCTCCTTCTTGTCGATGAAGTCGAGCATCTTCTGCCGGAGAGCCGGTCCGTACTTGAAGGCACTGTTATCCGGCCAGAGCAAGTCCCTGTAGAGCCCTCTGGCATAGCGGTTTTCGGTGTCGACACTCCAGTGGTACCCGCCTCCCAGCGCTCGTCGGGCTATTGCAACCTCGCGTTTCTCGTCTGCCTCCTTGAGCCGGCAGGAAAGTTTGCGCAAGACTTGTGCCGTGGCGTATAGAAAGTCTCGCGGGTTACCATGACGCCATGTGGCCTGGGACAGCGGAATGCCCAGCAAGCCGAGCGGCGGGATCAGGATGGTCAGAATGGTGCAAACGTGCCAAACAATTGCTTCTTCTGCCGTCGGAAAGTCAAAGTTCATGGAATGGCATGGAGATTGCAGAAGATAGCGGAAACTAGGGCCAGCAGGAGGGTAGCACCGTGTGTGAAGCCCATGTCGTGGGCGGGGATGTTATCGTTGGGGACACGATGCTCGCTGTAATCCTTTTGGCCCAGGTCGTATATCAGCACTCTCAAGAAGCTGTCGAAGGATTTGAGGGTTTGGAAAGCGAGCTTGTCGTGGCTTAGGTAGGTGTTGGTTGGGAGGTGTAAATTGGAATACTCCAGGCTCCCCCGGTCTGTACCGCAACAGAAACGTCCTTGGGCTTGTACCAGTAAACGGCATAAGTAGCAACGCCGCAGACGGAAAAGGCAAGTATCAGGACTTCGAGTTGGGAGATGGGTAAGCCCTGGATGCGGCGGACACTGAGGGAGAGGACGAGGTTGGATATCTGCAAAACGGAGAAGGCTTTGGCAAGGCCATCCGTCTTGCTCTTGTCCTTTAATTGGCTTCGGTAATGGCCGAGTACTGAAGGAAACGGAGATACATGGCGAGCTGAATTCCCGTCAGAGGACGCGCAGCGGGCTTGGGGGTAGTCGACCCGGGAGGCAACCAGTCGAGTGACGGAGTGTAGACCAAACCGCCCATGTCGGCAAAATAAAGCGTGTGTCAAGGTCCACTTGTGTGGTTTGCCGCGACGAGCTCTCCAAAGGTTGGCTCTGCTTCTCCTCGTCGCCAGGACCGTCGTGCAGCGATGTCAGTCCCGGTGTGGCGCACATGGTCCGGCAGCGGGTTGACCAGTTTCGGAGGTCGGTCAGCCAGGACGGATACTTGACATCTATCTCGCCCTGTCTGCGGTCATCGCGGAGAGCGGCCTGCATCAGGTCCATGCATCGGACTGCCATGGCCAATTCGAGGATGGCGTGGGCCAGGATGAGTTCGGGAAGTAGGATGGTGACGAGCATCCATTTAGAGACCCGAAGGCACCTGCGCAGCTCCCCATCATGGGCAAGGGGCACGTTGAGGTGCTGGATAGTCCAGGTACACGCGAATATGATGGCGGTGCAGGTCACAATGATGCTGAAAGTGCCTCGCGTACGGTCTCCATTTGTTCTAGATTCCGTGTCAGCCACCATCCCGAAGCTGTGTCTGCTTTTCTCTGCTGTTTTCCGCCACGGGGACACGTACCAGCTAACGAGCTGGTTTGCCATATCTCATCAGATGCAACGCATGCATGCCGAAAATTCAGCGTTTCGACAAAGGATGCTCATGTTGGTGGTGGGTTAGAATGCTCGCTGCTTGCTTGTGTCGACAACGGCAGCCTCAGGTCTCGCCCAATGCGGCGCAACATGTCACGGTCTGCAGTGATTGCTGCATGGCTTGTAACGTGCAATACATGCAGTGGAGGTAAAGCAAGCTATCTGAAATGCCATGCACGCGACTTGCCAGGGGTTCTTCCCCAGGCGGTAACATTGCATTGCAAGACTGAAACTCGCAGAACAGGATTATGCAGTGACTCGAGCTGCTTCCAGGTTTGTTTCCGTGGCAGGAGGAGCAGAGGTGGAAAGTGGTTGCCCTGGGCCTGTTTGGAAGCACTCGGGCTGTTCAACATTACCAACCTGCACGTTACCCTGCCCAACTTACACCAGCGAAACGTCAATTTTGTTCGTCGCCTTTGTTAGTCCGTTAAGCGCCTGTAACTGATAGTTTTAAGCTGGACACAGCCACAGAAAGAAGGGCATTCCTGAGGTGGGCAACGATTCCATTTTGCTGGCCCCTCATCATGGGCCAGCCCTTCGTTCCTTCCCTTATTTAGCATTCATTTGGGCTAAGACTGCTGCCCGACCATTCCGCCTTAAGCTACTTCCTTGATTTCCTCCGGCACCATAGCTCCCTGGCGGTTGACAAAGACAAAGGCCATCCATAAGGCTGTGGCTTCGGGCGACATCACCAAACTCAGGAGAACTGCTCATACGCAAACCCACCAATGTAAACGTTCACAACGCCAATGGCGCCACAGCCCTTTACATCGCCGTCTCCCGGGCGGACCCGGAGGCGCTTGAAGCACTGCTGAGCCATCCCAACATTGATCCCAACGCCCAAGATCCCAAAGGCAAGACCCCTTTGCAGCTCGCCGCCTCTGCTGGCAGCTTGCCTACCGTCCAGGCTCTGCTCGAACATCCCGGCATAGACGTCAACCTGGCCGACCGCGATTGCCGCTCCCCGCTTCATTGCGCCGTCAACGTATGCCCGGTCGAATCATCCGAGACGCTCGTTGCCGCGCTGCTGTCCGGGACCTCTGGGGTCAACCACAAGGCCCAAGACAAACAACAACGTACCCCACTGAACTGGGCGCTGCACTGGTCTTTCTCACATAGTCATGGCTCTCATTGGGAACCGTGAGGTGGTATCAGAAGTCGGAGTCGCCGATTTTGAGGGCAACACTGCTCTACATAGGGCCGTCATCTGCCCTGACAGCATCGCCTTCGGGATGGCTCGATTGGTTAATGGCCAGGAGCAGGCTGTCTTGATTGCGACGAACAGCATGTCCGAACCAGCCCTTCACGTCCCTGCAAGATGGAATGTTTCCGAAGCCATCGAGCCGCTGATCGATGCGGGTGCCGACCTCGACATACATCGCAGCTGGGACGGCGCAACGCCAATTCATGTCGCCGTCCAGCACGGCTCTTACGAGTTTGTGAATCGCTTGTGCTCTCTTAATCTGCCCCTGCTCAATGCCGTAGTGGCCGCAAACAACGATGGCAACAATGCTTTGCATCTAGCAGCTGAACGAGGCGATTCCAAAATGCTCGAGGCAGTTCTGAGCCTGTACTCAAAGATAGTCATAGACGAAGGCCTTGGACCGGACGACGTCCAAGTGGCCGAAGCTAACAACAAGGGCGAGGCAGCTGCCGAGCTTGCCGCCGCTCACGGCCATGTCGATTTCACACTCCGCGTGCTGAAGGCTGGAAGGAGCGAGTCCGAGGCGGCCCGATCCAGGCATCGAAAGGCTGCTATCACAATTGCCCCTCATCTTTACGACACTTCCGCTCCAGCTTGATTACACGAGCAGAGAGTGAAAGATTTGCTTTGGCGGGCGGCGGACTGGGGTGTGCTGGACGTTCTCAAGGCACTCCAGCAGCACGCTAGCCCATCATTGCTCCGAAAGCCAATTGCCATGGCTGCCGCGGCTGAAACATTTGGACATGGTCCAGTATCTCGTTGAGGAAGGGGTCGAACCCTGCCCTCCTTTGAACCATTCAGGCAAGAAATCACCGCTTGCTGCCGCCTTTGAGCACGAGCAGATTGGAATCATGCGCTTTCTTCTCAGCCTCCATCGGGTAGACCCTAACCGCGGCAGTTATCAGGCAGACACGCCGCTTATGATCGCAATCCAGGCCCGCTCGGCGGCAGCTGTGTCGCTGCTTCTAAGCGACGAGTTGCTTCAGAGCCAGAGATTAGACCTCAACCTAGGTCACTCGGGCCGAAAGGGGTTCATTACTTCGAGTTTGAACTTACTCCTTCTAGTTTGCACAATTGGCTACGATGATATCGCCAGCATGCTTGTCCACCGAGAGTGTCTGGATCAGGTATGGCTTACGCTCGACGTCCACGACTGCAATCGTGCTGGACCGCTGAGCCTAGCATGCCAAGGGGGCCACTGACGCGTCGCCGAAGATCCCTTGAAACGCTCGTTCCTGGCCTTCTGGGCTCCGACGTTTGGAGGGCTGCCAATTGTATGAATCGGGATGTCAAGCCGTCATACAGGCGTTGCGGGATCCGTGAGCTGGAACAAACTCCCATGTGGCCCTTGATGCGAAGCTGGCTGAGCTGGGTTACCCGATGGTTCTCTCCGGAAACGAGTTTGAGGATGACTACCCTCTTTGGTGCGGAGTCCGACCTGATTAAATGCAGTGGGCACTACTATAATGCTTTGGTTTCTTACTCAGCCATTGCATCGCCGCATCGTATGGACCATTGAGGAGCACGCTAGAAGAGCAGTATAAGTACTTACAAGTACGAGGTCGGTTAACACGATGCCAGGCAGATTCCTGGGGCAACACAGGGTCTCTAGTTCGTATCAACAAGGTCGAATCTCGGCCTGGTGGAGACTCATCCTACGACCCGCGCTCCGATCCACGCGGATCTTGACACGATTCCTGTCTTGCAACAGAGAGGAAGTGGATGGAGTGGCAGACAGTGAAGCACGTACGACGAGGCAATGAAAATCAAGTATCAAGAAGCCAGTCGCCAGCAGCAGGCAAGTAACTAGACCTCAGCACTTCCGTTGGGCTTAATGTTTCGATATTGTACCCGGTCCTGGAGGGACACAAAGGGAAAAAATCGATGGCAAGAATGTTACCCACAGCAACAAAGCGGTCAAAGAACCAATAACTTCGATGTAAAACAATAGTCCCACTGATGACTAGACAACGGTGTTGTTCAAAGGCCTACCCTTGAATTCCCATGACCATTCCTACATTCCCCATGCTGCCCGCCTGGACAGTCTGCCCTCTTAAAAGCCGGAACAACCTGAACTCTGCAAGGAATCAGGTCCGTATGTATAAAACCACGGCAAGACTCCGCAAGGGCGCTTGACTAAGGTAGCGGGCAAAATAAGGTCTCACTCTTTAGAGAGGCACACTTACCAGCTCACAGGGCGGCTGACAGCATCGCCGTATCTGGCCCAACGGCCAAGCAGCACCAGCATGCCATTTCACCTACAAACCCACCAAACTGACCGGCCCCCCTTACAGGTCCTCGAAGACCGCCGCGCAAGGGTAAGCTATGCCACCTCCAGCCTCCCACCTCACCTAATCCTCCGCATGCACCACCTCCGCCAACTGTGCCACACACGCATCTCCCGCGCCGAGTCCATCTACCAAGCCCTCTACGAAATCCACACCCGCCTTTGCCTCCTCCTCGCAATGGACCCCCTTCCCTGGGCGGACCTCAACCGGCAATGGCAAATCGAATAACTCCACTTTCCCAACCTCACCCAAGAAGCCTACAAAGCAGCCCATCACGCCATCCGCACGAGCTCAGCCCCGAGACCACCACCGCCCCTGCCCCCAACCACAAGCCCAAAACAAGTCCATACCCACAGATATCTCCTCCGCCAGAACCAAATCCGCACCAACCCAAACCTGCTGGCCCTCATGATCTTCCACAAAGCGCGCTACGCCGGCTTCCGCCTCGCCCAAGCAGAGGTGCACGACTTCCGGCAGCACTGCCGCATCCGCTGGCTGGACCGCGCCTCTACAGAGTACAGAACCTGGCTCGCACAGCGCCACCCGCTGTACCACTTCAAGCGGCACTGCGTCGCTGATGAAGTTGCATTGTGAACGGGGTACGTGATATATTACTGTACCTTACTGCAGATTCAATCCAACCCTGGTTTGTTTGTTACTTTGTTTGTTTGTTAGCACATCGTGGCACGTGGCAGGCCTAGTAGGAAAAAGGATAAGGGGAATGCAAAGAAGAAGGGAGGAAAAGCAGCAAATGGGAAGATAGAAATGAGTGAATAGAGAAAGAAGAAAGACAAAGAAACCAAGAGAAGGAGAAGAAAAGCAGAAGAAAGGAGAAGAGAAAGAGAAGAAAGTGTAAGAAGAGGAGAAAGAAGAAAAGAAGGTGAATACCAAATAGTTTTATCTTTGTTCCTTTCTTATATTTTGTGCCAATAAACACACCGGGGTTTGATTGTGTGCAAGTGTGGTGCCAGTAGTTTGTTTATTTGTTTGCCAACGATGTGACCTTAGAAAGGGCTCAGGGGTTGCAAACAACCCTACCCCTGAACTGTGGAGGATCCCCTAAATGTCGCAGACAGTCGCCGTATATACTTGGCTAAATCATGTACGGGGTAATGAAGTGAATATGTACAGAGAACAAATTATACTCAACTCCCACCTAGTCCACCCCAGCTTCTAACGCAGCCTCCCTCAGAGGCACTGCCAGTACCAGTCGTTCTGCTTTTTGCAAGTGTATGGCGAAACACACTGCGTAGGACCCGTCCACGATAGCCCTCCGCACTGTCCCCATCTTGGAGCTAGCGCAGTGGCCGAGGTGGAGGGCGCCGAGCTCGTGGTCGAGGTGGTCTTGATAGTGCTTGTCGACTTGGTTGTCGTCGTCGTCTTCACCGATGTCGACGACGTAGTCTTGATGGTCGAAGTTGTCAGGGTAGTCTGCACGCTGCTTGTCTTGGAGGCCGACGAAGTCCGAGTCGACGAGGATACGACCGAGGACGTCGAAGTGCTGCTGCCGCCACCCGGCACAGACACTTTGGCGTACATGACACCGCGGCCGTTGGTGCCGACATACACCTGGCCGGCGACGTTGCTGCTGCCGACGAGCCTGTTCGCACCCATGGAGCCAAAGTTCTGGCTGCCCTGGATGTCCACCCAGGACGCGCCATTGTCAGAGGAGGCGTACAGCTTGTTACCAGCGGCACCGGCGCCAAAGGCGTACACGTTCCAAGCGGACCCATCCCCCTTGCCAAATGCAACCTGCTCCGTCCTGCTGATGCTGCCGGCTCCAACCTGGGCAAAAGTCGAGCCATAATTAATACTGCGGAAGAGACCAGCGTTGGTGCTGACCCAAACCTCGCCGGCAACAACCGGGTGGGCAGCGATGTCCTTGACGGCGGTCACCTGGCTGCCGAAGGCAGAGGTGACCGTGGTGAAGGTGGCGCCCGTGTCAGTGCTGCGATAGAAGCTGGCTCCGGAGCCGGCATAGAAGACGGTGTTGTTGCGCTTGTCGGCGGCGATGACGGCACCCGAGGGGACGGCCGCCACGGCGGTGAAGGTGCCCTGATTCTGAGACCGCAGGATCCCGGCGTTGCCTGACGACCAGACGATAGTGTCGGCGTCGGCCGAGTAGGCAAGTGTGCCGCTGTTCTTGGTGGTATCGGTGCCGTAGTGTGCGCTCCAGGTACGGCCGCCGTCGGTTGAGAGAGCGATCTGCGGGGCGTTGTTGGTGTTGCCGACACGCACGACGTTTTCGGGCTTGTTGCCGGCATAGTCTGCAAATGTCAGAACAATACGCAGGGGCTGGTGACTGGGACCAACTCACCAACGTCAGTGGAGCTCGTATATATCGGGTCCATCCACGGCGTGTTGGGCGAGGTACCCAGGTCGCTGCTACTCCGGAAAGTGAAACCAGAATTGTCACCGACAGCAGCGAGGAGTTCCGTTCCACCAGGGGCAGAAGCAAGCCCCAGAACAGCCATCTCCTCGATGCCAACCGCAAGCGACGAAATCGTGACATTACGGGTTGGGGTATCCCACTTGGTCAGATCATGACCGCCAAAGAGGGTCAGGCCGGTTCCATACAGCCAATGGTCGCTGTCCAGGGGGTTGATCTCGAGCGCCTCAATCATCCAACCCAGGCGCTTAGTGTCCCGGGAGATGAAGCCGGTGTTGATCCAGGGAGCATTGTCGGTCTATGAGCGTCAGTGATGTGCACTCAGAAGCAGCGTTGTGGCACAAACTTACATAAAGCCCATAGTACCAGTTCTGGTTTGGATAGGCGGCCCACTCCCAAATCCGGGACCAGGTAGCACCCGAGTCGGTCGACCTGAAGATCTGGGCATCGGGCCACCAGGAGTTCAGAGTCGCAACCATGATGGTTCCAGGCTTCTGCATGTCGACGCCCAGACCGCCAAAGCCAAAGTACAGGTCGCTGCCCGAGACGGGGGTAATGTCCTTCCAGGTGCCAGCGGTGATGTCGTAGCGGTAAACAGCACCCAGAGTGCCATCGTATGGGCCGGCGCCGTCACTGTAAGTGAGGTACAGGGCCTTCTCGTCAGGCTGAAGCTTGCACTTGTGCGGGAAGAATTGCTTGGGCTGGCCAGCAACCGGAGCCCAGGTGGCCCCGGCGTCGTTGGAGACGTAAACCGAGGCGGTGATGTTGTCAGCAGTTCCGACAAAGATACGGGAGGTGGCACCATTGGTGAGCCCAGAGGTCGAGTCGAAGGTGATGAAGGTCAGACCGACGATGTCGCCGTTGTATCCACCGACGTCGTTGGGGTTAGGGATGTAGGTGCCGGGATTCGTGAAGGACGAAACCTTGGCCCAGGTCACGCCGCCATCCGTGCTCTTCCACAGGCCGTTTCCGCTGCGAGCACCGAAGTAAAGAACCTTGGAGTTGGCAGGGTCCACGGCCAGTCTCTCGCCCATGCCGCGGCCAGGCATGTTTCCTCCGACCTTGAAGGGGAGATCGGTCGAAGCCCACGTAACTCCCTTGTCGGAGCTGCGAATAATGGCGCCGGGATTTGGATCCCAGTCGTTGGTGTACATGCCTACGGCAGCATAGACCTTGTTGGCATCCTGAGGGTCGAGGGCGACGGCGTCGATACCCCAGTTGCCCCTATTCAGCGTGAGTGAGTGGGCCATGGGTCTACCGAGTCCGGGAGTGTCTTACCATCGCTCATCAGTACCGATGCTGTCCGTGACCGGCGTCCACGAGTCGTCGGCGTTCAGTCTGTAGAGACCGCCAATATCCGTGCGGGCATATGCAACGCCCTTGGTCTTCGGGTGGAACACAATGCCCGGGACGAAGCCGCCACCACCGCCGATGTTGACATTTTTCCATGTGGCGGCCGTGGCGGTCGCCACCACGGCAGCAAGAAGAAGCTGCAACGCCGATAGACGCTTCATGGCTGAAGTGGAGCACAGAAGACCAAATCGATGCTAACGAGGTGCACAACAAGCGAAGCCTCAGAAGGCGGCGGCGGCAGGACGGACATTGAAGTTAATATAGAGGAGCGGCATCGTTAGCCTCGGGACGACATCCGACTTAGCTGACCAGCAAGCCACATGCATCTGGCCGGCTTCCCGCTCATGCCTGCGGACGCACCCAGAGCGACCCGGGGTGCCATAGGGGACGGTTCCTGGCCCGGGCCCATGGTTCCAACTGGAGACCGGCACGAGAAGGTCGACGGGAGAGTGCAGGCCGGGTGGTCGCAAGAAAGTCCTCGAATCGGCAGTGGTGGGATGACGAACTGTCTCGATTTGCGGGGTCGCAGCAGCTTGCGGCTCCCGCGTTTCCGTGGATGCGACGTCGTTAGAAAGAGGGTGGAGGATGTTGCTCCGTGCATCGCCAGTTCGGTAATTCATCGACGGGCAGTCTTGGCACGATCTTTTTGACCGGAGAGTTGAAAATTGCACCGCACAGCACATAAAACTTAGTCTGGAGTGTCAAGTTAGAAAAAAAAGAAAAGAAACGCAGTCGGCCATGGTTGTCCCCTCAGAGACAAGCTCGAGTTGGGATGGATCACGACCACCTGGAACTGTGGGGGCACTTGTGTTGCTCGCCCGAAATGAACAGGAAGTCAGGAACGCCCGCAGTGAGATAGATTCTCGGACACGTTTGGTATGAAACAGCTTTAACCCTAACCCGACAGCATCCGCCTTGCCAGCTCCATTCACAGCGTCCCGTCAAAAGTTCAACATCCACTTTCAAGTTTGCAGGTCGGCTCTTGATCTAATGGCCCAAACTCCGGTTGCATCTCGCAGATAACCGGTTGCTATTAGTATAGCAAGAACTTACTATAGGTTATCTGATCTATTTTTTCCCTAATCATCGTTGTTGAGCAGCTAAACTAACGCGCTGCTCTCGGCAATTACTCGAATATTCATGTTAGATTAGTAATAACGCGTTTTATCAGCGAGTGCACCACTGGTAAGGGCTGCACAGACACTTAGTCGAAGTACTAACAGCTTATTCCCCGCTTATTCCCGTTGTTAGTGCTGCACCCAAATATATATGCAGCCCTTACCAGTGGTGCACTCGCTGATATGGTGCATTCGCTGATAAAACACGTTAGCTAGTTATAAGTAGTTATGATAGTGTGAAGTATAGATCTAGGCTTTGAATTCATCAAATAAGGTTCTAAATACACTTGATTTGATTATTTGTATATCAGTAACTAACGTTATAGATATATATAAAGAGAGAGGGAAGCTGTAGGTAGGGGTAAATGCTAGGTGCGCACTCCTGTAACAAAGTTTTACAGGATTTAAACTTTTAAAGCGCTTACCTAACTGGGGCTGGCCAGCTGCATCCCAGCTTCTGAACCGAGGTCCCAAATCCAACAGTTCTCATGGAAACACGGCCTCCGCCCTCCCTGGACAAGTTTGCAGCGCCGATGCAGTGGCACCCTCCTGGCCAGGCGAACCCCACGTGTACCCGCCGTATCCCGGGCTGGAACAACCTCGAGGTCCTCCATCGGAACACCTTGCCGCCGTGAGCCCACTTCTTTTTGTACCAGAACCCCGACGATGCCCCCTCATGCGAATTTCTCGCCCCGACAGTCATCTCCTCGCCGGACAATGGGTGCTCCATCTTTCAAGTCGTCACTGATTGGTCCCACCGACTTCTACCAGCACAAAACCAATGACCTGGCATCGAGCCTGGCCTGCCGTTGGCAGGCAATCGGAATGCCCTGCATGTGGCAGCTTCAAGGCCACAACGAGGGCCCCTGATACATCAATCTCAACTTCCCTTCCCACCCCGCATCCATATCGACGACAACCAATGCTGCCGCTACGTGATGTCTTTCCATCTGCTTTCCCTAAGATGTTGGCCACCAAGAATAGTTCGCTTTTGACGGCGCCGATTCGGCATTCACTCCATGGATCATCTCCTGAGGTTGTGTACTCCCAGACTTCATCACTCTCGACTATGTGGAGTGCTGCTGATGGTGTCCAACACAGTTCGCACGGGGCTACGCACTCTGGTGGCGCGATGATCCCCAAGTGTCAGTGTCTTCCATCCCTACCGTATCCTCACACAGCTCAGGCATCATACCTCATTCCGAGCCTCACTTGCATATCCCCCTGCCTTCATCGCGGCAGACTCGCATCTGGATCTCCAGTTCGTCTTTCTGCCGGGCGGCCATCCAGGGTCCTCGGGTGTACACTGTTGCAACGGGCCAGATCCAGTCGAGGAAGCCGCCAACCCTACAACTTTTCTGAGGGGCATTGCTAGGCCATACACGGCAACACACGGGTGCACACAATTGACGCGGCCATGAACATCGCCAGCCGCACAGATCATGCTGGAAGTCCGACCTTAAACTTGGCGCTCTTATGAGCTGGTAGCGCCTAAACCCCCGGGTCTGATCTACTACATCCATGAGCCCCAACATCCTCACCGAGCTACTCATTTTCAACCTCTAACGCGCCCAAACCGACGACGACATGCACCTGCATCAGATGCTGAGAGCGATACACGGGGACTTTGAGGGGCCGAGTCTCTCGGTGCTGCTATACTCGGCCAAGGACTTGGACGTGCCATGGCATTCGTATCAATGGCTTCGGAAGATGAGGGCGGACAGGGCGGTGCATTTGGACCGGATGCTTCAAGGCCTTGGGACGGGATCATGTGGCCTGGAGACGCTGCCCGGATATAGCCTCGATGCGGGGAGCGAGCAGGATGGGGAGGTCGTTCTAGAGTGATGGCCACATGAACACTTCGTCCTATTTCCCATCACGCTGACAAGCACCATGGTATTCTCACGACTAGTAAGTAGAAAGAAGGTAAGCTCAAGTCACCTAATCTAACGATTCCTGTGCTGGAGGACGACTCATGAGTGAGCAGCTCGAGCAAGGCTCAGCTTCTTCCCCGCACCTTCATCTTCACCTCACTCAGACTTGCTTGCCTCGCTTTTTGCCCTTCAATTCGAACTAAATGGTTAATATCAAGTTCCTCCCGAGGTTGGAACAAAGGCGTTGCAGCTGCCTCAGGGGTTCGTGGACAGGGGTACCGTGTACGTCACGGTTCAATCATCTCGATGGCGTGGCATATGTGGAAGGCAGAAGGATATTCGGAGATCTGGTCCGAATGTCACGAGTTCAGGTTTCTTGGGACGACGACCATTGTCGTCCACAGCTCTATCCCTGACGGGTTCCTGCTGTTGAGAGAGGCTGCGGTGACTACAAATTCCTCTCCCATCACCCCCCCAGCCCAGCTTCAATGTCTTCTCCTTTTCCTTCCCAACTGCCCTTCAACCTCAACCATATAGACACATCCAGGACGCCCCGGCTACGGCCAGCGGTGCGTCTGCCGAGGCTGGCTCGTCTGCGGCTCACGCCATGCCGTACGCTGACTCGCGTTCCGCCGTCCCGGCGGCCACAAGCTCCTCTTCAAGCCCAGTATCGCCAATCACCTCGCTGCCCGTGGAGCTTTTCCTGGACATCGCGACGAGGCACTGCCCTCTAACGGCGAAGAACCTTAACGCCCTCGCCAGGACCTGCCGCAGCCTCTACGAGCTGCTGAACCCCCTTCTCTACCGATTCAACGTCGAGACTACGGGAGCAAGCGCCGCCATGCACGCAGCAAGACACGGCCACGTTGCGGTGCTTGAGCGCCTGGCCGCTCATGGCGCCGATTTTGCCGCCGTCAAAGACGAGGATGGATGGGAGTACGGCCCCGTCGGAGTGGCTGCGCGACACGGACAGGACGAGATCCTCTCGTGGTTTCTCCGGCAGACCGGCGTCGGCGAGTCGCCGCTCGTTCTCCACAGCGCTCTGGTCGGGGCCGTCTTTGGAGGCCACGTCCAGATCTGCCGTGTGCTTCGGCAGCACGGCATAGAGCTCCAGGTTCTTGCAAAGAAGGAGAAAGGGCTGGCTGTTGCTGATGCCCTTCAACGAGCCAGAGCTGACGTGATTTCGGCACTTGCTAAGCGTCTCATTGGAGAGGAGGCTGAGCACCTCATCAGGAATGGGGACTTCCCGGAGGACGCGGCTATGGTAAGGGAGAGGTATGTTACAAGCCTCGATTCTGGCCCGAAGAACGGTCCAGGCCGTTTTGATTGATGGCTTCAGGAGACTGGTGGTTATACGATCAGGAGGCAAGGGTATGATGGGAATCACATACCATGGATAGCACGTAATCAATGATATCCATTTGTGTTTTCTACTACTTGCCTTGCTTTTATTCTCCGGAATTTCTTCCGAGCAGGAGGCTCGGCCAAGTATGTGGTCAAGTGCGTGAAATCAGTTGCAGAAGTATGCGGTATTTCCTGTGACTGCTCGCCTGTAATTGCTTGCCACCGTTGCTGGAGCCACTACCATCTCGACCAGACCGCAAAAGTTCAGTTACAGGACGAGCGATGATGACTTTCTAATAGATTAGCAACAATTGCACATGTGCCCAGGTGCCGAAGGAGCATGACTCCAATGAGGAGCAACACGGAGTGAAGCAGTGCCTCACCAAACATGTAGTTGATATGACAAGATGGAGAATAAGTTAATTACCTTGGGAAGGTGTTTCTGTGTACTGCATGGCTGTCAATGCGTGTCCGTCTGCATCTAACCCTCTAGCCACTGCAACTAACTTTGCTGTTCGCAACAGCTATTGACGTTAGAGTACTGTGATTGCCTCACGAAGCAAGCAGCAACGTCACAAGCTGCTCAGCTTTTACTGCTTGCAGTTATGTCTCGAGCAAGGCTCTCGGTATTGACATTAGTGGACATAGACGCAGTTCAATTTGAGCTTAGCAATCTCGTGTACATTACTGATGCCCAGAGCTGACGAGATACGTTTGTGCACAGGACGTGGCGCTGCATGAAGTTATAATGACACGTCACTGAGCATTTTGTGCGCGATGCTCCGGTTTCTGTGCCTGATCACGCGCATAGACATTGAGAGGCGCACGAAACTCGTTGAGTCTGCATGGTCTCAGGCGTATGCGTGACGCCGAACAGGGTCAGATACGATGCAAACGTATGCGCATGGAGCCTTGAACGGTCGTTTCGATGACGACAGCATGAAAGACTACCGGCATGTCAGACGCGGCAGGTGAATCTCGGGCGTGCAGATCTGCTGACTGCCCCTGGTATAGAGTTGGTCTCAAACCTCCTCCTACTCCTGCTCTTGATGTTTCGCAGGCCGATTCCATCAAGGCCACCAACAAGACGATTCACGACAGCAATGGCCAAGAGACGCCCACCAACGCGTTGACAGCCACCCCGTCGCCCTCGTCCATGCGCCCCGCGCAGCCAGCCACGGGGGTTGGAAGCCTTCCCACTGAGCTGATGCTGGGCATCGCCAACACCCTTGGTTCCTCGGACCTCAACTCGCTCGCCAGATCCTGCCGCGGACTTTCCAACCTCATCACTCCGCTACTGTACCAGAAGAAAGTGCAAGAGAGGAACTCCGACGCCGTGCTGTGAGCCTGCGAGCACAACAGCATTGGCACTCTTGAACGGCTCGTCGAGGCCGGCGCCGAGGTCAACTCCATGGTGTCTGAGCCAACCCGTCGCTTTTGTCCAATCCACATCGCAGCAAAATACGGCCATGTCGAGGCGCTGGCGTGGCTCCTCGACCACGGTGCCCAGATGGACGACCTCAGCCAGGGAGTTTGCAACTGCCGGTCCTTCCCGTACCGCGCGGACCCCGACGACGACTCGGAGTGGTCGGCCCTCACATTGGCATTTGCTGCGGACACATTGAGGCCGCCATCTTCCCCATCGAGCGGGGTGCGTATCTTACCGTGTCGCAGACGAGAGAAGGTTACGGCGGACATGCCGGCCCCAACATCACGGCCTTGCACGCAGCCGCCACGTGCAACAACGTGGCCTTGATAGACTACCTCGTCGAACGGAACTTGGTTCACCCGGCGAGGGCCAACAGATGGGGCGGCCCAGCACTCTACTACGCGGCCGTCGGAGCCCATTCTGGAGGAGGGCCTTTTGAAGGCGCTGGGAGTCGGTGGATAACAAGCTGAGGTGGCGAAAGGGCTCTAAGGTTAGGTCCATGTTCAAGTCAATGGTGTGGGCCGCCTGGAAGTTGAAGGTTCGTCTCTTTGCAGAATGTACGGATAAAATATATGTTTAAGACGAAGTGCGAACTATTGAGCAGTTGATACCCATCTAAATACCAATTATGCAGAGTCAGCTAATAGGACTCTATGGGCCCTCAACTTATAAAACCTCAACCCTATTCGCGCAATTTCACACTCTGAAAATCGATTTTCTGAAGCATTCTTGTGCCGGAGTACACAAATATGGTAATACATGCTACTGTAGACCTTTGGAATTCATCTCTTTGCTCCCGAGGTGCCTTTGGACCTAGTGCTGGGTTGATTCATTGATCCTCCGGAACGACTTCCCCGGGAACCCGAGGAACCTGGAAGATTGCGAACCCGCTGATCGGTCTGCGGCTGATTGTGCTCTGGCAACAAAGCCGCCTAAACACATGTCGCCTTCGCTCCTAGCCTAGTATCACGATTCGTTTTGTAAGGAAGACTGCCATGCTTTTCGCGGAGAATGCAGGAGACTCAACTAGCGAAGACTGTATTCGAGACGAATCCCACTTGGCGTCCAAACACACTAGAAGTATGAGTTTTCATGCAGAGTTGGGTGGTAGGGGGTTAATTGAACGGACGTGAAACTGAACTCGCTCATATCCCAACGGCAACACCTTCATATTATATACAGTATAGACTTGACGATGCACCACGGATGCATTCAACGATCGACATCACCATGTAACTCCTCATCTCTTGTCAGCTTTTCCCCGCATGCGTGAGGAACGAGCAATATATGGCCAGGCACAAGGGCGCTGCAATACTACTCAATTCTGCTAATCGAAAGCTGAAGAGAAGAGAGAAAACTGGAAAGTACGAGCGCAGGAATCGCGTAGAGAAGATGGTAGGTGCACGGACCAGCAGTACCATCTCTCCTCCGCAGGCTAGTCTCAATGCGGAAGTGCACCTATAATCCCAACTCTAGTGCACCTTCCGTCACACGACGCCTCTTTGATGGCCCTTCATTTTTCCTTCTTAACGCGCCCTTCCTCTTCTCACTACACTCTGCTCTATTATATTTTCTCTAGCTTAGCTTTCATTAATAGCTCCGCGCTCCTGGAGACGCGTCCCTTTGGCTCTGCGGCGCTTGGAGAGTACTTCGTTGGCCTTCTCAAGTGTACGTATCTCGGCCTCCAAAAGGGTAACCCAATGGGAAACCGCTTACATTCCCTTCGAAATCTGGTCGACAGTGGTTAAAATCGGACTTTGAGAGCTTCCCTAGTGTCTCGCAACCTAATTTTTGATAGGGCAGGCTGCGAAGGGGTCTCGTTAGTAGTTTGAGGCATCTTGGTGACCTATAGTATTCGTAGTCCATCAAGGGACTGTCACGAATCAACTAACAACAGGCCGCATGCCAGAAGCCATATGCGGGGTGCAAGGAACGCCCGAGCCAATCACTTAAGGAAGCAAGGCAGACCAGTCAGGATGAAGCTAGAGTGCTATAACGCCAAGACAGACGAGCACATTGCAGCATGCAAGATGCTCGGAGCGATCGAAGGCATAGCACTGCGAGCACAGCGAGCACTCGATGAATCGTGTCAGTATATAGTCACTCGTTCTGGAGGACTCTGGGAGTTCTCCAGTAAGCAACTCAAGTGCAAGATTGTCAGTACCCTTGGACATTGCTTGTTGTGAACCCTTCGGCTTCACCGAACCTCACCCCGTTGTCAAGTATAACCTTGAGGAGTCCCTTTCAGAAGTTGGGGCTTGAGATCCGTCACAGGAACTCAGGAGGTACTGGTGTCCGCAATTTGACATCCAGCTTCGAAAGAACGGCCTGCGGGTTGTAGGGGATAAGTCCAGACCCTTGAAAACCCTTAAGAGCGTTTTCTTGAGTAAAAGTCTAGTAGAAGGTAGCTTTGAATGTAAGGAAGAACTCGGGCTTAGTGTTATACCTAATCCGTGCCTTGATGAAGAGCTCGTTTTTAGCACTATATATCTTCTTCAATGTCACGGCGATTGCGCCGTGCCTGCCAGGACCCACGGCTGGGGCCCAGCGTGTGGGGGCCCCTGCGGGTTGAAGATCCTGCACCTTGCTGCCGCGAGTTCTGCCGTAGCTCCTTGAGCTACGTCTTGACAATCAAGCCTGCCCGTACCTGACGGAATAGAGCCCAGACTGTAGCTTAGCCCGAATACAACTGCCATTGGACTATCAGCCTGTCCCACCCGTGACATTCAACACATTAAAACAATCAACATCAAGAGGCTGGGTAAAGTGCAAGGAATGGAAAGGAAGATAGAGTGTTATTGTCAGAGCACAGGTTTCAGGAGTGCCTGGGTTGCTCTGAGAGAGACAGTAGTTAAGCAAGTGGTTGCGCAGCAATGCAACAATCGTTGCATTAGCAGATCTTTGGGTTCAGTTAGCACAGGGGTTTACTGCACAGCCTCTAACAATTCTAATATTATTCTCCGTATAATACTCGTTAAATTCGGCGCTGATATAACTCTCATGGGCATTAAGTACTAGCATCCGATATATACCTTTCCAATGGTGTTTGGTATGCTCATTAAAATACGATAACTATCTATCATAGAGCAGTCTTATTATCTATCCATCCGTTGGCTATTGTTATGACGGCCGAGTCGTCGGGTATCTTGTGCTCAGAGTACCAGCTGGCGAGGTGAAAACGGCCCTTCACCACTAAAGGCAGTACTATATAGCCGTCGTCAGCGATACTGGAAGTTGCTATCGCCCATTCTCGATTGCCTAGCGAAGTGGCCTTTAGTTTACCGACCCGATCGGAGCGCGTAACTACCATCCTAGGCCGTATTATGCCCATTATAAAGCCGGTCTCGTCGAAGTTGTAGAAGTCGCGATCGAGAATACCGTATTGCGCTCGCATATTGGCAGCCAGTCGGAACTATAGCTCGATAATTGCAGGGTTTTCGCAGAGGCCTCTCTGATAGATATAGACGCGATTGACACGCGTCTTCAGCTCTGTATGTCGCGAACGAAGCGGTTTGGCCAAATCTTTCCGACGTATTGCGCACCGCGTTTCCGAAGTAGAAGACTGGCGAAATTACCCACGTCGACAATCCGGGGTGAAAACCCTCGCGAATCTTGGTCGAGTATATATTGAACATGGCCTCCTCTTTGATTTCGTCACATTCGAATGGCCGTGAATACTACCGGACTTCACATCTCGGCCCTTCATTCTTGCAGCAATTATCGGCTTGGGGATGTTATATATTTCTGCGGCGCGTCGGATGCTCAAGCGCGGTGTCGATCGAACCACATTAGTCGCGAGAAGAACCCTGTTTTCTGGAAAGCTGTCGGACATTGTTGTGGTAGGGCAAACGCGTCTCGAAGTTGGGTGGTCATGGTGGAGGAAAAAGTGTCACAGTCAATGATGGACCACGTTAGTTATGACATGGTAATGTATTTGAATTTTATTTGTATTTAGTTGATCAAATCAACTGCAACTGTAAAATTGGTTAGGGGGGTCAATTCAACTTCAAATACACTCTGTCAGATACAAATGGTTGACTTGAGTGATTTTTTGGTGTCAATGACAAAGGCTAGCTTCCAAACAGAGATGCGGCCACCTTTGGAGAGACGACGTCGTGCATATCGATGATCACTGCCTGTTGTGGATGCAGTTGCCCGCAGCCATGCCGTAACCCGCATTCGCTAACCGGCTCGGCCCGCGTTGGAGGGTCTTGGCGATCATCGGCTGAGCGTCCCGAATGCCGGCAGGGTGTTTGGCGACGCTTTGTTGGTGAGAAGACGAGAAAAACACGACATGGCTGCCAGTAGCCATGCGGGATAACTTGGGTTGCATGATAGGTCTCTACTGAGACTAATGAGTTTTACCATGCCATGGCATGATCTTGCACATTGAAATATGGGTCGATTAACAACAGTCGCCCTGGCATATCAATCTGCTGGTAAGTAATCAGCTCAGCATTGCTACATGAAACCAGGGATCATCAAGAGAGAGACACAAGCTCAGCCACAGAGGCAGAACCGGCCTGATCCAAATGGTGCCCGGTCCTAGCGCGGCGACGACCCAATTTTTTGCATCCATCTAACCAGTCTCGACCGCACACCCTTCTTCTTCCCGCCCATACTCGCGACACCGGCAAGTCTCTCAGCCGTCTGTTTTACAGACATCCTGGCATTCTGTTCCGTTTCTTGTTCCCTTTCCAGCGGCCTGCTCTGCACGGGCTCCGCCTTGGCTGTTGGTGATGCTAACGGAGTCGCCACAGAGGCTACGCGCCCGCTCCAGCTGGGCTCGGCGTTCCCCGTGCTCGTCAACGTGGGCGTTGGCGGGCGGGAAACAGCCGGCGACGGGTTAGCCGGCTTGATGATGGCAGTTCCATCCAATGGCTGCGCAGGCATCGAATATCGCTTTAACAACCCGCCGCAGCTGCGCGGGGATTCTCCGCTTGCAAGGTCGGCTGACCCGAGAGTGTCGTAGGTTGAGGGACGAGTTGTCCACGTGTTTCTCCTACTGCTGCGACCGCGTTGGCTGACTGGTGATGGTGATGGTGATGGTGATGGCGAGGCGGCGATCTCTGAAGTGGCTCGGGAGGAGTTGTAGCTTTGAGACCACCCTGAATGTAGGGCGACCCACAGAGCTGTAACGGAGATGAGCACCTTGGTTGCATCATCGACCCGGTGAACTGTTGGCGGTGAGGGCTCGCTGACTGATGATGATGGCATGCAAATTGCCGAGCCATCCTCGCCGTCGCTTGTAAAGCGTGAAGAGGACAGCTTTGATGGCGGGTAAGGAGCAGTGAAGGCTAATGGAGGGGATGAAACCTCGGATTGGGACCGGCCTATCCGCGTCATCGGCGGCTGCCGGGGTTGCGAGGGTGAGACAGAAGTGTAGGTGTCTTGAACATTGAGAGTGGAGGGAGTTAATGTCGCCATGACGGGATGGCGGCGTGTCAACGGATTGATGATGCTAAAAGTGTACCGCGTATGAGCATGTGCAGGTGTGTAAGCAGAAGTATCTGTGTCAAAGGAGGTCGGTGTCGCTGCATATGCGTGTCTGCGAGCCCATCGTGCAGTTGTGGTCTTGCCCTCGGCATCGGTGTGGACGAAGTCGTAGGACCCGTTGACCAAGGGCTTAGCCGCCCATACCGATCCATCGTCCAGCACAATTTCGGCCGCCTCTGAGTGCCTTAAGGGGCTGTAAACAGCCAGTAAATTCCTGGTCTCCAAAGTTTCTTCATGCTCGGTATCGATGCCCTCTGATCCGAGGTCCCCGTCGTCCCTGCTCACCAGCACTATGTCGTCGTACCCGAGGTGGCGCTTCACTCGGAATATGCTGGGAAACCGTTTCGCTAGCCGCAGAGCTACCACAGGCCCGGCGATGCGCCAGGCCGGGAACGCCTCGAGCACCGGCTGTGACCTCCCCTCCGCCGAAGCCTTCTGAAGCTGCAACAATATCCTCGGCAGAAAGACCTTCTGTACAACTTTCGTTTTTCCAATAATTCTCGGCGTCGGGTATCCAAGGTAGTAAGTGGTGCTTTTGCGCTGCGCTCGGCGAGGCCGCCTGCGGCCAGCTGATGGCGTCGACAAAGTATTATCGATCGAGGTGGTGACATCGCTGAGCTCAGAATCGGAGATGGACTCGTCGCGGGCGGGCGTGGGGGGTGGATCATCCTGGGGTTCCCGAAAGCGGTCGACAGGCAACGGGCCGCGAGGGATGTAGTCGGATGCTGGTCGCTGCCGGAGAGCAGGTGCAGGCGTGCCGTCGGCGGCGATGCGCTGTTTTGGGGGCGAGAGGGCGGACCGAAAGAAGGGTGCTCGTAGGTGGGCAGGGGACTGGAAAGTAGACGAGTGGCGAGCAGAGTACTCGTGACCGTGGATGCTTGCGCCTGAGTGTAGAAACATTGTGTGCTATGTGCTAAAACAGCGAGGCTCTTTGGCCTGTGAAAGTAAGCACTTGGAGGACCAGCCTCGCTAAGGGACTGGAGCTGCCCCGAGGCAGGCGTTGTATTCGACAGGCACTTGTGATGGCTCTGTCAGTGGATCGATCGCCTTCCTCCAATTGTCCCCAGGTTCAACTGCAGTTCCCACACACGGCGGAGAACTAGAGAGTCGCAGCGTTGGCACGAAGCTCTTAGTGGTGATAACGGCGGGAGAAGCAATTCCAAAAACACCTTAGCAACGCATGGCAGCCGCAAGAACTGCCGTTGGTCGGCCAAGGATCTTCGTGATGGGAAGAGGCGGTTGCGCTGGTCGTGAGCTCGGCTCAAATTTGGTCTCGACAATCCCGGCGTTCCTCGCCACCAATCGTTGATAGTGATTCGAAGAAAATGTTTGTGACGTATTTAATTACATAGAGGAAACGAGTGTCGGGATCAAAGAAATCGTCGTCTTGACATTGAACCAAGCGTTCATCAAAGGGGAAAGAGTGGTTGAAAGAGGAAAGATCGCGTATTCTTCTTACCTTTTCTGGTGCGGGCGCGGGGCCGGGTTTCTTCTTGAACTCCGAGGCTTGGGACCCTGCGGGGCCGGCATCTGTTTTTAGGGGTCTGGAACGCTCTCACCAGAGCAGGTGAGCGCAGTTGCCGAAACACGTCTAATTGGCTTTCTCCGCCCATCTTCACCCTAATACCTACAGTACATAATTCAGACAAATTGGAGATGCTTGCTCGCCAGCACAACAAAGAACAGCTGCCTTGGTTGGCGGCCCGCGCGCCCGGCAGCCCCGGAGTTTGATGCAATGTTGGCTATGATGAAGGTGGCTTGCCATCGATTCGAGATTGAATGACTTGTCCGTGACTCCACACCTTACAGTCGGTATCAAAGCGAATCTCAATCGCCACAAGAGCCTCGTTAACATGAGAGATATCCATCGGCTTCCTGCTTGGCCATGTTTTGCGGAGTGAAGGTTGCCAAGGCCCCGCAAGGGCGTTATACCTTAGGGCTATCAGATTGGGGGCAAGGCCGCGATGTTCGCTCCATCGTCATGGCGATCCGTTGATAGGTGTTTTACCCAGGTATTGTGGTGGTCAATTTCAATTTCGCGGACAATCAAAATCAGCAATACAGCCAGGCCGTGGCGAGCTAGCAGGTTTGAAAGTCAAGCTTGTTGCTGATAGGGGTAGCCCAGTGCCAGTGCGTCGAGAAGTTCGAGAAGCACGGCTGACCTGAACACCTGGTTCGCCTGTCGTCGGCAGGGCCCACACCCTCGTCTTTGGCCGAGTTGGGTTGCAGCCGACGGCGCCGGGACCATCAAACGCCAATTTCAAACTGCGAACAACCAACAAACCTGCCATGAAACACCTTGGTGTCGGCACAGCAACCACCATCTGCCCCTGCCTACGCTCCAAATTTAGCAGCCGACGTTTTCGGCTTTTGTGCTGCGGTATGCATTGTAATCAGAGGGAATAGCCAGACCTCTGGAGCGACCAATTCTACGGCTACCTCTCTCACCAGTTCTGGGCCACACCATGGCTCCCAAGCAGCAGCCGGATCGGCACCCCAAGCCCGCACACCTCCGACCTTACCACACACTCCTCCTCTCTTTTGCGGCATGGAAGCTCTTCCTCTTTGCCGTCACTCTGGGCAGCCTCCTCGTTGGCGAGGCGTACGACACGTCTGCAGGGCTGGTCGTGCAGGGACCCGGAAGCGGCGGTAACCACAGTGTCAGCAGGCTGATCGCCCGGCTGACCAGCTGGGATGCCATCTATTTTGTCAGCATTTCGCGCCGAGGCTGCCGGTTTGAGCAGGACTGGGCTTTTTGCGGAGGTTTGCCTGTTGTTGTACGGGGGTTCGTGAAAGGTGAGTTTCTCGCGACGTAGTTTCTGAGAAAGCTCCCCATTTGGTTGAGGTGATTCGCGACTCTGGGCTATTTCATCAGCCTATTTCCTATCTGTTCTCGTGTGTAATCACGTTGTTTTCCCGGGCTTTCTGATGCTGACCTATGCCCTGTCATCCAATGGCAACCAGGTCTGGAGTATCTCGGATTTTCCAGCCCGTCCGTCTCCGATGGGGGTGCCGTTCCTGAAGCACTGGCGGGCATCCTCATCGCCAACACGGCTCACCTGCTCTCGGCCCTCGTGCTCTACCGCCTAGGCCAAGTCATCTGGCGAGACCAGATTCTATCCTTGGTGTCTGCAATCATGCACATCATCTCCCCCGCCGGCCTGTTCCTCTCAGTCCCCTACGCCGAGACCTCCTTTGCTCTGCTTTCCTTCTCAGGCTACCTGCTTCTCGCCCTGAGCTGCCGGGCCGAACAGCGCCCCCTATACCGCGACCTCTACACGGTTTTGGCCGGCATTCTCTTTGGCTTCGCCACCGCCTTCCGGAGTAATGGCATCCTGAACGGCATCCCCTTCGCCTGGGAAGTCCTGCGGCACCTGCCGAAGCTGTCCCAACGTCCCACCGACACGCTGCGTCAGCTGTTGGCTCTTGGCGTGGGTGGAGTTTTTGTGGCGGCAGGGTCGCTTGGTCCGCAGGCGGTCGCCTATTCGCGCTTCTGCTCCGGCACATCCGGAGCGCCGCTCAGGCCCTGGTGCCAGGGATATTTCCCAAGCATTTACACCTTTGTTCAGCAGCATTACTGGTAACGCTGATCCGTGCATTCTGAGAGATGAGCCCAACACTGATGATGGGCGCAGGAACGTCGGCTTCCTCCGTTACTGGGCTCTGTCGAACCTCCCGCTCTTCCTGCTCGCCACCCCGATGTTGATGATCCTACTGAAGTCCGGGGTGGAGCAGCTGAGCGGTCGCCCTCGTCCTGTCGCCGACAAACCCGCCGAGTCGGCGAGATTGCTTTCCCTTGTCCAATCTGCCGCCGTCGCCCAAATCTTGCTGGCTGTGCTGGCCCTGACCAGCTACCATGTTCAGATCATCACCAGGATATCCACAGGGTATCCAGTGTGGTGTTGGTGGGTTGCTGCCTCCCTCATTCGCGGCGACAAGACGGGAACACGCATCCTCATGTTCATGGTCATCTACGCCTCGATTCAAGGAGCGCTGTTCACTTCCTTTCTCCCCCCGGCATGAAATCAGAAGTCTCCATTTATTATCATCTAGAAGAAGCTCTAATGTAATGCACCTTTACAGCCACCACATCCTGGCCTAGTCTGGTCCTGTTGCCGCCCGCACAATGCGCAGTCTAAGTCCAAAAGAAGAAACCAAGGAGATATCCCAAGACGAAAAACCGCACTGAACCTCCAAGTGTCCGGCGATCAAGCAGGCAGGCTCTCGTGCCTCCTGACAATCCACCCGGCCCTCACCATCCACATCCATGAGAGAGCAGGCGCCATCCACAAGCCCATCAGACCACCAAAGACGGTCTTGAAGATCGTGCCGTCCCAGCGTCCCAGATACACCCAATCGCCATTTCGCGGCGTCCCCACTGCAACCATGATGCCAATCGCCGGCCCAATCATGAGGCCATACGCCACCGCGGAAATAATGATCGCCCTCGCGAGCCCAGCCAGCACGAGAGCGCCCTGCTGGTACAAGCCCCGTCTGCCGAAGCCCAACACTCTGCTCCCGTGCTTGGCGTTGTCGTGGTCGAGGAACAGGAACCAGCGTAAGACGCATTTCGACGGCTCGCGCGCGAGCACCCCACTGGTGGGCGCGTAGGGCTGGAGCTCGCCGTGCGAGAGCGCATAGTTGACCGTGTATATCAGGACATACCAGGTGATCAGGGTCTGGAAGACTGTACTCAGCGCCGCGTCGCCCACTATGGACACGGGCAGGCTGAAAAGGAAGGGCGGGATCGAACCCTGTGGCGGTGGGCCCGGGGGCGGGCGGGGGGAGGAGTACATGGCTTTGGGTTGAGAAGTTGCAACGTCAGTGAGGGTTGGGTGGTGATGGGTGATTGTCGGTGGGGAAGAGGGACGGAGAGCAGTAACTTACCGTAGCCGATGGCAAAGTTGAGGGCCGCTGCGATAAGCATCGAGGTGACGCCTTGCACGAACAGCAGGTGGAACCACTGGCGGCCGTTCAGCTTTCTGGTGGGCGGGAGCACCCGATAATCGTAGCCCTTGTCGGCGGGCGGCGCGGTGCGCGTAGGGTTTGCGCTCGGGTGGTCGCAACCCAACTCATGGGACGACGAGCTCTGCCCATTGCTCACGCCGCTCTGCAGCGGGATGTTGCGCTCAAGCGCCGACAGGTCGTTGCACGCCGATGGGTTAGCTTCGATCCACCACATTGTCCTGTTGGTTGGTTGGTGAAAGAGAGAAATCGAGGGACGAAGACGAGGGACTGATGCACTGGTTTTGGCGTCCGGTTTATGTATCGCAGACGTCCCACGGGGTGGCACGTTGCGGTTGTATATATGTACCTTGGGGAACTCCAAAGGATGGAAGGAGGACAGAAACACAGACGGAGGACCATCTTTCGAGAGCGGAAAGTGCTGTTTAAAGGCCAGCAGGACGGATAAGACCAAAACCTTTGGGCACGACGTGATTGCCCGCGTTAGATCAATCAGCCATCGAACCGTTGCGTGAGCGTCGCGTTGTGAAATCGGTAACTGAACCTTACAGACTTGGGCATCATGCTGATGCATGCTGCTGAGGTGATTGTGCTAGTCTTCCCGCTGATTGCAGGTGGGCACAGACCTGCTCGATGCCATTTTAGTGCTACGCAGAATGACTTGAGTGGTTCAGCCATGCCACATCGTCACTTTGCGATGCTTTGCGCGTCAGCTTCTGGCTTCGAGATGCAACTCTAGACCACAACCGAAGGTTGCATGCATAATGAGTTTCCGATGCAGACGAACCACCCCACGTGCTGATAGAAGAACCACTTTTACCCGCCCAAGTACCGGACCAGGGTCAGGCAGGCAGGGGGGAGCTGCCAGTCATGTTGCCCTTCTGTTCACGTCAGCTTGGGAGCTGAAATTGATTCACTGCCCGACTGGGAACTAGTACTGCATATCTCTAGGTGCCTTGAACGACGGAAGTCGTACCTGAGGCCAAGGGAAACATGTGACGGGATGCAATGAACTAAATTCCGACCTCGGCAATTGAACACACACAGTGGGTGACATATTCGCTGCAGCCTTCCTCAACGTAACGATGTTCTGCCTGTCCATACTATTTTCAAACACGGCGATAGTATGCGGCATACTGTGTATGTGTACAATACCTACTTCCCCACACACCCACCCCAGCCCCTCACTATCTCCTCTCAGCCGACGATTCCCGCTTGAAAAAAACCCTGTCTCGATACCCATGGTAGCCACGGCTCCTGTCGCCTCCCCTACGGCCACGGTAACCACCCTCCGGTTTGCCACCGTACCCCGTGGGGCGAGGTCCATCGACCTCCGCCGCGAAGTCCCCCATCAGCCTCATCAGCTCGGCCCCGCACTCCTCTTCAATTTCTTGCCCGTCCTTGCCCACCAAGACGGGCTGATGTTCATTCAACGCATTCTTGAGGTGTCCTATCCGCCAGAAGTCGACGGCCGTCTTGCTGAGCCACTGCACCCGGAACGGGTCGCTCGTGTCCCAGTGGATGCCCTTGACGAAGGTAGGGCGCGGGATGTCCGGGGAGGGTGCCGTCGCCATGCGTGCCTGTGGGAAAAGGTAGGGTTAGATAGTCTACGGAGGAAGTAAACTCGCGGAGTCAAAAGAAGGAGAGCCAGCAAAAAACTTACGTATCCCTGAAATGCCCTGCTCTTGTTGATGGAGAAGAAGAGGATGACGTTTTTGCATTTTGTGAAGGCTTCGGTGAGAACCTCCCCGTTTTGAACCTGCGTTGTCCAGAGGCACTATAAAGCGTGCAGTGTGAGTAGCGGATCAAGCCGTTCTTTGGGGAGGGGGGGATTGTTCCCCATTTTCCTCTTGCATGAAAGTCGGGTAAGAACGAAACCAGTGCTTACGTCTTCCATGCATCTCCGCACGTTTTCCTCGTTGAAGGACTTCAAGATGAAATAGCGTGTGTCTGATGCAGCGTTAGCCATCGGCATCGAGGAGCAACAAGCAGGGAACTTCGAAGGCAGCGCAAGAAACCCGATTGGGAGCAGAGAGGCCACCGGGCATCCGCGAGGACGCGAGGGGTACTGACCGCCTTTGCGGCCCAGATCAATGTGGACTGGGTATGATACACGACGCTCTGAAGAAGCATGGTAATCGTCATGTCCTTTGTAGCTGTCGTACTTGCGAAAAGAGCGGTTTTCGCGGTCGTCGTGATCGGCTTGCACCCGTGGCCGGGGCGGCGGACTGCGGCGGAAGGTGTGATGGGGTGAAGACGGTCGCCGATGCGGCGATGAGCCACGGCGGGAATCGCGAACGTCGCGTTGGTCGTATTCCTTTTCATCCTTTGGACGACGTGGTGCCTCGAGCCGCGGCACCTTCTCCTGGCGAGTTTCAATAGCCTCTTCGTCATGCGCTCTCTTGGCAGGCTTGACGTCAGCCATGGATTTATTCTCGCCCATACTGGGGGCCATCGGTGTGATAGGGGTCGGCAGGCTGTTTGATCCCGGGCCTGCAGGTGTGTTAGGTACGGCGCTGGTAAGCCGCGCGACGGTGGATCGCTGCAAGCCCATCTCGAGCTCTTCTTCTTCCATGAGTTTGCGTTCTTCTTCCTCGATCCTTGCTCGCTCGGCAGCAAGGGCCTTGGCCCTCCTAAATCGGTCGAGCTTTCTGGTACGAGCTTCCAGGTTGTAGTAGTCAGTCATTTCGAGGAAGTCTTTCAGATCAGGTACCTGGCTGAGTAGGCGAGTGAAAGCGTCGTCGGATGAAAACTGTTCGAAATGGCTGGTGTCTTTGCCAGTGGCAGCCTGGCTCGTTGCCGTACTGTTGCTAACCGATCTCGGCAGTTCGGCCGATGGTACAAGTTTAGGGACGGCTGTACTTGACTTTACTTCGCTGTCACGAGACGAGCCGTGCAGAGACGGTTTGTTGGGTGTCTGGCTTGGCTTTTCGCTACCCAATTCTTGACGGCTTGTGGTATCATAGACCTTGACGGACTTGACGCTGGTGTCGGACACGTTCCTCGCCACAAAACTCTTGCGGTCCTGGTAATTTTCTGCGCTCAATTCGGTTCCCACAGTAAAGGCTGTAGGTTCCGTTGATTTGTCCTTCTTTGTCATAGCCTTTGTCTTCTCGCCTTCTTCGACAGACCCGTTCGCCGGGCTTCTTCGGTCCAGCGTTGCTCCAATGGGCGCAGTAACCGCCTGTTTAAGCTCCGTGTTCGTGGTTTTGTCCTGCGGCGCCGCAGCCCCTGTTGTTGGGACGGATATCTTCGATGATGGCGGTGGCGGGATTTGTTCTGAGGTAGGCATGGCCTGTCCACTGGACAACAGTTGTAGCTTATCATCGCTCCAAGCAATGTTATCGCCTGAGTCAGAAAACTCAGTCGCTGATGAGATGGATGAAATTAGGGCTGCAATATCATTGGCATCTGCCGGAAGCGAAGCCATCGAGTTGGAAGAGGTCTCGGCCGGCTTGGAGGGTGCGTCGGCAGGCGGCCGAGAGGGAGCTGCACGGGCCTGGGTCTGGCTTTGACTGCGGCGCTTGAGAAGCTTCTCCTTAAGTTCAGCGGCGCGAGCATCGAGCCCGAGCTTGGGCGGTTGGGATGTGCCGGACATAGTCAAAGCATCAGATCTTGCAGGTGGCTGGAACCGTGTTAGGTGATGCGTCCCAAGCAACGAACGGGAAAGGGGCCGATGGAATTACGCTGATTATTGATGAGAGGCCAGTGTCGGACAACAGCGGGCTGAAACTGTTCTGCTGCGCGTGATTTGATGCCGAGTTGTTGTCGGTGCTGTTGAAGTACTGTTCTTTCCCGGTCAGGTAAGTGGCTGAAGGCGAGTGCGAAACGGGCTGCCAACTGCCGCGAGGCCACATGTGTCTGAGCGATCTCTATGCGATTTCCGGTGCTTTCGTCTCATGAGTCCCGATCGCACATCGCCGTTCTGCAAGATTTCCAGATTGTACCTGAAGTAGTATATTTCGCAACAATCCCAAATTTCTCAGGTCCCGTCGGCTCCGAGAGAAATTGCAACACCTCGATGCCCGACTCCAAGTGATAGGCAAAACCACAAAGCCGACTCAGGCCAAGCATCAAATGAGATCAACAATGTTGTGTTCGCGCACTCCATCAAGGGGAGTCAACTGGACTTCAAAATCTCTGAAGTCAGACTTCTCGCCAATTGTGGGCCCGCCGCTGCCCGATTGGCCAACGCTGGAAAAGCCGCGGCGTGGCCCTTGCTTCCATGCTCCGAGTCCTCGAATGCCAGCAGTGGAACCCTCACCAGTGAGTGTCCTGCTCCAATTGTAATGGGTCCAGGACAGATGCCCAGCTATTTGCCTCCGTGGCCATCAACTTCAGCTTTCTTCGATCATTTACACCCCCAATTCCAGCAGTTTCTTCTGTGCTTGACACGACGGGGAAATGGGCCGGGCGGAGTGAGGGTGGGAAAAGGTCCCATGAACTCAGTTCGGAAGCTTGTCGTGCATTGATGTCGAGAGGACGGAAGGTGAGATGGCCAACTGCTGAACGTGGTATGCTAACAAAGTTTCAATGTTGTGGATTACAGATCCTACTGTACTCTCCGCAGTGCACGATCGCAAGCATCGCCGCTTCACAATGATGTCCCGGCAGCTGACGAGGACAACCCGCGGTGAGTTTGGGCAGTATTGTCGACAACGCTCTGACGCCGGTAGCGAACCGCGCACTCTCCGATCGGGGCCATGCTGATAAGCCTGCCCCAGTTGCTCATGTTAAGCCGGGCGAGCGCTTCGCTGTCTCAGAAAGATGACTCCATGTTCAATGGCGCGTACTGCGATGACGTTTTATTCAACCTTCGCGGGCGATTCGAGCATGGCCGCAGATGGGAGACCAGCCAGCGGCCATTCGGTATATTCTGGGCCGAACCCGAGTACCAGGTTGGGGTTTAGCGCCTAATACGGAGATGTCAACTTGCAGTGCGTCCGTCCCATCCTCCTGGGGCCATCCTGCCCATTCGGACGAGTCTTTCGAAATACCTATCCAGAATTCCAGATCATCTCGGAGATTGTCGGTCAGGTACGGTATTGAACACGCACTCGGCCAGGCTGATCTTTCCATATGTTAACAGCTCAGCGCCATCCTCATCCCTGTTGCCATGTACTGGAAGCGCTTCCGGAACCCGAGTGGGACGACTCGAATTCTCGAAAGCGCCACGCGCCACGGGTTAAGATTTGGGGGCTCTCAGTGGGGCTCGACGAGACAAGCGAGCTGTGTGTTCCTGCATAAGCTCCCCCTTTTCTCCCCTGAGGACCCGCCCTGCCGCCGTCACAGCAGCCGCACCACCACCAGATCCCCCGCTTTTGACCCATCGCCAACCTCACCATGTTTCAAGCCGTTCAGGGCAACGGATGACGCACCCAGCTGTGCGATTGGCCTGCCCGGACTTCGTCGACGGTCAGTTCATGCCTTGGCGACGATACCCTGTCTCACATCAATTGAATCGCCCGCCAGTGCCGCCACGGCATCACCTTGGCGTCCCATCGTCGCTTGCCGGTCGCTCCACCACATCACGGCCATGATCTCTATTTCTGTTTGTACTGACCCGCTTCATGTTACCCCAACGGCGGCCCCGCTCTGCCCGTGAACTGACCGGCATGGGTCCCTGTTGGCGTCAGTCCGTCCCAACCGACGCTGCCGCCGCCATCCTGCAAGCTCTCTCCCTCCATCCCCACCCTCTGTGCCTTGGGCCTGCGCCGAGTTCGTCATCATCATGACCCCCGCGCGCCAGGAACCGAGTGCATGGCCCACTCTCGACTGAGCCGCTAATTTTACTGAAACAGCGTGCTTCTACATCTGCCCAACCGCCAAGGGACAAGCGCTTTTCCGGGCTTGGAGCACAGTCTTCTGTCCGTTGCGATGATAGCGGACTTAATGCCGGACCGGGCAAGGTTACCGTTCAGGTGATGTACCAGGGTACACCAGCTCCTGAATGTTGCGTGGATATAAGATGCTCTTCTGGTCCTGTCGATGGACTGGCGTCTACTCTTTCTACAGGCGCCAGTCGACCTTCAAGCAAAGCCATTTTTGTCATTCATTCCTTGTATCTACATTCGCTTCATTGACTGGAGACTCTTCTTTTTTGACAACTTGATCCATTCTTTCCGCTAGACGGTACAGTTGAGCTTTCGACACGCATAGCTTCTTCCAGCACACAACAGCTTCGAAAATGCCTTCCTACACCTCCAAGACTCTCCTTTCCGCTCTGGCGGCGGCCGCCTCAGTGTCGGCCCACGGCCACGTTAGGAACATCGTGATTAACGGTGTCTCGTATCAGAACTACGATCCGACCAGCTTCCCTTACATGCAGAACCCGCCCACTGTTGTTGGCTGGGCTGCCGGCAACACCGACAATGGCTTTGTTGCCCCTGATGCCTTTGCCAGTGGCGACATCATTTGCCACAAGTCGGCCAAAAATGCTGGCGGCCACGCTGTCGTTGCGGCTGGTGACAAGATCTTCATCCAGTGGGACACCTGGCCTGAATCCCATCACGGACCTGTTCTCGACTACCTTGCCAGCTGTGGGGACGCTGGCTGCGAGAGCGTTGACAAGACCACCCTCGAGTTCTTCAAGATCTCCGAGGTTGGTCTGGTTGACGGCACCAGTGCCCCTGGCGTCTGGGGCTCGGACCAGCTGATTGCCAACAACAACTCGTGGATGGTCCAGATTCCGTCCAACATTTCCCCTGGCAACTACGTCCTTCGCCACGAGATCATCGCCCTGCACAGCGCCGGCCAGGCCAATGGTGCGCAGAACTACCCGCAGTGCTTCAACCTGCAAATAACTGGCTCGGGCACCGCCAAACCCGCCGGCACCCTTGGCACTGCCCTCTACAAGGCCGACGACGCCGGAATTCTGGCCAACATCTACACCTCACCCGTCACCTACGAGATCCCCGGTCCTGCCCTGATCGAAGGCGCGGCTAGCATCGAGCAGACCTCGTCCGCCATCACCGCCTCAGGCACTGCCGTCACTGGCTCCGCCACTGCTGTCCCTGTCGCCACCACAACCACGGCCATCAACGGCGGCGCCACTGAGGTCCCCGCCTCGCCCACGACCACCGCCGCCGCCGAAACTTCGACCGCTGCGTCTTCCTCGGCGGCTGATGTCGGCGCTACCCCGACCAGCACCGCCACCGCCGGTGCTACCGCCGCGCCGGTCCCCACTCGCTGCCCTGGTCTCAAGAAGAAGCGCAGCAGCCGCCGCCACGCCCGCGATGTGCGCCGCCACTAAGGTCTCCCACGCCCATTTTGTTTCGTTTTTCGCCCGGTGCGGTTTGAGGCATGTGATGCCTGTTGGGAACCACTAGCTTCATGTTCCTGTTTTTAGGCAACTGTGCCTACCCCTGATGACGCAAGTTCACTTCACCTGTAAATATGGCTTTGCTTCAGTTTTTGTAAGATATATCCTGGGCTGCAGCCGGCGGTGGGGTTGCGTGGATAGACAAATTCAGCGAGATAAAGGCTTCACGAGGTTTTCAAGAACTGTTATATACACGCACCTTGTATATGTGATTATGTCGTTCCAGCGTCTGGGTTCTAAGCGTACCATCTCAAACGGACGATATGAGGATTGTTGTCCGGTTTACAGGTCGCTTAGTGGAGGGTTTCGTCTTCGCTTGCAAGGAGTTTGCTCTTACTAAGGGCCCCTGAGCGCAGCCCGGTCATTGACTTCCAGCGATGGCAATAGCAGAGTTATTGGGTACCTACAGGCCAGACAACGACAGGGTTTCACGTCGTTGATCACTACCTGCCGCCTGGTAGTGTTAATCATGAATCCTCTAGCCTGCCGTGTTCTCGCATTTGGTCTCGCTTGATGATGATGAGCGAATGACGCTCGTTGACCCCTCCAGTTTCTCCAAGGTCAATGGAAAGACGAATGTGCATAGTAATATCAAACCCCAAGGTCATGGTAAAGCGAAGAGCTGGGAGGTTTGGGGAGTGTGCAGTCAAATCTAAAGCAACAACTTGATCAATTCTAATACAATGCTACTGTAACACATGTGCAGCTTCCGTTTGCCACCCCCTTATGGCATCGCAAGATTGACTTGAGCCCGATGATAGATTTCCTTGTGTCCGCCATCTTGAAACATTGAACGAACCCCTTTTGCAATTCATTGCTTGTCAGGTCTTCGCAGTAGCTGATTTCCCCTGGGAAGAGGAGAATGGGCGCAGAATTTGAGCGGAAAGGAAACATGGTCATCCATTCAACTTGATAAATGATATGGAGGCTCTGGGGCTTTTCATTTTTCTTTTTGGACGGTTTTTTGGAAGACAGCGAATGGTACGATGTCTCGGGTCAGACTCGGGAGCACTAATGTAAGAATGGGACTTGTAATGTCTAAAGGTAGCAACGGCATGCTTCTTTCGCAGCCGTCGGTTCAAACCTGCAGCCACAAAGCACCAGGCAGCCTGCAGTAAAATACTAGTAGGTACTGTATGTACGCAGTTCCACCAAAGATCAAGGGGTGTTAGTTTTTGGTCCCTCTTGTTTCCCCATTCTCTCTCATTTTCACTTGTCCATCGGCAGCATCGGACGGCATCACTGCGAGGGTCCGCAAACATGAAGCAGAAAAGGAACCCGCATTGCACCTTGATCCGTTCAAGGACGATCGCCGACAGGCCGAGCGCAAGACCACTACCCCGAATCATGACGGCCGTATTACCATCCCGAGAAGTTCCAGACAGTCCCAACACGATATTTGGCCTGGCCGACAGATACATGGTCCAACCCGAGGATGATGCGAAGTTCGCGACGCAATGCCCAGAAATCATCATTAACGCCATCCGGCGGCGCATGAAAGCCGTACGCGTGGGTGCCTCGGCTCTTGTGGAGGAAAGCATCGAGCCACATCAACCTCGTAAGGAAACAGCCAGGCCAGGAGAAAGGGACCCGCCACTTCCTGAAGTCGCTGCCTACCTTGGAAGAGACCCAACTGCGCCGCCAGAATCTCGAGAATTAAAACAAGATGCTCCGAAAGTGCCTGATTGAATGTATCAGCCGGAACACGGGGCCCATTTCATCCGTGCTGGCTAACGACTCGAGACGAAGTCCAGTCACAGTGCTCCTCGACGAGCTGACCGACAGCCAGAGACGGAGGTCCGCTTTGGGGCATCGAGTCAAGAAACTGGAGAGCTCTGTCCGCCAAGATGGGGACATCTTTCAGAGGTTGATGGGCACGGAACCAGTGCTTGATAATGGTAACCGGACTGCCAGCCGATCATACGCCACATTAGGTCGGATCTCGAGGAGCACCGGGCCTTGTCCGAGGTTCTAGGTTCTGCTCTGACGATCCGCAGCGTGCTCTCCATTAAATTGTTGCAACACCAGCGAGGCCAGGGGCCAGCACCCGGCGAGCTAGACACGGTGCTGTCAATGGACGAAGCAGACGATCTTGCAAGACAACTCGACAACAACCGAGGACTCCCAACTACCAAGTCATTCTCCTGCGTCCGGAACTGTTCTATGTGCCAGAGCCCCTAATTCTTGCGCATGCTGCCCATTTCGACCACATCCGGACGACTCCAGCCGCTGATCATGGGACGCCCGTATCAAACTCGAATCCCATGAGCGAATTCAACTGCTCCCCGTCCGGCTGAACATCCTGCTGCCATCAACACATCTGTGACGAGTGATACTACCCTGCGATCGTCTCGAGCATTGCGACTGACTGGTGGCGCAACCTGGGCTCGCACCGTTGGCTGCCCTGCCCGCTCCCAAAATGCTCCTCACTGCGGCCCATTAGCCACGATACGGAGCTGTCCACCATCCTCCGCACCTGCTGCAACCCCGCGGTCCTCGCCCACGTCCGGAGCTTTGAGCGCGCCTCGCGTCTCCGCACTGCCGCCGCAGCCCTCCATCCGACCCCGGAAGCCCTCTACCTCGCAGCAGACCTGCATGTCCACCTCAATAAACACAACCGCATCCTCGACCCCGTCGACTACGACGACGGCACAGCGACCACCACCAGCCACCCGCTCGTTGAGCTCCTGCCCGTGTCCATCACCACCGTCACCGCCACCGGTACCGCCGTCGCCGCCCTGGTCACCACATCCCTCCCAGACCCCACTAAACATCAGATGCAGCTCCAAGTCCCCATCTTCACCCACCTCCTCCTCAGCCCAGGCGGCCCCGCGTCCACCATTCCCCTTTCGTCCAGAATCGGACGCAAATGCGACACATGTCACTTCGTCATCCCCGATGTCACAACCGGCTCCCCCGAATCAGAAGCCCGTTGGGCAGAGGTGGTCAGGGGATTCCCCGGCGACTGGGCGTGGATGGTTCGCGCGTTCCCCCCGCCTGACGTGTTGAGGGTGTGTAGCGAGGTGCATGGGTCGGAGACGTGTAGAGGTTGCTTGCAGAGGTATACCGTCCGCGAGATGCGGGCGAGGAGGATGAAGGTGGACTGTCGGATTTGTCGGCATATTTATGGTAGGGAGGAGATGAAGGTTATGGTGTCAGAGGAGGTGTTTGCCGAGTGGGAGATCTTGCTTGATCAATGTGGCTGGGAACCTGTGAGAGAGTTCAAGGCTTGAGTGAGAGCCCGTCCGAGCCGGGCCTCAGCTGGGTGATGAACATCACTGTGGTGGAAATATTTTGGGCACCAAGCTTGCTCTCTCTAGAGCTTTGCAGGTGTGATATTAAGTCAGTTGACATAATAGTCAATTTAAAATCGATCTACGACCTACGGGTGTGCAGAGCCCTCCCAGTCATCGTTTCCAAAACCTGTCCTATCAGCCCCAGGTCAATGTACTCCGCTTGAGCCTGAGCATCGTCGTTCTCAGACAAGTCCAATGTTCCCAATGCTTAGAGCTAGGCAGTCATCACTCTCCTAGGTCTAGGTACTTACTCAGGGTTCACTTGGATGCCGGTGCGGCTCAGACTGCATCTCAAGAGAGCAGTGTAAGTCGATCAGTTGCCCAACGCTCATGGCAAACATGCCCTCATATTGTCGGCGACCTTAAAATCCAGTCCTCATTGAGTCTCTGTAGCACAAGCAGACCGGCATGATGCGCCAGGCATTCAAACATGGTCTATCTGTCTTTGAGTAGACGGCTGCGATGCAATATTGAAATGCGGCTGATTCTGTCTTGCCAAGGCAAAGAAATCATTGAACGCTTGCTCCAAACTTTCCATTGTGAACTCTCATTTACACGACACTGCGTGAAGCTAACAGCCAGAACTCCGGGTGCAAAATTGAAGGAACATCTCTGTGCCACCGTTTTCTTATTTTCTAAATGATTTCCAACTTGGGTTATTTCTATTCGTGGCCGATTCAGGTTTCTCGACTACCTACATTATCTACCAACGAATCGCCATGCCCATCATCGGACACAGGGCACGCAGGCTTAACAGAGGAGCATGAGCGGCTTCATAGGCAGAGCCACTCCAATGTCGTGGTGAAAAGTCATGTTCAACTCGGGTTATGAAGGAGGGAGGGAGAACGAGCCAGATGAAACGGACGGAGGAGGGGAAGTGAGGATTTTGCTCATAGCCAAGGTTTTTCTGTCTTCATTTTTCTCTGTATATGAACCGATGTTCCTTCCCAATAGAGATGGTCTGATATCACCGGCAGAGCACAGGAAGTAGGGAGTTGTGCTTCTTTGGTGGGTCTAAGCTAGACGTGCCTTTGGCTGCTTACAAAGCTAAGGCATTCCGGGACAATGATTTAAATATGTACCTTATGGAATCCAGCGCACCTTCCACTCGTTTCAACTTGCCGCCCTCCTCCAGTCAGAGGTGTGGCAGAAACTCAGTCCGTATCAGCCTCTTTGCCAACGGCAGTGTTTGTTGATCCGATGATCATGCGAAGCTTTCATTGTAAAGCAGCCCAGCAAGGTTCGATCTAAAACCCCTGCAATGGCCAAGCAACTGGAAATTTGGCAGCGGGAGCGGAAATGGCTTACTCGCCCAGAAGCTAACCCGTAATGGAAGAGCTAGTTTTTGAGGCCCTGGAACTCCCTCCAACTTCGCTCTTCACTGGTTGACATTGGCACTGCACTCCGAACGCTTCCGCAACAGTGCTTCAACAGGCACAGCACCATGACACGATAGCAGGATTGCTGCTGAGTGACCGATAAAACGATGACCAAGGGGCCGCCAGCACTTTGATGTCTTAGCAGGTGAGATATAGGTGCGATACGATTCAAGGACCTTCCTCATACTCATCAAGAAAGCGGACCCAGAACACCCGACACAGAATGCGGATGCTACCACGCCCCATACCCTGCCTGCCGCGACACCCGCCCCCTTCCCCGATCAAGTCTTGGCCGTCGAACTGCAGCTTTGACTGCCTCACGCATCGGATCAATGGAAGCAGTGCGAGAGAACTTCGCCAATTCCAACGTTTGGCTGGCTTCGACAAGGAAGATATTCCATTTTCAGAAGCGTTCCAAAGAATCACAAGTTGGACTCGACATTCGGCGCCTCAGTTCGAGTGCACGCCAAGGCGGTCTCTCTCTGTCCCGCTGACAGACGCGATGCTCTCCGCAACCCCGTTCCGACTTGCGATCAGTGCGATGCAATCAAGTCCGTCTGCATGGCGTACGGGCCCGGTGGTGTCCGGCATGTTTGATGAGGTGGTGGCCTGCAGCTGTCAAGTGCCTGCATACGCGAACTACAGTACCAACCTGGACAACGCCAGCTTCCAACCGTTGAACCATTCCATATCCGGACAGCTGCCGTTTCCAATTTGGGACGCTGGTCGCTGGGTGGTCCCGACCCAGGCACAGACAACGTCGCAGCACACGCCAGCTATTTGCCCCACGATGTCACGGCGGAACATGCGGCCGAGCTCTTTGACAGGCCACGAAGTAGCCGTCGACTCGCTTTCTCTGTTCTGGCATTTCGTATGCGGCCGGGAATGCGACCTGAGCAGAGCACAATGAACAAGCGCAGGATCAAAGCACGATCCAAAGCCACCGTCGTTCAGCTCAGCATCACTTCCCTTCATCAGCCTACCGTGGCAAAACCTTATTACCTTCCTACTCCGGCAGTCGAGATGCGGGAGAGACCTCCCCTCTCCCAGCCGAGTCAGGCGGGACACGCCAACTGCTTGCTGCCGATATTGAGTTCGCCGTTTGTGGCACACTCGCTGAATGACGGAGAGCCAAACTTGGATCCTTCTTGCTCCAGGAGACGCAACTTTAAACCACATCAAGGAGCCCCAACAGCCAGCCCGCAGCCCTCCTCATCAGCCATGAATCCGCGCGTATGCTCCCCCATGAGGTCAACCCTGCAGCCACTTCTCCGCACGGCGGCAATTGTCTTCATTCCCCTCCTTGTCAGCCCCGCCCGGCGCCATCTGACCACGCCATCTCCAATCCGTACGACACTACAGCCTGAGTAACTTGCCCGCAGTGCTTCCAACACCTTGTTTATGTATTCGGCCATGCTCGCCACCTGCCAGCCCGAGTCCTGACCGTGCTGGTTCTTGCTTTTATCATTTGCAACGATAGCGGGAAGAGAGCGAGGCTTGACTACGGCCTTTGCGATGGCCGCGAGCAAGAGGGGCACGCAATCCCACCCCCTCCTGGCAAGTGCCAGGGGCGCAGCCTTCCCTTCTGACATTCCGCGAGCCGCCGTTACATCGCGTCGAACATGAACAAAGCCAATGACAGGTGTCGAAAATCCTTCGGATAGCCCAGGGTGAGTGCTGGGCAGGCGCTCACCGAGTTCATCTGACCTGCTCGATGCAGGGCCTGCCAGGCCGGTAAGAACCAGCGCGTGACGAGGTATGCATGGCAACAAGCTCATTTCTTCCAATGAGTGAGTGTCTGGATGTTGATTATATTGCAGGATCTCTACTCGTTTGACTTCTGCATAGTACATACAAACGGACGCGGCTGCTGTCACGGGTACCAGCACAGATCTGCGCACACCTACCAACCCCATGCCAGAGTCGGCTTTCGACCGTTGCAACGCTCCTGCAAAATTCCAGGTTTTGATGGCCGCATTCGGTACCGGAATCGGATCGCACCACCCGCTGCAACGATGTGGTCCGAGCCCTGTCAAATCGTTGACTCCAAGATTCGAACCCACAGATGAATTCACGCTAGCCTTGCTCTCAGTTCTTGACCCGGACCTTTGTGATACCCGGTCAGCCCGTCCTCCCTTGGCTTCATCTTCATCGCTTGGCCGGCTGCATCCACCATGATGTCAACCACCCTCTCTCATCTCCACGGTTGACCTTGATCGGCTGTCAATCGCCGGAAAAGGTGGCGGTGGTGTGTGCTTGAGTGCTTGACCGTGACATTCGCACGTGGGCGCTGTGGTTCTGAGCAGTGATCGACGGCTGGGGCCGTCATCAATGCACTTGCACCGTACGGTATACGCGTACGGCGCGGTTGCGTGCCGGTTGACATGTCATGATATCTCAAGGACTGGTCACTATGCACAGCCATATCATGGGGAGCAGCACAAGCTGGCTGACTACCCGCTGCAGTTCACTGACAAAGAAAAAAGGGCCAGATTCCTGATCATCATGGCGTCCACCTCGACTGTGCCTATCATGCACACTGTGTAGGGCTGAGACGGCTGGAAGTCGTGACGGTACACGATGTTGCAGGTGCACCTAGAACATTCAACAGTCACACCATTGACACCAACGTCCTCGACCCACACTCCACAATCTGAGAGTAGGTACATCCGTACATATACCAATTGGATGCGCGGTAGATGAAGACACAGTCAGCCTTCTCAGATTCCAAATCAGGAAACACATGTCCAGTCTTTCCTCTATAAGCTTGCCGCGGCTGACCCGTTCCGTTCCCGAGCCTGCCGTCATGTCCCAGCAGCGGGATACCACACATCCCAGGTCTTAGGCAACAAAGGAACAGACTTTGCAGAGAACTCTCGTCAAACCCTGTTAGGTTTACTGAACGCCTGCTCATTAAAGTTACGAGGAGGAGCGGAGAGGAGGTACAGGAGGGTCACACTGGGTGGCAATAACGCCAATCAGGCGGGTCTTTGGAACTGTAACCAGCCAATACCGAACCGGTGAGCGCCGTTCGTCTCCAATCAGAGCTTACCGCAGTACCTGGTACCTTAGCTTGGCGAGGCAGTTGTGCCTCGCTGGGGGATCGAAGTCACCGAACTGAGGAGCGGCAACAATCGACGACTCATGAAGGGCCCTGGGGGGCCTTTGAAGGAGGTGACGGGACGAAGCGAGCTGGTGGTAAGGCTTGCTGAAGGGGATAAAAAAGGAAGGTGAGTGTGCTGAGTAACTTGAGGGTAAGCAGATGTCTTTTTCGCAGGTTTAAGGCAGGCCGGGAAATAGAAAAGATACAAGCAACTGGAAGCCACAGAGTGAAACCTTCTGACTCTGCGCCCTTCCCGTGGTTGAATTCAGGTCGAGATCCATGGATAAGAGCCTCCACTAACAGGCAAGAACGTTCAAAAGCGGAAACAAGACGTGGAGGAGCACGTTGGACAAAATTGCACTTGAAACATGCATACGGTTCTGCGGTTGGAAAGCTAATGTCCCACCAGGGCTCTGAGCATATAACGAACTTAACATGCAGAGTTCACAGCGGTAGACATTAATAAACACTGATCTGGAAAGCATTACGATTTAGCGGAGAAACCATGAACAGAGTGCCAATAAACTTTCTCCTTTCCGTTTTGATACCTTTCCCGGGTCCAGAACCGGTCCAAGACGTACGTGATAATCGCTGGTCCCATGGTTGAGCCTATTCTGGGGTTGTTGCGGAAGCGGCACGGATTTGTTTGGATGCCGAGAATGGGAAAGGAGATCCAGAGAGGAAGAGAGTTTGGGCGAGGTGGAACAAGGCTCTGAACGGGCTGCAGGGTCCCGCTGAGGTTTCAACCAGCAACCACAGTTAAGGGCAAGGTAGCCAATTCGAGATTTTAGCAAAGTCCCGAAACTGCTTTGTCTGAATTGGGCTTTTCGTTGACCCTGAAGACCGGATATCACCTTACACATATACAGGCCACACATGGATGAGATCAAGCCGGGCTTAAGGCGGATCTGGTCTACACAAACCCAAATAAGGAGAGCGTGGAGACTGATGGATTAGAGCAGGGAGCTACTTAATAAGCTTCAAATACTCAAAATAATAAGGCGGGCAAAATAATAGTGCTGGCAGCCACACAGGACTGGAAGTCATGTTCACAATCACGAGTTGCATCCACTGAGCACCTCAGGTACCTTGATTATACATCTCCTGCATTCGCCAAAAACGTTGGGGTGATATGAGTCCTTCCGGCCCACAGGCCGCGGCTTACTTACGGTTTGATCATGGCTCCGAGCAGGTGCATGGCTTTATGTTACTTCATTTTCGAACCTGAATGGCCTCTCAGCAGGAAACCTGCTGGCTGGTGAGACGACGATGACAGCGAAAAAGTTCATCGAGTCCTGAATCTCGCCAGCAACCTCCGTGGGATCGGAGGGGCCCCTGCCGGGCTTAGTTGACTGCTGCCATGTGGCATGTGGCGTGTTGCAACATCAAAGTCACATGGTCCTGAGTCTTTCTCCGGCGGCGAAGGACCCGGCCGCCAGGGTCTTGTGCTGGTGCCAAACTGAAAGGAGCCTCAATTGAATATGGGATATATTAATCTGCAGAGTCCAGCCGCGAAGTCCATCTATCTCGCGGTATTTTTGGCTCCTCAGGCAAGAGACAACCGGGCCACGTCAGGCACCTATGCGGGACGTAAATTGAATGATTCCCAGCACCGCAGGGGATGAGACGCAGTGTCTAAAGTTGCTGTTCACGTCCGTCTTGTGTATGCCCATAGGTCAAAAGGTATCGGACGGGAATTACCAAACAAGCTGTCATACCGTATCATCTCAACTAAGTGAGCAAAAACCAGCTGGGACAGGTTCCGCTAGCGGCTTGGTTGATCTGCCCTGTGTTGGGCAGCCAACAGTTACATGCTCGAGTAAGCTTAGATCAACCAAATGGTATTGAACAGATTGAGGTATGAAATGAAGCTTGAATTGGAGTCACGATTCCAGAGTGACCACACAAATGAAGGATCAAGATAGTGGGTTAGGGTGCCTCAGAATGTCCCTTTTCTTTTTTGGAACAAAAAATTGTCCTCTCTAATCCTCCCAAGGGAATTACCCCCTTATATAGAGACAGTGTGCCATGATATGACGTTTATGTCAGGAACTGCGTCATTGTGATGGATCTGTGTTGACTGAGAGTCTCGCATTGAACATCAGTGCTCAGTCCGTGAATCTTGGTGCCAAGGAACCCACGCAGTTCAACACCCTGCTAACCGTAACTGGTGTACACCTCCACCGCGGTTTTAAACGTTAGCGCAATACAAGCCCCACCACTAACCAAAATAAGTTAGCTATTTACATCATCTGGCTGTACTGAAATCTTTAATCATCTATAAGGTCACTCTCCTAGCAAATTCTATAGTAGAGTACTTCGAAGTTAAGCCAGTTATTTTCTTTACCTATATATATACTATTCGCTCTACTGCTATCAACATGTCAACCTTCGCATCTCGAGGATAGATATCCGCGCTCTGATCAATCATATAAGCATCTATAATTCGCTTACTGCGCAGCATTTTTACTACTTATAATGTCAGCAAATCTAGCAGCTGTAACTCATAGAGCCTACGAGCTAAGCTACGACATCTCCGAGGCGCTATGTCTAAGAACTCTCGCGAGATAGGAAAATAGAGGCGCGAGCCCTACGTAATTATGCTAAGTGGTCCTATCAAGCGATTGCCCAGGCCTTAAGAGCGACTCAACGGCAGGTGTAATGGGCCTATAACGGCCCAGTCACTCTATAGAAAGCTGAGTATATAGGCAGACTTCCGTTGATCCATACTCTGCAGAAAGAGATTCTCCGTCATTACTTCGAAGCCGACAACCTCTTCCGCGAGCTCCTATAGGGCGGTTTGAAGTACTATATCCCGCGACTTGAGCTCTCTAGAGAGACTGCGATCCTCAAAGCCCTACGATCAATGGGTTACTTAAGAAGGAAATGCCCCCGTAGGATTGAACTAACTGCTCAGCACTAGTCTGCACGACTCGCCTTTACATATGAACAGTTGGCTCTACAACCTAATCCTGAGGACTGGGAAAAGTTTACCGTTAGCGATGAGACTTGAGCTACTAATAATCTTGAACAGGAGAAATAGATTACTATATACGACACCGAAGACACTCAAACTTGGATACCCCTTCGGATAAAATCATATGGCTGGATGTTCTAGAGCTGCTTCACTGCAAGTATAAGAGACCCGGGTTTTTCTAGGAGAAGGGACATAGAGGTATAAATGCTGTCACGGGTAGTGTGACGGGCACCACCCAAGGTCTGGTCAGCTCGCACATATAAGATCGATATTGGTACAACGAGAGCAAGAGCTAAATGACAGGAATGGCGTGCAACCAGACCTTAAGTACTGGAGCAGAGGCCTATGCGTTAGCATGACCCTAGACGTATGATCAGACCCCATGACGTATGCATAACCGCAAGCATATGACATAACCATGACAACAGGAACGGGGAATCCCGTGACAGGTAGTGACAGTGTGAAGTTCATGTGCGCAACTCCTGATTCGACTGGACAGTTCGAACCACGCTCCCTTTTTTGAGGGTGTTACGCAGTGGTCAGCTACGCCCACCCGTGACAAGTGCTAAGAAATATCAGCATTATATACTTCCACTTGTACGGCAGTTCTAAGAGTCTTATAGATAAGTTCGCCTTCTAATAAGACAATGCTGTTGCCTATACGCTTAGTCAACGAGGCGTCTTATGATAGAACTTGGACTAGAGCTATTAGATTAGCCTATACGAAACCCGGACCTCAACCCGATAGAGAGTCTCTAGCAATAGCTGGAGAACTATGTTGAGGACTACTATCTAGATCTTCATCGACTTAGTCTTTCGGCTCTCTATACGGCTATTTAGGAGGCATAGAATGCAATTCCGGAGAACCTTTTACTACGGCTGGTAAACTCAATGCTAGATAGATTATAGAAAGTGATTGCAGCTAGGAGTGGAAGTATCGAGTACTAGATTTAATATGAATTTTTGTATGAATCTTAAAGTTTCTATACTTGCTGCTTATTCCGGTTAGTAGGTGGAGCTTATATCGTCCTATTATTCAGTACCTAGTAGAAGTATAGTTACCTCCTTTTCTATATACCTATTAGAATGTACTCATGGACTTAGATAAGCTATAATAAGCTTAGCGCCCTTCTACTAAAGGTCAGCTTATTTATTACTTATTATATTACTGTGACGGGCACCACCCAAGGTCTGGTCTGCTCGCACATACAAGATCGATATTGCTACAACGAGAGCAAGAGCTAGATGACAGGAATGGGCGTGCAACCAGACCTTAAGTACTGGAGCAGAGGCCTATGCGTAAGCATGACCATAGACGTATGATCAGACCCCATGACGTATGCATAACCGCAAGCATATGACATAACCATGAGAACAGGAACGGGGAATCCCGTGACAATTACTATTATTATTATTATTCCTATTACCGCTATGCCCTGGAGCTCGCCGGACTCTCTACCACTAATTACAAGGAAAACCATGTCTGTAAAGCTGGACTGAAACTCTCTGTCTACCATATACTTGTCTGAAGTCCGAAATTTACCTACTATAACGAAAAGAAAGGCGTAGATAGCCAACTAGGCCATCAAACTAGTCTAGTTCTAGCCGTGCAGCTAGCCTCTACAGGAGCTTCCTATAGCATAGTAGCTACCTCTTTACCTACCTTGCAAGCCTTCTCTCTATGTTTCCCCGCCCGTCGAGAGCCCTGTTTGGATTTCTCTGCAAGCATATCTTTATAGCCGGCTAGGTCCTTGGCTTTGGTAATTAGCGGCACTATATAGCTAAGTGTTCTACTATCTCCTTGCCTCGGCCGCATTCGCAGTAGGAGGAAGATAATATATAGGTATACTGTATATTATGCACTTTATTTCCTCAGTATATTCCCAGCTATTATATACTTACTACACTTAATATAATTTAGTAGACGTAGGAGGCTTACTGCTGCTTGCCTAGTTAGCTGAATAGCTAAAAAGAGGGGCAAAAATGAGGCTCAAACTAGGTATAGTTAGCAGGGCAGATTAACTGGGCCGCTAGTAGAGCCTGCCCTAGCTAGTTTTCGCGCACTTAGTTGAGATATTACGATATTTCAATCGCTACCGCATGCGGAGAGTCGTGAATCCCGTTACCAAAAGGGCAGGCGCCATTACCTACCAAACCTGGAGGCGGCCAGTAGCAGTGGGCGGAAGAATTGAAACGTACAGAATCGGGGGCCAGATTTAGAAGCCTTCTGGACCTTTCCTGATCCGCAAATCTGGAACGCCGGCAACGCTGAGTCCGATACGCCGGAGCGCCCCGGGCCCTGGCCTGCTGCACTCCAAATCGGCTGGAACACTATGGTGCAAGAGACTGACGGCGTTGTCTCCAAATCGGGGGAGTTTCCAGATAGGTCTGACGGGTTAAATCCTGTGGAGGTCCCTCAAGAAATGCCTGTACCGACCTCGATGATCTCACCTGCACTCGAGTTCTGGCAGGGATTGAATGGGCAGTCTGATAGGGCAGCGGGTCCTGAATTCGGCAAACCAGGTGCCAAAAAAGAGATGAATCCATCAGCTACAGGGCTGGTCTTGTTCGACGCAACTGGCGGTCGACCCCGGGTTCTCCGCTTCCAGAGTCCCTGTATCAACCCAAAAGCGTGCAGTGGGCCTGTCCAGTCGGATAGTATCCGCCCGTTTGGTGCATTCTCAATCATGAGGAACTGCTGGTGACGGGACATGCTGCGGACACGATGGCCGCAAAACCTGGCAATTCCGTTGTGGCCAGGTATACGGACGTATCGCAGACTCCGAATTGTCTTTACCCGCTGTCGTTCGAGCAGCATCAAGACCTCTTAACTTTAGATCTGGTCAGTCTCACTGCCGTTACAGGGTGGAAAGAGGCGAGCGAGGCAACCGCCGTGGCACGCTTCACTGCGTCACGAATCATGGGAAATCCAAAGCAATCTCAGTCTCCAGAATAGAGAGTCTTGCAGTTGATCATGGACTTTCGCAGTTTTGTGTTGCGAAGTTTGAGTGCCAGTGGGGAGCAGGTTGATTGCCGATTGGATGGAAGCTTTGAGCGAACATACGCTTGTTGCATAATGTAATCATTCGCATGATACGGTGTAAGATACGACGTACCTACCGAGCAATTCTGGTAAGTGCTGCTCCCTTCCAAATTGGCAAAGAAACGTCAAACCTGCGTTATGAACCACATTGGCTGATACTGCGTTTGGAGATTCAGATCTCAGCTTGCTCTCCTGATTGGGAACGCTTCCTTCTGTTGTGTTGCAACGGACTCAAATAACCACTGCCAACCCATTACTTCATAAAACTCCTGCTATCCGTACTGACATATCGTAGCGTGTGGAGCTCATGGGGCCCTGCGAATCAGTGCAACCATTGCTTGCCAATCTCGGGCCTGGAATGCGGCTTCCACTGTACGTCTCTCCAAGGGAGAGTCTTCGAACTCGATGTCTTTCTGTGCAGTCCAAGATTCGGCCAAGGCGACCGGGGGGCTATCCAGAGCCCTGCCGCCCGAAAATTCTCCTCGAAGGGCCGATTTCAGCTTGTGCTCAAAGACTGTGCACACGGGATGGGATATTAATATGAACCACCCCGGCCTTTAACAGATGACACTCAAGACTTCATCATCATTGATTTTTCCGAACGGCCAAGGAGAAGACATTTTGACTTCGAGGGGGTTCTTGCAGCGTCAGACCAAACGTCATGTTCGCCCCCGTTTTGCAGAGGCGCTGGAATCTGGATCTGGCGACCGCGCTCAGAAAACGCGGAACCTGCGCGGGTCCGCTCCTCCCGATGGCCAACCAAGATCTGCACAAGAGAGGTTGGGCCGGAGCCGGGCATGGTCTCTACCCCGGGAAATACTCCACAGGCTCCTCTGCTGAAAGCAAGTGGGCAAACGCTGGAGGGGAAAGCTTCAACATTCTGTCGACATTTCCGACCCAAACGTGTCCCTGATCTTTTCGTGATCGGTTGCAGGTTATCCAGACGGACAGGCACGGATCAGTCCATCCCCCGATGAGACCACGCAAGACGTTCGGATATCGCTAAACATCGCAACGACAATCCGGAAGCCTACACAGTATCAACTATCACTTGATGTGAGCTCACTTCCCAGGCTATAATTGCGACAGAAGACAAGAGAGGGCTCAATGTTCCATGATGGAGGTGTGGAAGCACGCCCTCGTTTGACAAGGGTATATGTGCATGAAGCTACAGGCCATGACCCTGGACCTTGCGAGCTCCGGGGCCTCGAGACGGCGTCCCGTCGCTTGGACCTCTCTTTCGAAGATTCTTCAGACGTTCTTACACGCCAATCATCGGCATGGTCTGGTCTCTGTTGCATGCCAGGACGCGCCAGAAAGCTTCTCGAATCCCTCTCACCTTGATGTTGGTGGTGCTGGTAGTGCTGATGACAGATGATCCCATCATCAAGCCATCGTTACAGAGCCAGGGCACTATTCCTTCGCGGTTCTCAAAGGGCACACAGCCAAGTGCATAGGTAGTTGTTGATACACACCACACCGGCGCCAATTAATATACGAGCTGCAGCATGCTATACTACCAACCCTCTACGCCTGAGATGGTGGAAGCGGTGCAGTCTCTCCAACCTTACCAAGGACCATCGGAACAGATTTGTCGAGTTTCTTGGGTCATGGCCCGAGATAGGGCCAATGAACCCCGACACGAAACACAACCCCTCCGCTCCCTACGTGCCGCTCCTGCACTAGGTAGCGAAGTATTTTTGTCTGTTCCTGAATATCTGCCATGCGCCTGTGTGCCAGGCTTTCATGCAGGCGCTTCGTCAGGAGCGTTAAAGAAAGAAACGATTGGCGTGTTTCCGGGGGTTGAACGTAGGGCGCCAGGACAGCATTCTTGCATCAGCAAGGACTCCAGCCCATTTGGTGTGCTGGATGAGAGGGGGACTCGACGCATCTCGGATGCTTCTACTGACTCGGTTACGTCGCGTGTTTCTCGGACGCATCTCGCAACTCAGCCAAGCAGATCAACCCCGGTAAACAAAGGGAGAGGCCTTCAAGACAAGGCCAATGTGGCCGCCCTGGATTTCGGACCCTGGGCAGCGCGGGGGATCAACAAGTGAGCAGCTTCACTCGAAAAAGACGGGAAAGGCGACTTTTTGAGGCTAGAAAGGGTTTAGAGGCAACTCCTGCGTTCATGCATGCATGCAGCGCACAGACGACAGCAAGCTCAGAAGGGCAGAGCTTGGATGGTGGATCGTTTTAATGCCGGGGCATGCCATTGTTCGGGAAGAAGGCCATGGGGCTCTCGCCTGACCGCCTATCCGTACAGACCTACACTACACTCATGCAGTCCCTATCCCAGCACGTCAGCGGCACCAGCGGGGTGCCCAAGAACATGTGGGGGCAAGAAGGCGGACAAGGGGCAGGTTATGAGCAACACAGGCGCCGGCCTGTCTTTAGAAGCTCGACACGGAGGTCTCCAGAACGGGCAGATAGAACTCCCGGACCCAGCACTTACAAGACATGCTGCACCAGGACTGGAGGCTGAAAGCCGTTATCAGCTCTCTGCGGGGGAGGAGCCGGAAACCAAGCCCCGTATCCGTAACGTACGGAGTACTGGGTACCTGGTCGCTTCAGAGCTTTCAAGGGCGCTATTCCAGGTCAGGCTTAAGACAGCGGAGGCCACAAGGCTTCGAGCCTGTCGCGCTGCCCAGACCGACAACCGGGACATTTATCCAGAGGAGCATCACCATCTTGGCGCGTACCGGGTACATGACTTCAACGACAGGGGCTTGCACGCGTAGGGCTGCTTCTTCCTCCGGCTGTAAGAACAATCCAGAGTATCGCCTCAGACCACCGTATCAACGCCACTCTTCTGACGACTCTGACGCGAGCCGGCGTTTGCGCGGTGGGGATAGACGAGGTCCTTCGGGAAGCGGAACAAGTGTCTCGTCATCATCACGGAAACGAAATTCAGGTCTGCAAACGCCGCCAAGCACTTCCCGTCTGTCCGTCAAGCATCGTGCGGCGTTGGCATTGCGACCCACCCCGGCTCTGTCCCCTGGCCCTGCACTTGGCCGGGTGGTCTGCCGGCTGAGACGAGCCCAGCTGGATGCTAGCCCAGCAGTTGTTCTGCCGTCCAGAGCCCATGGCAGCCACCACTAACGGCCCGAGAGCACACAGGGACTCCTCCCGCCGCGCCCGCGCATCGCCGAGTCTTTGGAATGGCCTGGACGGCGAAAAACAGGCAAGGCGCTGGAGCCCTTGAACCGTCAGGGGCCTCCAGGGTGTTCCTGGAAGCCTCGTCGTTGAAGAAACGGGCCCCAGCAGCCTTCAGACATCATCCTCGCCGTCAATCATATCACCGGCCGCTCATTCCATTATTGATGGCAGCCTCCACTCCGGACTGGGCAACGGCCCTGTCGTGGTTCCATCCGGAGGTCCCTGTCTTCCTCGTTCGTATCCCCTACCCCTTCTTAACTTAACATAGCTGCGGTAGCTATATCTGATCTACCTCCCTACTTCCCCCCGTTTATTTTGTCCCTTCCACCCTTTGCCGGTTACAGGTCCCAGAAGATCAGATTCACCGCTGCCAGTTGTTCCTTGCCAGCAAACCAAGTCATCCCGGCAAGACACGGGGGTCAGCACTGTCAGGCGTCAGACACGGCATTGCATTCCTGCTTGGCCTGATCCATTGTCCGGATTTCTACCTACGATCTGCAACTACGGGGAAAATTGCAGCCATCTCCTCCCGCCCTCCTTGCGCGTGCCAACCTCAAAAGTGGCTCTCCCCTCGGAGATTTCACTCTGCCGCCCTCGATCACTGCAGTGTGCCGAAGTGGGCGACCTTGACAACGGCCTGCAAGGCTTGATAAAGGTCTTGAACAGCGTCGTTGGAGATTCTGTTCGGAGCCGACTGTACCAACTTCACGTACAGAGTCATTTCGCTGTTGAGCGCCACACGAACAGTTTGAGAATCCGCTCTCGCCTTCCCCAAACTTCTTCTCCGGACCACTCGGTCGACGAAGAGCTCAGTGCAGGAATCGAGTGGAACAGAGACAAAGGAGCTGGGACAGCAGGAATAGGGAGCCTATGAGGACACAGCAGCAGTATCGGCTCCGGTTCACTTACATCCTCCCTGCTTGGCTCGGTCTACCAAACTTCTCCATCCGCCTTCGGCTCGCGGCAGCCCGCACACTGCATCGTGCAGATACCTGACGGCTCCCACCATCTCGACCTTTGCCTGCGTCCTTCCCCGGCACGCTCTTGGCATCGGTTCTCAACCCCAATCCTCTCCCAACGGATGTTGACCTGCCCCGCCCGCGGAGACCGGAGCTCCTCGTTGACCGACCTCACACACGGGACGTGACCGGCTGCTGCACTGCCAAACCCCCGACCAACCTTCAGCACCAAGCCTCCTCTTACGGACCTGCATGGTTTGTGCTGTCGCTTATTTGGTCGGTACCTCTGCATCCATACGCTGTCAGCCACGCCCGTCTTCCTTCCCCGTCACGCTCGCCTCCCAATATGGCTTGAACAACCCTTCAACTTTCCAAGAACACTGCTAGCTGACACCTTTTTTTCAGACTTCATCTAACCATTGGGCCAGCGGCCGGCTGCCTTCCCATTTCTTGATCACGGCTCCTGAGAGCAGAATCCTCCAGTCGCGAGGGAACAGCGAGGAGTTGCTGCGCCAACCGGACCCGTCGGTCTGCATGGGGCGTGGCTAACTAGGGGCTTCTGGTTAGTCATAATCCTTCGTCGCATCCTCACCAAAGAACACCCTCGAAATGTTGTCGACGTTGGGACAAGGCGACTTTGAGTTGGCGGTGCGGCAACAGCCAAAGTATGCCTGTGTTGCCATAGGAAAGGGTAAAGGTATAGCCCTCCATGTTTCTGCTTTCCATTCCCTGTCTGCTGCGCTGAATCCTCCCGGCTGACCCAGGCGCAGAACGGAAACCGATCGACCCACCACCCATTGTACAGCTCATGGTCAATCCCAGGAAAGACCCAGCCAGGACCTTTCTCCAGAACCCATATTTGATCCTGACGGCCAGGCTCATCCGCAAGGGCGACGAGGACCAAGACGAGCAGACGGGACCGAAAGAGAGCGATCTGACAGGGACGCTAGTATCATCTCTCTACAGCCTCAAAGACACAGACAACAGCCAAGGCGGCTTCTTCGTCTTTGGCGACCTGTCTGTGAGGAGAGTAGGCACATACAGGCTGGCGTTTATCCTCTACGAGCTCAAACTGGCCGAGAAGGAGTGCTGGCTCCTCTCCCGAACCGTGTCTGACCCCTTCGTCGTGTACGCCACCAAGACCTTTCCAGGGCTGGCCGAATCCACATTCCTCACCCGCTCATTCAGCGACCAAGGCGTGCGCCTCCGCCTCCGAAAGGATTCCCGCACCGTCTCGACCAAGAAACGGAGCATCAGCCAAGCCGACCAGATCCGCGCATCCCAGGCGATCCACGGCTACCTGCCACACGACGCCCACCACGACCTCAGCCCCAACGGCCATTCTCCCCACCACCTCCGCCGCCTTAGCAGCCTGCCCGACCAAGCTCAGCTGGACCGCTCCCGCGCCTCCATGGGCTCCCAAGGCAGCTACTACTCCGAGTCCCCACAGATGCGCCCGGGCGAGTACACGCCAACCTCGTACGGTTACGCCGTCTACGACCACCCAGAACCGAAACCCCCGCACAAGCGCCCGCGCATGGACGGCGGCACCTCCCCAAACAGCCCGCACACATCCGGCGGCTACGACACCGACGCAACAGCCTACCATCCCTACGCGCACCACCACCACCACTCCAACTCGCACGCCGGGCCCCGCACCCTCCCAGATACAACAACCCTCGGATCAATATACCCCTTAACCGTGACGACAACAAGCTACGCGGTCGCGACCCAGCCAGCCCTCACCAGCTTGCCACACATGCCCCCCCACACGGCCGGGCCCTATCCCTCCATCCCACGACTGGACACAACAACAGCGGCAGCGACCACCAACCTCCCGCCGCATTCTCCCGCCATTGGGCCCGGGTCCGCGACATCGGCTTTTCCCCCGACTGCTGGGGCCGCTGGTGGCGGCGGCGGCAGTAGCAGGAGGAGTCCCACCACCGCCTCGGCGGGGGGACATTATCATAACCCGTATTCGGGGCATCATCATGCTCATCATCATGCTGCTGCTGCTGCGGCGGCCATGTTTGTGTCTGCGGCGCCGACTAATAGTCTGCCGTATCACCCGGCTGCTGCGGCTGCTGCTCATGCTCATGCTCATCATGTCTCTGTTGCCGGGCAGGGGACTGGGTTGGGGATTGGGGTGGGCGGGTTGGAGTTGGATGGCGTGGACAGGCAGTGATGTCGGGAACTGGGGGAGTTATATGATGATTGCATTTGATTGCTGTTGTGGTGGTGGTTGATGCCGTCGTCTGGAGTGAGCTGGTGGGTTTTCGCATGGGTGGTCGGCCAGGTGCTTTGGCCGGGTGAAAAGGGCAAAAATACCCTGTCTGCCAATGTCGAACACACAAAATCAGTCAGTCGGGACGCATTGAAACGGAGGGATGAAGAGATGGGCTGCGAACGGGGCAGTGTTGGGGTGTTGTTCGCTTTGGTTGACGTTGGGGTTGGCCGTGCACTATGTCAGGGGCGGTCTGAGGCCTACATTTATTACTTTCTTCCTCTCTTTTGTCGCCCTCCCATGATCACATTACATTTTCCGGTTGGAAGGCAGGCAAGGCATAAAGTGCACAACGCAGAGTGATATCCCCGGGTGGACTGGGTCGGGACAGGATTGGGCTGGACGGGTTGTTTTTTTCATTTTCTCTCATTCTTACCTTTGTCATACATTTTTTTTTGGTAACCCACCCTTTTCTTTCCCGCTGCTTCAAGAATGTCATCTACACAACTGGATGCACGGATATACGAGATACCCGGTAATGGGGGGAACAGCCCTGGCCACCTGCAACGTTACTTGGGCGCCTGATTTGGGTGTTGCGGCGATAGCAGGTCGCCCTAGGTTAGGTTAGGTTAGGTGGTAGTCATAATTTCAGATCTTGTTAACTCAATCGATGTGCTGGCGGTGTTTTGTTTTGAGACCCCTGACATGAAGCGAATGGGGGCTTCGCCGGACCATCATCTCCTGGAAGGGCGGATATCGTGTAATGCCATTGGTCGGTTCTGTTTGCTTGCGCAGTTGAACGACCCTACGAAAATAGGACCTGTCACTGTGAGAAAAAGAAGGCACAGCCTCAGGCTAAACTGGATTTTGATGGAGAGATCACTCCGGCAGTGTCAAGAGTCTCGTATTTCGCCGGAAAGCGGTCCTGGTGTTGAGCCGGACGGGGATTTTTCCCATTCTCTCAGTGGCAGCCCGACCAAGAACGGAGCCATAAAGTTTGTAGCTGCCCTGCTGATAATTCAAACCCTGGTACTCGTCGATGGAACGGCGAACTCGAAGCTTGTGGTCCTTGGCCTCGGAGACCATGCAATCCCCTCACCCCCACCGCGCCCTCAACGCCTCATAAGCCTTGCGGTCAACAGGCAACACGCTTCCGTGTCTCAGGTTTCTCGGAAACGCTGCCCTGTTGCTTGCTGTCCATGCGCTGTTACTCGCCGGATCGGAGCTCTCGTAGGGCCTGTACCCATCCTCCCCATAAAAGTCCAGCAGCAAATGTACCTTTCCTGGCACCGTATTATCCCAGTACGCCGCCGGGCCTTCAACTCCTTTCTGAATGATGGCTGAATCCCCTCCGGGTCTGGTCCACGTGCCGAAGAGGCCTGTACTGGAGACCTCAACGAAGACTGTCTTGCGCGTTTCGTCCTTCATGAAGCGGAGAAAAGAATTTGAGCTGGCGCCGTTGAGTGGGAGGAAGGTTAGGTCGATGATGTTGGTTGGGGATTTGTCGATGAGGGTCTGAGGCGTAGTGAATGTCTTAAAGTCGCTTGTGTAGGCGTAGCGAATGCGGGTGTTGGACGGCGAGCCAGTATGGCCGGGATCGGAGGTTCCGTACTAGAATCAGTTGAGTGGTGTCATTCCCGGGTGACCATTCGTTGTTGTGATGCTGCCTTACAAACTTGGATGCCCAGTGGACGAGGTATTGCCCTGTTACAGTCAGCCTCGCATGCTTGTTCCTGACAGCTTGATGGCGTGCCTTTCGCAGGATCCCATATCGCTTCCGGAGCCCAGACCATGCCAGCGGTGGCATCTTCCACAATCACAAGCCTCTCGTTGCCCCAGTTGATGAGATCCGTGCTCTCCCAGACAAAGATCCCCCTCGACCCGGTCCGCTGTGCTGCATCCCACGATGTCTGCCATGGTGTCAGGATGGCGGTGACGACGACGACGGCCCAAAGCCCAACCTACCTTCCCAATGTCTAGGTCTGTTCCTATGATGTACCATTTCGTTCCAGCTTCACTCCCACCTCCGGGAATGACGGTTGGGTCCCGGACGCCTCCGGTCCCTTTCGTCGGCCTGATGATCGGCGAGCCCCTGTTCAAAGCTTTGAACGAGAGAGGGTCGTTGCCATTGCTGAGATAGAAGTAGACGAAGGGGTCGGCTCCGAGGAAGAACACTCCTAGGTAGCCGGCTAGATTGGGGTCGGCACGCCCAGACAATACACTGCTATGCCCCCCGACGTCGATGGCATATCCAAGGACAAGACAGGTCCAGGATGAAAGGAGAGCCGCGAGGCCTCGGAGTGTTCCGGAACATGTCCATACCATCATGGACCTGTTACCTAAAGCACTGGTTGTCCGGGTAGGCGCGGCGGCTGGGACCAGAAACGTGTGTTTCACTGCACAGCTACCGGGAGGAAATATGGTCTGGCTACCAGGTCATTGCAGACGGCAGCAACTTATACATTTTCAAGGCCGCCATCATCGAGTGCTACCCGAACCTCAGATGCCTTTCCGCTGTTTGGGCAGGCTTCCCCACAATCGCTTCTCCAAGGTTGGGTTGCATTTAGGCTTTAACTGCCCCGAGGCGCGTGCAAGTCTCTGCTTGATCTCGACATTTTATTTGTGCGCATACTGGCCAAATTGACTGAGGTCACCGGACCAGGGTGGTTGTGTCGCAATAACATGCGAGCTTTTGGTGGTTCCATCGCAACCGAGCTGGGTGTTCATACAGAAGCTTCATCACCGACCTTGGCGAGGTCGGATATGGCAACGGATTTGTGGAACAATTAAGCTTTCCGGCGAGGAGACGTTGTATCCGACCAAGATCAGGCCCACGCCAGGGGTCATGGCGGGGATCGGCAGTTGAAAGCCTGAGCGAATGGTGACCACGTCGAAAATGTGGCCGAGGTAAGACCAGTCAGGAGGGGGACGTTCGAAGAGGAGCTTAACCTCGCCTTCACCATGGGAGAATCCTCGGATGTCTGGCATGACACTGGGGGTCTTTGTCTTTAGCAGTCTTCAATGCCGCAAGTATGTGAGCTCGGTCTCAAGCGTCGAGTGATTGTCTGTTGTCGACAATAGACTGATCTGTCCCCCAGCCCTGCCCTGAGCATTTTCGAGGATGGATTTGAATGCATGAAAGCGAGTTTCGAGACCCGTCTCCGACAAGGTCGAGTCTTGCGAGTGGAGGAGGCTTGTCGGGTACAAACCTTCGAGACCTCCGCCGCCGTCGGTGGGCTCATATCTGTCAAATTCCTGGGTCTGGGAATCGTCTGGACGGACTTCCAGTTCGTGAAGATCGATCTCTGTATCGTCGACAACTCGGGGTTGGCAGTCAACGGTTGTTGAAGTCTGCTGCTGGCTGTGGTGAATCGGCTCAGGCTCGGTTGTCGAACCCTGCGAAAGGTGGGCAACATTTCCTGCGGAGGAGACGGTAACCTGGCTGTCGATGTTATTGACCGCCTTAATCACCACGTCCCCGAACCGTTCCCTCATGAAACCATCATGCCGAAAGTCATCTCCAGAGCAATACTCAGCGAAGAGACGTCGTATGGTAATACCTGGCAATCTCCGTCAATATGTTAATACAACCCCGCTTCTGGCAATGCTTCAAACCTTCATTAAGCCACCTCGTTATATCCACGGTGCATGGCCACACATCTCTGGGTTTGAATACCCTGACGAGGTCGCAAAGCTCGCGGTAGGATGAATGGCGCGAATATGGGAAGGTGACAACAATTGGAAGAGCGTGCTCGTCGAAATTGCTCGTTGATTGCTGCCTACTGCGGTTCTTGAGCTTGCTGGTTATGGCCTGCAAGCCACTGATAAGGTCGGTCTCCTTGTTCTCCCCGAAGGCCGCCATTTCCAGATTGAGTGGGACTTTCCGACCGGTAGCAATGGCGCTGAGGAGAAACTGACCAAGTTTATCTCGTATGTCCTTAGAGATACCATCGACATCACCGAGCCTGGCCAGTTAGAAGGCGCCAAAGAGAGGATATGCTTGAACTTACACGGCAAGGAGTGAGACCACTTCATCCGCGCAGAGATAATCCAACTCCGCCTCTCTCTCCAAGTCCTCCCCTCCTCCTCCAACCCCAATCTCAGCAACATCCTGGCCATCCGGAAGACGAGTGATGATGGGTCGGATCCACACAACTCGAGAGTTCCTCACAGTGGCACAATAGTTCCCTTTCTCGCAGCTGTGGAGCCGGACAGACTCGTCCAGTGTCAAGCAGCCGGCATGATAGGTGTTGCCAAACATGAACCCGACCAAGCCAGGGGCTTCGGGGGTGAGGTGATACGAGGGCGCAAACTTGTTGTCCGGGTTCATGGCAACAAGAGAGCGAAACATGTCCATTTTATATTTGTCGACGTGGATCTAAGTATTGCGATCAGCCAGGTTCGTAATGGGAAATAAAGGATGCCCACCTTGGAGCCCAGGGATTTTGAAAGGGCAAGCCATACATCCTCGTAGCTGGAAGCAGTTAGAATGGGCGCTGGTGAGCGTGGTTTCGCTCTGAATGGCACATACCCGTACGTCCACGCCTGGAAATGAAAGATGGTATTGGGTGGGTATCGCGAGACCTTCCGGAGCAGCTCGGTGATGCCTTCAGACTTGGTAGGAAAGTCGATATCATCAGTAAATGACGTGTCGAGATAGATGGTGTCGAGCGTCTTGAGACCCGTGGAATACTCGATCAAGGATGGTGATCTGGCAATCGCATTGACAAACCACGGCTCGCTCCTGATATCGCCAGTGTAGAGCACAGCCTTGTCTTGGCCCTCAAATACTTGAAGTGAAAACATGAGTATGCATGGCAGGGCTCGTAGAGGTGCGAATGCTTACAGAACATGACGGCGCCCGGGCAGTGGTTGCTATCGAAAAGGGTGACCTGAAGGTTGTTTCCGGGTTCGAGCTCGAGAACAGTAGGCGTATCCAAGGGCACGGGTTTCTAAAAGCATGGTCAGCTGCAGAAAGGAGCATGATGTGTGAAGCTGATGCTCCCTCACAAGCAAAGTCTTGAGATGACGGTACCTCTGGATGCGAGCCTCCAAGATGCCGTTAGCATAGTTGATGCGGCAAGGGTACCTCTCGAGACGCAGGAGCATCTCCCTCGTAGCAACAGAGCAGTAGACACTATGCAGCATGTCAGAGAGTAAAGAGCGAGCCACTGGTCTTTTCTCCGGAAGGGGGGAAAGGAGTTGGGGATGGGGTGGGGAAGAGGGAGATATCGAGCTCGTACGTACAATGGCGACCGAAGATTCTCCAAACCGGCGAGGTGATCGCTGTGGATATGGCTCAAAAAGCACGCCAACGGAGGGCGATGTTCTGGTTGCGAGCGGAAGAAGTCGACTGCCATGTCTGGTTAGCACAGAGCCATGGTCAACAACCCAATCCGGAGGGCTTTTACCTCTGATGTCGGGAAACTCAGCCACGAGCCCGTTGAAGGTTGACATGGCAGGCTGTGGTCAACTGGTCATGCAGAGACCAACTACTTTATCATTGAAGCAATCCAGAGTTGGTTCAGAAACTGTGATTTGCGTCTGGGTGGGGATCCGCTCGATGGCAATGGTTCTTCTGCCCAAGCAACAAAGGAAAGAGCTCCAGGCAGCAAGCCGTGTGATAGTTGAAAAGGGTGGTCTCCAATCTTCAGGCCCAACCCCACAATCGCTCATCGACGCTAAGAAAGGCTTGATACCTCCCAATGAATGTTATCACTGCATTCAAGCATCATTCTCGGTCTGGACAGGTTCCAGTCAATTGCGTCTTAGGTTCCCATTAGGTTGGCGCTCTCCAGAATCTGTGGACATTGCTCGCAGCTACCGCAGTCCCTTAAGCACAGATCATCCGACCCGAGGTCAGCTCCCCAACGATTTCGACTGTCGTAACTACAGTACCTCAAGTTATATCCACAGCCAAAACGGAAATCCATACGGCCTCAACGATTGATAAATACCCAATCCTTTGCGAACTAACTCCCAAGGTCGGCGTGGTTGATCCGGATAGTACCTCGGTGAGTCGGACGCCTCCTGCCTGCTCGCTCGGTCGGGTTGCTGGGCCCGCTAAAGTGCCGGACCCACTCATCGATGCCAACGTTGAATTCTGAACCACTAACGTAACCTTCCATTGTTAGCAGTCCCCCTGCATGTCAGCAGCTCAGCCTCGTGTTTCAAAGCTCACCTCATCGGCCAGTCTGCTTCGGAACGGCAGGAAGGCAACCAAGATGCGGCATCGTGCCTACTTCCATGTCTTCCATGGCCTGCTGGCTGACTCGAAGCATTCCGCAACGTCCGGCGTATGCCAGGGCCTTTCGATACGGCAAGCATCGCCTCAGCGAGCTCGAGTTACACAAGGCACCAGCCAGCAACCAGTCTGAAACTTGTCCGTGACCATGGTTTTAAGCATAACCTCTCATGCCCTTGAGTCGCTGACTCCAGGCCGTATCGCTGCGGCAGTCATTGTCCTCACGGTCAGCACTTTCATCGCCGACTTCACGTGGAAACCCCGCTACACCAGATCTCTACCCCGCGTCGGCTGCGGCGGTGGCCTCCTCGGTACCCTCCAGAATTGGTTCTACTATGTCTCGCGCTACAACTCTTGGGTCGCCGAGGGCTATGAGAACGTGTGTTAAATCCCCAAGTGCTGCCCTTCCAGGCAGTAACTGACATTCACCCTCGAAGTACTCGAAACATGACCGCGCCTTCGTTGTACCCTCGGCCCCGAGTCGCCCGCAAGAAATCGTCGTTCCCCGGTCCCAGACAGCCTGGATGCTCGAGCTTCCCGACCGCGTTCTTTCCGCTAAGGAAGCCCACCGGGATACCCTGTACAACGATTACCAGTTCTTTGGTGACGACGACGAGTTCCCAATCCAAACAATTCACAAGCACCTGGCTCGCAATCTTGCCGGCCTCATACCCGGCACGCAAGAGGAAGTTCATGGGGCAATAGACGCCACACTTGGAACTGATACCGAGAATTGGAAGTCTGTGAATCTCTGGGAGGCCTGGCTGGGTATCGTCCCACGGGTGACAAACCGAATCATCGTCGGCGCCCCCCTGTGCCGAAACCAAGAATTTCTCAACAGTCAAGTCGCATTCGCCGACGACGTTGTCCGCAACAGCTTTTTCTTGGACATGTTCCCTCGCATATTCCAGCCGCTCGTCGCCCCATTCTTCATCTTCGCAAACTGGTGGCACTGGCGAAAATCGTACCTCAACGCCAAGCCCGTCATCGAGCAGCGCCTCAACGACATGGCGCGCAAGGCCTCGGGCGTTGAGCCGGCCTACGAGCCCCCAGAAGACATGATCACCTGGCTGATCCGGCAGGCCAAAACCGAGGGCCTCGACGCCGAACTCAACGCAGAGATGATCTCCAAGCGCATCCTCCCGGTCGAGTTCGCCGCCATCCACACGACCGTCATGACAGGCTTCAACCTGATTCTCGATCTTGTCTCCTCGGACCCCTCCTTAAGGTACCTCGAAACCATCCGCGAAGAGACGGCGCGCGTCTTTGCCGAAGAATTTGGCGCCTGGACCAAAAACGGCCTGGCCCGCCTCCACCGCACCGACAGCGCCATCAAGGAGAGCATGCGACTAAGCCACTTTGCCAGGGCGCTCACCCACCGAAAGGTGGTCGCGCCCGAGGGCCTGACTAATACAGTCGAGGGGTGGCATGCGCCGTATGGTGCGTTTTTGATGCTGGATCTTGCGGGAACGCATCACGATCCCGAGCTGTACGAGGAGCCGGATAAGTACGATGCCTGGCGGTTCTCGCGCCAGCGGGAGAAGTATGAGGCCAGGCCGTCGACGGAGAAGACGAATGCCGAGGAGGCCATGAGGATCAAGCGGTTGGGTATGGTTACCACGAGTGCCGAGTACTTGCCGTTCAGTCACGGGAGGCATGCATGGTACGTTCGACTCTCGAACTGAAGTTGGCAATGGCACTGACGAGGCGAACAGCCCCGGGCGGTTCTTTGTCGCACATGAGCTCAAGATGATTTTGGCATATCTGCTGCGGAACTACGAGATCAAATCGTTGCCTGAGAGGCCGAAGGGGATGTGGCTTGGGTCGACCATCATACCGCCGGTGCAGGTCAAAATCGAGATTAGGAGGCGGAAGGGTGCGCTGTAGAGCAGTGAATGTGCCGAGATGGCTTCCGGGAATGCCGCCTGCGGATCTATAAACAATTCGGATCACTTAATGAAGATTGAAGAGACACCCCGTTTGCGTCCTTGATGGTCACTTGTAGGGAGGGCGGTCACGGCAAGTATTGCACTCGGGCACTACATCGTCAACAAGGAGTTGGCTGTCCGGTCTACCACCCCATTTGACTCCCCGGTTATTCCCTTCAACGACCCCTAATCGCGGAACTGCTCCACCGGTGTATACCGCCAATCCGAGAAGTAGGCCGGCGTCGTGCCATTCCCTCCATTACTCGTCGCATATATCCCTAGCAATGTCCCTGTTCGCATCGTCAGCCTGGGCCCACTCTCGATCGCACCTTTTCCTGACTAAAAGGGTTGACTTACCAGTAAAACCCCAGCTAACAGGTTCGTTAGAAACCTCCATCACAACCCTCATCTCGGACCTCTTCCCCGCGGGACCCACGCTGAACACATAATGGCTGGCGTTGCACGCCCGGATCTCGAGCGCCAACTTACCTCCTTTTCGCCGCCATGACTCTGGCAAGGGAAAGATAGCCGGCTTCGGCACGGGCACGTACGACTCGCCGCGGAAGCGCACGTGCGGGACCATTCCATCGTCTGAAATCCCGCCTGTTGTTGAGTTTGACAAGTCCGCGGGGAGGCCGGGGATGGACGAGGCGGTGGCGCTTCCGCGGGGGAGCAAGATGACGCCCATGTCGAGGTGGTGGTTCTGTGTCAAAAAGGCGGTCACGCCGGCCTCCTCGTCGCGCTGGGTGGGGGAGAAGTCGAGCGTCACCGAGTAGGCGAAGAGGGTGTGCTGCTGGCGGCGGGAAATGAACGTCTGGCCTTCCGCGCCGGCGTAGTTGCCGTTGAGGGCGGTCAGGTTGATGCGGGAGGGGGTTAAGCGCAGGGTGTTGGGCTTCTCGGGGGGGGAAGGGGTGTATGAGGACGGGATCGGGTAGCGCCAGTGGGTGAGATGCGCTGGGAGGGGAGTGGAAGGGGGAAAGGTTAGATGCTCGGGATCGTCGGAGTTGGCGTAGGGACTGGAGGTGAAGACGGTCAGTTAGGACATGGGTTCGTGTAGGAGCCCAGATGTAGCGCTTGACTCACCCCACTCCGCGAATGTCCTCTTGCTCATGGCGTATCGGCCAACCACTGATCTCGCCGCTGATGGGGGTGAATATGGGAAACTCGCCCTTGGGCCAGCTCATTGCCGTCATGACAGTCTCCCGGCCCATGGGGTAGTGCAGGTATTCGGGTCCGGAGCGAGTCGAGAGCGCGACAGCCCACCTTTGTATTCGTACTTCCGTCAGCTTGCGACTTGGCTGGAGTGGGTTGGCGTCTTACCAGTTCCCATTGCCGTCCTGGAACAGATCGGAATGGCCGACAGTCTGGACTGTATAACAGTGAGAATCTTTTGCCATCCTTAAAGTTGACCACTCTTACAGTAACTCGTAGTGTTGGCGTTGGTCAGGACAGGATTTCTGGGGTTGGCCTCGTAAGGACCGGATATTTTCTTTGACCGGGCCATTGTCACCATGTGGTTCAACCCAGTGCCCCCTGAGTCTGGTCAAAGATGTGCCGCAAGTTGGACATCTACTCTTACCTTCGGCAGCTAACAAATAGTACCATCCATCTTTGCGGTAGATATGCGGACCTTCAGGTGCCTGCGTCTCAATGTCAACACAGAGCACGGAAACGTAGGGGGTGAGGCCGTACCAAACCGCCAGTTCCATTCCAAATGATCTGCCAATCACCAACTTTTCCTGTGTCCAAGTCCACTTCGGCCTGTTCGATGTATGGGCTGCGACCAGCGTCAGCGCCGGACGAGGCAGAAGATGAACAAGACAATACACAACTCACCCAACCTGCCAGGCATGGGCACCGGTGATGTACGCCTTGCCGTCCTCGTCCCAGAACGGTTCCGGGTCATAGCCAGTAAAATTGAAGTGGACAGCATTCGACCATGACTTGGGATTGTACGGATCCTTGCCCTTGAAGATGATCTAACGTACATCGAGTCAGGTGTGAGACTTTGATAGCTCAACGGGAATTTGTTCTTGTCTTACGTTATCCAATCTGGAGGAGTCCTTCTGCGGCCGGTCGTCATCTACAAGCGTAGTGACGAGCCAGAAAGTTTCATCATGGAATCGGAGGGTAGGTGCCCAGATGCCGCTGCCAGAAGTCAGTCAGGAGTGTCTCCAATGCAACTGGACCACAGATTGATCCATTACCTCGTCGACCGGTTGGTCTCGGCCAGACGAGGAAGCTGCTCCCTGCGGTTCAGCACATGTCCGATCAACTTCCAGTTCTGCAGGTCTTTGCTGGCGTGAATGGGGATGCCAGGGAAGGCATTAAAGCTCGATGAGGCGCAGAAGAAGGTGTGTTCGCGCTCCGGGAGGTAGATACAGCTCGGGTCCGGGTAGAATCCGGGAAATATGGGGTTGACAATGGTCGAGTTACGGTCATGTCCACGCGAGGCGGACACCCACTCCGAGAGACAGAGAAGGAGGGTGGTTAGGAACATGATGTCGGAATTGATTGATCTATCATGTTATGCTCTGACACATCTTGAGGTCGGCAACAGAAGTTGGCTTCACCCATCACCATATATTCGATGGCCATGCACCGAGAACCTGGTAGAAGGCCCGCAGAAGTTGTGTTCAAGCAGGTTGCATCCCCGGATGAAAGGAACATACAGGGCAAGATGGCTGAGTCCGGGCTGAAATAAACGGAAGGTCTAGGCAACTGGCACGGCCGTATGAGGCATCCCTCGCCGATCTTGGGTATTTCGAGCGTCGTTGTGGACCTGCATTCTTCCTGCGTGAGGAGAAGGTCAAAGGTCAATAGGCTGAATAAGGTATCTTCAACACCTCCCCCGGTTCCTGATAGACGGCGTGGTTGGCAGTGGCCATTGCATCGCAAGGAAACACCATCCTCCTGAGGTGTATGGCATGAAGCAACTTTTGATGGCGGGAGCAATGAGGAATCATGATCCGTCGAGGCATTTGTGGAACCGTCGTGTAACAAAACGTCGTAGTTTTACTGTGGTAATCGTGCACGTCGTCACTCCAATTCATTGGTACGAAAGGGTTAGGGTTACTTAGCCCCGCCTGTCCCCACCATGTCCCAGACGCGCAGCCAGGACAGCAGTCTGCCACCTTGAGAAGAATCCAACACCAAACCCAAAAAACGACATTTCCAGGCGCGACCGCCTCAGGCGGACCCATACGGAGGTACCTATCTAAGCATCGCCCATAATCCCAGCACTTCCCATTTTCACAAACAACATCCCACGACGCCGCCGAGCCGACTATACGCCATCGTAACACTTCGAGACTCACAGCCGAAATCATCGCCCCCCACCCGTCGCCATACTAGCGCCCACAAACCGACAAAATGCAAGGCTTCAATATGGGGCGGTACATCCCGCCCGACGCCGCCGGCACCGTGACGTCGGGCAACCGCTTGCACAAGAAGCACCCGCTCGGCTCGCGCGCCGCCAAGCTCGCCTCGCAGGGCATCCTCGTCGTGCGCTTCGAGATGCCCTTCGCCGTCTGGTGCGCGCACTGCCCGCAGCCGACGCCCATCGGCCAGGGCGTACGCTTCAACGCCGAGAAGCGGCGCGCCGGCAGCTACCACAGCACGCCCATCTGGTCCTTCACGCTCAAGCACGCCGCGTGCGGGGGCGAGATCGAGATGCGGACGGATCCCAAGAACAGCGAGTTTGTGGTTGTCTCCGGCGCCAGGAGGAGGGAGTACGGCGGGGATAAGGACGAAGACGAGAGTTTGGTTGGGGGCGGGTTCGTGATCACCACGGAGCGGGAACGGGCCGAGCAGAGGGAGAGTGCGTTTGGTAGGTTGGAGAAGACGATTTCCGACCGGGAGCGGCTCGTCGGGGCGACCCAGAGGTTAGGGGAATTACAGGACGTGGCCGATCGGCAGTGGGATGATCCGTACGCGCTGAATCAGCGGTTGAGGAAGGCGTTTCGGGTTGGGAGGCATGCGAGGGAGAAGGAGGCGGCCAAGGCGGAGGACTTGAAGAAGCGGATGGGGCTGGGAATCGAGTTGCTTCCGGAGAGGGAAGAAGATACGGAAAGGGCGAAGTTGATTGAATTTGGCAGTTTGGATGTTGACGCGGTTTCTGGGGTGGTTAAGGCTCTGACACGACCGCTGTTCGACAATGGGTCAAACAGGCCGGATAAGACAGATGACGATGGGGCCTTGACTAAGCGGCCTGGCCGACTCAAATCGGAGATTGCGGCATCACGAACGCGCGACAACCTTGTCTCGGAGATCGTCAGCAACACACGCGCTGCGAAAGACCCGTTTTTGAATTTTGGCAGCAGGGAGAGCAACCCCAAGAGACCTGTGCGGCTGCCGGGTCTCAAGAGGAAAAGAGTGGCGGAAGAGACACCAGACACGTCACCATCTGCTACAGAAGAGGTGGACATACCCAAAGGGACGGCTGGCACGACCGCTTTGGTGAACTACGACTCGGACTGAGCTTGACGGCTGGACGCTTACTTTGTATAACTAAACGATACAGGATGATACCCCGGGACTAATGATTGGAGCAAGGTTTTATTAACGATGAGGCACCCCCTCCCCTTCCAATCCCTTGAAGCTCAGTTGACCAAGTGACTCCTCAGGCCTTCGTGACAACATGGATTGGGGTTCCGCCCATTTGCCTGGACTCCCGGTCTCAACTGGCGGTGACCAGTATCTGAAATTCATTTGCTGGAAGATTGTGTATCGAAATTTGCAAAACCGCCAAATCACGCCAAACTACCGTTCAACCAGGCCGCTCAACCAGGCCGCTCAACCGTATACTCCAGGATGGCAAAGAAATGGGAGTGGAGTGGATAGGAAGCCCAGGCAAAATCGAAAGAGGGAAAGAAAACCAAAGCCTGCCGTATACAACTCCGTCCAAACCCATTAAGCCCAGTGCCTGTGAATGAAAAGGTTCCTCTTCCCTCCTAAAACCCCTCCCTCCCTCCCTCCCCAGACTCATCATACATCGTCCATCTCGCCGGCCGGCTGGGCTTCCTCCTCATCGTCGTCGTTGTAGCTGCCCACCGAGGAGAGGTCGTCGTCGTCCTCGCTCTCGGCGCCGGCCTCGTCCGCAGCGCCCTTGGTGGCGTACCTCTGCACATAGTCTGTTCGTCCTCCATCAGTACTTCCTCCTGTGTTTTCGAAGCGGAGAGGAGGAACCCACCCTTGACCTTGATCTCATAGTTCTTGGGGTCCCTCAGCAACAGAGCCGCGGCCTCGCCGTTCAGGGGGTCGGATGGGTTCGGGTAGCGGAGCAGTTGTGGGAGGAAGACCTCGAAGATGTTGATCATGTCGTACATGGGCGACCAGGTCTGGTTGATGACGTCCAGGCAGACAGATCCGGACCTGTGGGTTCAAGCGTCTTAGTCGTCGCATCCCCATGCATGTATATTTCTGCCTCGGTCACCGTCTCGGTGTTTTGAAATGCCCCCTCTTGCACTTTCCTCCTTTTCCCTACTTACAGTTCATCGATGTTCGGGTGAAAGATCCGGTTCACGAAGCCGATGCTCGGGGACTTGTAAGGGTACTGATCTGGCAATTCAACGTGAACCTTCCAAACGCCGCCTTCGAATGGAGCTGTGTTTCGAAGAGCATGTAAGTACAGCGTCTCGCTCGATCGGAAGGGAGGGAAAAAGGCTACTGACTTTCCGCGGGACCCTTGAAGCGCACGAAGAACTCTTGCCTACGTCGAGCGTTCCTTTGCGTCAGCGTCCGGCCGTTACAGACAGTGTAGTGGCAGTCGTCGGGAGCTCACACTGCAGAGGCGTTCCATTAGCCATGCGCCCAACTTAGGCGAAGTGAATGTCTAGGGCGTGGGCATACTGTTATCATTAACCAGAGTCACCTCGTAGTCGCTCATGAGCCTGCAACGGTCAGTGCGGGATGAATGAGTCTCTCAGCGCGCGGCAGGCCTACATCTTCATGACCTAAGTTCCCGCGTGAGTCGATATCCAGCACTTCAGTAGCAGTCGGGCACCGAGCTGGCACCGTGACCGGAGACTTACATCTGTCTCGATACGACGGCGTGGAGAGGCCATTTTTGGGAATCTGAGTATGTGGCTCGCTTTTGGCTGTGCTTAGGAAGACGTCTGCTCGAATATGCTGAGGTTGGCAGCGGCGAGTGATGAGGTGCGACCGATCCGTGGGCGGCGGTGGCGGTTGAAGGTGGGCGTTGTAGTTCCGAAGGTGGGGAAACAACTGGGAAAGCCGGATCGGCACCCTTAAAGAGCAGATGAGGGGTTGATCAGTTGACTTAAAATCCGTGTCCAAGATTGGTACCTGACGAGATGCGTCGCCGTTCGTGCCTTGGCCAGTAATTGAAGTTGAACATCTTTCCAAGGAGAACAGCTGGCACATGAGCAGTGGGTAGTCGACGTTATCCATGGATGCTTACCTATGCGAACCGAAGGGTCCCGGTCCCGCCACGCCTGAGAGCCGGCACAGGCGGATGATAGGCTGGCAATGGGCCCCCGGCTTAGGGTGATAACGTTGAAGAACGGGGGTAAGCTCCACCACCAGCCAGCGATTGGAGACAGCTGTTACCATACAGTCCCGGCGTTTCAGGCTGGACCTCGCTACACCAGCAGTTCCAGGTTTATGTGTAGCCTGAACAATATCCCAGTCTCCCAAAAGTAGGTATTGAGACAGTGGCTTCTTTTCACTGCTTTCAGGCTGAGGTAAAAGCTGTACCAATGCTGAGTGCCAGGAGGTTGTCAGGTCGGTCAACCTAGCTCTAGTAAGCTGCCTACGGACCTTCGGCGGTGTATGTAACGGATCCGTATTCCACCACGATCCGGTAATTCAAACGCCCTGCGGGCCAGGTGACGACGCAATTTAGTGGTATAGGCAAGTTCTCTTTGACTGCGCCGGTGCTGGCCTGGTCACGGGAATACTGCCCCGGAGCCAGATGGACTCGCACTGTACGAATTATTTTCTGTTCATAGATTCATCAGGCCGTGAGGTTTTTTTGGAAGTCCAACAGCCACGTATCCACGGTATCACAGGAAGAAGCGCTTACAATACAGAGCATGCAGAAGCTGCAGAGCTGGCAGTGTTAATATTGAACTGTAAAATTTCGGTTGTCCGATCAAAAACCTGACACGCATCGCGCAATCTCGGATATTGTGACGAATCTCGAAACCCCAACTTCTGAAAGGGACTCCTGAAGGTTTAATTTGACAACGGGGTGAGGTTCGGTGAAGCCAAAGGGTTCACAACAAGCAATGTCCAAGGTACTGACAATCTTACACTTGAGTTGCTTACTGAGAACTCCCAGAGTCTTCCAGAACGAGTGACTATATACTGACACGATTCTTCGAGTGCTCTCTGTACTCGAGGGTCGAGCACCCTCGAGCACTTGAGTGCTCGCAGTGCTATGCCCTCGATCGCTCCGAGCACCTTGTATGCTGCAATGTGCTCGTCTGTCTTGGCGTTATAGCACACTAGCTTCATCCTGACTGGTCTGCCTTGCTTGCTTAAGTAATTGGCTTGGGCGTTCCTTGCGCCCCGCATATGGCCTTCTGGCATGCGGCCTGCTGTTAGTTAATTCGTGACAACTAACCTCTAGCTTTTCTAAACTGTAGCTAGCCAACATATAATTGAATCGATTAGACGGTCGATGTCAGCCTGATCAATCGCCTACCAACACTCCTGGAGAACACGCGTAAACTCGGCTACATCCAGCTTGCTTTTTCTCAGTTCCCATATATCATGGTATTGCTCCTTGACTTTCCGCTTCAACGGAGCCCAAACATGCTCAATTGGGTTAAGTGGGCGGGCCAGTCTTCTAAGACCTCAATTGCATGGTCAAGGAGCCACTCTGTTGATGACTTGGACCTGTGAATCTTTGCATTGTCTTGCTGGAATGCCTTGTCCCTGATATACTGGCAAGAGACCTTTTCTCAGAGCCTTTTGGTAGCTCCAAGAACTGTAGCCTCCCTTCTGGGGAGGCTTGTAGTCACGCTCCATGATGACCAGGTCAGTCCTTCCGCCCTTCCAGATGCCACCCTATACCATGATAGATATTTTGCCCTTGACATGATTTTGAAGATTGACAAAGTCTGGCTTCCACTTCTGCGAGTTACTCGAAAGACCCATGCAGTTGAACTACTCGTAAAAATTTAGCAAGATGATCCGTCGCTGAACAAAGTCTAGCAATAGTTATATTAGAAAACACATTGAATAGGAGAAACTATCAATCAACTTATACGAAGGAGAGTTTCGATATTCTCCAACGCATGACATACAATGGTATACCGGTCCTCTCCCACCTCGATTATAAGTGGTATTCGCTTTAGTGCTCTCCATTTTCGGTAGTTGTACTCGCGGTAAACATGACGGACTGTCGTTCTTGACACCTTCCGGTCTAGGACCTTGAGGAGCTGTTTGAATGTAAGCCGGGCATTGCGCTTGGCTGCCTAGACAATATACCGTTTATCTCGTCGAGTAAGAACCCGAGGCCGACCGATCCTTGTCTTGGAATCGAAGGTTGTAGTAGTTATAAAGCGTTGAATAGTCTCGGACACAACGACATGCGACACGCCGAACGAGGCTGTCATGGTACGTTGGCTAACTCCAGCTGCGACCGCACCGCAAAATTGGTCTAAATTGAGTGCCATTTTGGGGAAGTTGTGGTGATGTGAAAATTCGAGATTGGTGGTGGTGTTAGAAGTGATGGCACTTGAAACTCGGAAACTGCGTTGCCGGTGCCTTACCCTGGTCAGGGGTAATACACAGCTGTTACATAAGGTCAGGGAGGCACTCAGGCAACTTGGAGGAGAAGAAACAGAACTCAATTTGACAGATTTCTGGGCTGCTCCCGGGCACTCAAAGAAGTTCACTGTCTGAAAAGGCTTCCATAAAGCATGTCTCCGTGGAATCGTGGCTGTTGGCTTTCAAACAGCTGGACGCGTCGTGGAGACGTGTAAAGTGGGTGGGGTGATAACAGACATTTGGAACCCACTGTAATCCGTATATGCGCAATGATCTATGAGATGTACCTTACCTAAGTACGGTACTCTGTATGTCCCCGGACTATCCGAATACCACAGCAGGCGCCTGACTTGCGAACATGTACAAACCATGTGACACTACGCAGATAAAGTACAACCCTTGAAGGATGTTTCGTATCGCAAGTGCTCATCAATGCGCTTGACACGATTAGGGCTAGATGTGCGCAGTTATGCCAGAAAGGACCATTATCCACCGCGTTTTGGCCGACAGCTGTCATCAGAACGATGCATTTAATACTTACTCTCGCCCCTAACACCATATCCTTTGGGCACATATCAGTAGGCAAAACTTCCCTGAAGTCTCGACAGCACGGAGCACCTGGGCCTAGCGTAGCTATTGATACATCCGGTCTCATAGTTCGCATTATTTCAGTCTAGAAGCGCTCTGAAGCCCTAGAGGCTAAAGACAACAAACCAGCGACTACAAAGTGCCAGTAGCTACCAAGGAAACTGGAGAGCTGTCAAAAACAGCAGACGGAACTCTCTCGCCGAGGGCCTGAGGCAGTCTTTGTGCAAAGCTCCATATCTAAAGGATTCAGGTCCCTCCCACCGGCCATCATCCCTTCCATGGATGCCGAGTGGGCAATGCTGGTTCGTGTATCGGAACTCCCCTCTCCCAATTCCATTTGACGTCTGCACCAACCGCTACAATGACCCTTGATCCCACGTTGTCCGGCATCGGCTTGCCGTTGCCAGGGAGGCGCATCCCGTCCAGGCGTGCTCGACCATACTTCTCGGCCTCAGAGTATTCGACGTCATCGGAATCTGCAGACGCAAGTCGACGGAGCGTAGAGATGACTGCCCTTCCGTTTGCAATCATCTCGGCTGCGGGCTGCTCATGCATTGTTGTGCTCCATAATTTCCACAGCTTCGCTCGATTCCACAAGTCGACTTGCTTTTTCACTTCAGCGGTGTGGTATGAAAGGAACCAATCGAAATCGGTGAAAGAGTAGTTGTATAGATGAAGGTTGAGTCGAACGGTGCGGACGCCCTTGCCGATGGTGGGATGACGAGAGATCTCCTTCAAGGGAGCAAGCGATGGCTCGTTGACTCCGACACGTACTAGACGGACAATAAAATACGAGCTCACGTCACAAAACCGCCGACATACCAGGCGGATCTTCTGATGTCCTCTCGACTACCAGGGCGGTAACCGAGATGTGGGTGGTCGGAGCATTCCACGAGCTCGAAGATGCCAAGGAGAATCTCGTCGGGAAAGTCCAAGATCTTCAAATTCCCCAGGTATGGACGGGACTGCCCGTTGATCTCGCATCGAAGAGCACTTCGGATCGCCTCAAGATCCGTCTTCAGCGTATTCATTCTCTCCAATTCGCAGTCCAGGTTGCCCGCGGTCTCGAGAAGACCATTCTGGGCTGCCCTCTCCTTCCAAGCTTGCCAAATTGGCGCGATCTCGACCGTTTGAGTCTATTGCGAGACTTGACGCATGCACTCGTCCCAGTACAGTGTGAGTGTCGGATACACTGGGAAAGTATAATATTCTAGCGGCCTTCAAGCGGCTGCTCAACAATCCAACGATGATGGATATCAGTCATTTATTTGATCCGAATCGGAATAGAGAGAAAGTCATTCTGTCCCCGGGAAGCTCGAAAGGGGAATAAGCGGCACGGATCCGAACGTACCATATCTCGCGTCAGCAACTTGAAGTTGCTCGTTCACGGTTCGGAGGAATGATAAGCAGTTTCAAGGACCATGCAAACGCGGACGATTTGCACCTTTGCCGGGGGCCGATGGAGCGCCATTATAGTGTGCTACTCGTTGTTCTGGAGGCTGCTGGAGAGATTGTCGCCCGGACCTGAGGGATTCCGCTTCTTTCACTGTTGACGACTTAAGGTGGTCCCTGCCAAACTGGTCAGTTACCGCTTCCGTTTGACGTCGCTCAGGGTTAAGGTAGATGCGGGTCGCGCACAAGAATGAGGGCTGTCCCAGAAGCAGTACATGTGCACCAGCAATAAAGATGGAGGAGGCTTCTACGCCAAAGGTAGGTGAGGCTTCTACGCCAAAGGTAGGTGTCGAGAGGCTGGTTTTGGTTGCCTTGGAGCTGCCCAGTAGATGAAATGCAGTGCCGAGAGTCAGATACTCAGGACCCCCAGGAACAGAAAAAGTGGTAACGCAAGACAGTCACCACCACACAGCACGCGCTTAGAATAGCAGCTCCTCATGATACATATATGGCAATTCGAAATTAGATTTCTCTCTAAATTATTCTATTCGCTGGAGCTTGTCCCTTTAGATGAGCTCTCTTGGGACGGGTAGTTTCGAGAGTTTAAGGCGAGAGTGGGACGCTGGTTGACTACGAAGTATTAATAAAGCGATCCAATAGGACTCCCTAACGCTTTCAGAACTACTCGAGATTATTTAGGGAATTGACCGGTAATCAAGAGCATTTACATGTATCGTATTTGCAGCTATTTGAGTGTGTGGTTGATGGTCGATGAGTGTGGTAGTTGTTGTTTTGGAGGTTGATTTTTTTGTCGCCTGCCTGGGTTCCAGGTTGGGCTTGCCCCGATGGTCAGTGCTCTTCAAGTCCCGGCCCCCGCCCCGAAGGAGACGCGGGAGCGTGGACATTCCCACATTGAGTCTTCAACCACCCTTATAAAATCGCAAGCGTGCAACCCCAAGACCAGGCGAGGCCCTGCAGTTAGCTGAAGCACGTACCCCAGGCCCAGGGAAAGTTTCGTTTACATGAATATTAGATGTTGTCCGCCTTTGTTGAACTTAACAACTTCCCAGTCAACAGTGAGATCAATGAAAGAGAGTTTCCATGAGTTGCCTCGGTTCCTTGAAAAGCCCCATGTCAATCCCGCGGCCCAATCAGCTCTCGCCGAAGCATGCGGAGCGCCGTCCAGCACAAACCCGATCAGCCGAACGGCATTGCGTTTTGAAGTGACCACCAATATGGAAATCTCCAACCAGATCCTCAAAGATACTCAATTGTACGCAGCAAAAACCATCATGACTTGGTGGATAAAAGTCGCCAAAAATTCGCCACAACAATCGGGTCCCGGTCGTTCCCTCTTTTTCCTCTCTCAAGCGCAAGCGGATTACTTCTTCAGCAATTTTCATCTCAACTTCTTTCGGGTTTCCATCTGCGTCATACCCCTGCAAGTCACTGTGCAACAACACACAATACAAAGTATCCATGTACCTTTCCTCAGTAGCCAGGTCGCTCTCCAGGGGCACGCGACCATCACAATTCGCAGTGTCCACATTTCTATCAGCCTTCTCACTCGCCCCCAACCACCACCACCACCCACAACAACAACAGACCAGATGGAGCTCCCACTCGCCCATGGGTACGCCTCCAGCCAACCCCCGGAAAAAGGTCACCCTGCCCATGCTGAAGGAGATGCACAAGAAGGGCGACCCCATCACCATGATTACGGCCCATGACTTCCCCAGCGCCCACGTCGCCGACGCTGCCGGCATGGACATTATCCTGGTCGGCGACAGCCTGGCCATGGTCGCCCTGGGCATGGAGGACACGAGCGAAGTGTTGGTGGAGGAGATGCTGCTGCACTGCCGGTCCGTCGCGCGCGCCACCAAGGCTGCCTTCACTGTACGTTCGCTCCCTCTTTTTGTTTTCTCGTGTCTTATTTCCTCCCGCCGTCGGTTACCGACACTCTTTTCTCCTCCACTAGGTTGGCGACATGCCCATGGGCTCGTATGAGATCGGGCCTGCACAAGCACTTGAGACGGCAATCCGCTTTGTCAAGGAAGGCCGCGTGCAGGGCGTGAAGTTGGAGGGCGGCAAGGAGGTAGTCCCCACGATTGAGAAGATCACCTCGGTCGGGATCCCTGTCCTCGGCCACGTGGGCTTGACTCCGCAGCGTCAGAATGCCCTGGGCGGATTTCGCGTGCAAGGTAAAACAGCTGCCGGAGCAATGAAGGTGCTCGAGGACGCTCTGGCGGTCCAGGAGGCCGGGTGCTTTGCCGTCGTCATCGAGGCCGTGCCCCCCGAGGTCGCGGCCCTCATCACGCAGAAGCTGTCAATTCCGACCATTGGGATAGGCGCCGGCAATGGATGTTCGGGTCAGGTGCTGGTCCAGGTCGACATGACGGGCAACTTCCCTCCTGGGCGGCGCATTCCCAAATTCGCCAAGCAGTACGGCAACGTCTGGGCTGAGAGTTTCCGGGCGATCGAGACGTACCGGGAGGAAGTTAAGAGCCGGCAGTATCCTGCCCCTGAGCACACGTACTCAATGAAGGAGGAGGAGCTGAACCGGTTCGTCGAGGCCGTCAACGGGGTCTGAAGCATCAGCGAAGAGTTGCATTTTGGGGCGTATATCTGGGTTAAGGGTTGTGATGGTGTATAGCAAGTCGGCGTCGGCGCATAACTTTGATTGCATAGTAGCGGATACCATCCTTGTCGATAGCGAGCAGCTATGGCAGGGAGATGTCCTTGAACAGTTGGCGTCTCTGCAGAGCTTCACCTCAATTAATGTAGCGAGCTCCTACCCAAACGCTGGCGTTATTGAATATGAGACGTTGAGGTGGTCGTGAGAATCCTTGAAGCACTGCGAGATGTCAACATCAAGCGAATCCCACCCGGAGGATCCAAAGAGCCAGATGAACCTACCCTCCACAGATTACCCACGACCTCGTCCAACGACGGTGCGAATGTGCTGTTGACATACAAAAACACGCTCTCGGCCTCGCCGACTTTGAGCGTCTTCCTGAGGTAGGCCACAACGGATTCGAACTTCTGGGCGCTCGCGACCTTGACCAAGTCACGTCGAATCGGGGGCGCGGAGCCAACGGGTTTAAAGCGTACAACAATCTTTTCCTGCGCAAAGCCCCCGGCGGCAGCTAGAGCGGCGGTGGCATCACGTGGTAGTGTCATCAACATGGTGGATGCCGTCATGGTCAACGGGAGATCTGGAGAGTCCAGCCCTTCGAGAACAGGGGAGGCAGGCGCGGAGGCGTCCGCAGGTGAGGATGCCATTATGGATTGGTTTCCTTCGTTTGACACTCGAGGGGAATGAGGCTAATTTGTGGGTTGGTGGGTTGGTTTCAGTGTTCCGTTGCCAATGGAAGAAGATGTGCCGATATGGTTCAAGTTTGCTGGCACTTCGGTCTTCCAGAGGTTCGTCGCGGCCAGTGGAGAGCCGCTGAAAAGGCCCCGCTAAGGGCCCGATTGGCTGCCCGTGGTGCGGTGCTGTGATGGCTCCTGGAACCCCTGCCAGAGTTTAAGAATTGGCTCACCTGGGTAAATATCATTATCATTAACGTGATCCACCATTGACTCGGACACCCCATTGACTCGGACACATTTTCCCCCACCATAACCACCCAACTTCAACACGCGTTTTCTCTACCACAACAATGTCCGACAGCTTCCCAGAAAACCGAGTTCTTCTCGCGATCAATGCGATTCGATCAACACCGCGCTTGAGTATCCGACGCGCCGCAGAGATATACAATGTCCCCAAGTCGACAATTGCAGATAGAATGAAGGGAAAGATCGCGAAGTCCGACAGCTATCACGGCCGTTCGAATTTGACGAAGATCGAAGAGGAGGCGATTGTTCAATACATACTCG